CTGGCCTAATGAAAAAACTCAAGTTTACTCGAAACCGACTTGGATTCGAATGTGACCAGGACGTCTTCGTCGTCATTGGTGATGGGTAGTGGTGGTGGTGGTTGTAGTCCTAATAAGAAAGCTCGGAGTCTACTGGACTTGGGTGCGTCGTCGGGGAAATTGTCTTTGGCGCCCACCGAAATCGGCAACAGGCAACCTGTCGATGGATCACCTTCGGCCGAGTACAGAGCCAAATCTATGGAATTCTTGCTGGACAAGGAGAACCAAGCAGCCGTCCAGGTAAAGTATCAAAACCGTATATGTTTTTAGATTGTTATCGCTGTACGTCATTTAATGGAATAGCGCAGAGTCACTAGTTTTTGAGGTCCGAAATAGTATCTTTAGTATGCAGTGTACAGATACAATTGTCGTTTACAGTACTACTTAATCGTAAAATGTCCATTTATTTATAGCGTTTAAAAAAATAAAAAAATTTGGGTCAGCAGGGTGGTAGAAAATTTTGTGGGTCACCGAAACGCACGTGGGGGGAGGGACCGAGAGTACGAACACAATCAATACACTGCACAGCTTCGTAACTAAGAACGTCTACACATTCTTTTCGTGAAACAAATGTATATATTTTTTAATGATAAACTGCTTTTCGAGAATCACGAGTATCGATTTGACACAATAATTGCACAATTTCACTGATGTTTGTTTTCCAATTTAACTGGACGAGTGCGCAGTAAAATATGTTTATCTATAATAATTGCATAATTGCAACTTTGAGAGTTTCATAGAAACATTTGTTTTCTTTGTCTTGTTATGTATGAATGTTCTATCGTAAACATTTAACAGTCGAACGAATAGAAGTAATAATTTTAAAAAATCCATACGTTTCTCTTGGAGGGAATTTTCAGAAAAATCGGATAATCGTAGAACGAGTTTTGTTTTATGAAATCAATTATATTTTGTACACATTTAAAACATACTTAGTTGCCCGAGCAAATCGATTTATCACATAAGTATATTAATCAAATTTTTAGTGCTCGATTTACTACTTCCATTTCGGCCAAGTATGGCAAGTATACTTTCCGTGATTTCTACAAACCATCATAATATTTATTCGCTAAAAAATCAACTGTATCAACTGTTATTAGCTTACGTGCAATGAATTCGGGAGTGTTGTTTTTATTGTGCACGTTATGACCAACCCTTTTTCCTAACAGTCTGTCATGCGTGTTAAGGTTTCTCCTGTACACGTGTTCCTTGTTATTATTACCGTTCTACGTTCCGTTTACATTATGTTTATAGGTTTTAATAAAAACGTCGACAATAATCTTAACCAGTCGGGGCTCTTAATTTCCCCAACACCGACGGTCGACTAATGAGGTTACCTGTAGATAGCCGACCGCCAAAAGTAGACGTACAACACCTCCGGTAGTTCCTATTGACAAATAATCGAGAAATAATAGTAATTTTTTTGTTTTCATTGCTAAACAATAGTCCTTCGCAGTGGCTTGTGTGTGTTGTATCAAAGAGACCACCGCTTCACAATAAAATGTGTGAACGCTAATGGAAACACCGCATTCATATTGATTAGAAATAATATATCTATATAATCTATTCGGTCGTATTTTAGCTGAATAATTACAATGTTGTTATTGACGGTCAGTAAAATTACTGATTCCACTATCGTACAATGAATCACCACAACGTTAGCCGTTCACGACGCATAACCGTTTTTATTTTCCTCGTGGGTATTAATTTGAGATTTAGCCTATTTTTTGTTAGATAATTATGTTTCAGAAATGATTTATAATGCCTCCGTTACCATTTATTTTTTTGCATCAAACATCCGCCTCAATAGGTCATGTCGGTGTGCTCGTATAACGTGGACGTATAAAAATTCATAATGCAAGTTAATTAGTTACTTGCAACGTTCTGAGACACCTTGATTTTTTTAAATAATTTTACAACTCCTGTCTTATTTTGTTACTTGGTGGTTAAAAAAATGCGCACGCCTCGTTTCTATGGTTAAGCTGTGGGGCGATACCTACAAAAAATTTGAGCAACATAATAACATTTGATTTATTGAATTTCATCATAGATTTCGTTTGTAGTGATAAAAACATACGACGTTTAATGTTGTTTTATTGTGAAAGTTTTCAAATAGTAATAATAATAATAATAAACGCATTTTTTATTTTTGTCCACGCACGTTCGACTTTTATTTATAGATTTGACACGACGTATCAATTTCTGATTGTATTGTATTAATTGGCCGTCAATAGCTATACACACTGGCCTAATGAAAAAACTCAAGGTGTACTTGTACATAATTGTGTCATATTAACGAACGTCGTGAATTCCAACCAAACAGCCAAGTTAAATACTAATTTATAGTTATAAAATGTTCAAAGTGGCTCTCTAGCGAGTTCGTATATATATTCTCTACACAACGTCCAATGATACTAATAATGTCCTAAAATGTACAATTGGCATCGTTGAACACTATAGGAGGTGTTTGCCGCGTCGAAAAATAAATAATATTTTGTTATTCATAACATAAATGATTTGTAAATTAATAAAAACGCAATAAAATCCATTGTGCATTTGAGTAAGCAGCTACAACCCGAGACGTGTGCCGCCTTCACTTGCCGTGTATCATACACTACTATTGTGACATTGCAGCTCGTTCTGGCGCCCACATTGTATTTCATATACCATCACGTGGGCTCAAAATTGTGGTGTTTTTTTACAATACTCGGGTGCGTATGGTCGCGGTGACTAATTATAAACTATCATTATGTAAATGAATGCATTCGTACAAATCGTACGCGTCAAGTTTGACGATTGACTTTTTATGTTTGCTTTTGACTGGCTGTTCAAACACATTGCACCGGATGGTATTGCAATACTCGTAAACCACACAGCGTATAGGTGTACATATTGTTTTCGTTAAACATTCGAGTAACGCGTCACAAACGACGTGGTTAATGAGATTAAATTAAAATCAATTTAGAGTTGTTGTTCAAACTGACTGTGTTCAATTTGTCATTACATACGGGCCGACGGAGTTGAGCTCTAGTAGACTACAATGGTAATTTTTTTTTTATAAACTTTTGTCTTTAAACTGTTTGTCAAACCTTTTTCGAATACGAATTATGATAAACGATGAACATTTTTTCGCGGGACATATTTTTCGTTATTGTTTTTCTCGAACAGAAATTCTGCGTTGGGAAAAAATGTTCATTAGAATGGCTTTTTTTTTTGGCATTCCAATTATTCACATAAATTTCATCAGCCGCGGAACAACTATTTTACATGTTGTCTATTTCACTCGCTTTTGCGCGTTTCGACTGTCAACGTGCCAACCCAACAGCAGCTTAGAAGTGTATACACGATTTTTACATTACTGAACGAAAGATACCTTTTGCTGTTAATGAAAAAGATGATTTTTATTTATCGTTCTGGTATTTTTTGTTCGTAGAAACCGCTGCACATCCCGAGAATGTTTATTTTTATAGAGTAATTCAGCGAGAAAGTAGTTTTTTTAACACTTGTTGCCAAATTCAGAATACCATATGACTGATGTAACTATCTTGTGGGCTTGGCAAAACGTTGTAATATCATGTGGTAATTAATCGCTTGCCGGCAACAGCTTTCCGTGTAGTTTTTTAGTGCTCTTAGCGGCAGATATTAGTATATTATACCCAAGTGTAATTCTCTCAAGTATCTAGCGGCCGTGTTTTTTTTCGATAAAAATCGATTGGCCAACTCGTTATCAGACTAGTTGGCATTCGATCAGCTCTTAAACTTCTCCAAAACTCTTATTCATTTGTACCGAGTTGAGTTAAGAGCTTTTAAACGATTATAAAAGCTTTTCAATGTTTGTCTAATGAAATGGACCTCCCGATGTTTCAATTCTTACAGCGAAAATACTTAAAAAAAACGTTAGTTAATTTGAACATTAATAAAAAAAAAAAATGAAGTAGTTAAACTTGGAAAACAAATAACAAAACTTGTCGCCGGGTGTACCCGACCCATTATTTATTTGTTTTGAAATGAGGTACGTGGCTAGTTGAGACGGTGATTAATATAACGCACGACTTGAGGTCGAAACTGTTGACTAAACGGTCACTCGACATGACCTACATGCCTATCCACGTAGTGCTACTGAGTTTGTGCATTGACGTAACGTTAAACTGCAACCCTCTGCAGTTACACATGACAGGTTGACGCATCTGTCGCGTGCTTTTTCAAACGATTAATGTTCACCTGGTTCGTTTCTGCCCTCTCTCAAGTGTTCCTAAACATTTTGTCACAAAACGATACCGCGTACCAGCCACAAACTAGGACTCCTCGTCACGCGGACAGGCGGCGCTTACCGTACGGGTACTGGATTGTACAGGGCGTCCGTCAACGAGAACCAATATTTACTTTGCCGTCACCGGCGGGGATGCTTATTAGTTGGTTTTTTTTTTTTTGCATTTTGTTTGTGCGAAATTGCCTCCTTGTACTTGACGGTTCGTTGCATTTGAACCCCATTTGATACAGTTACACAAACATGTGATGTGCACGTCAAAAACAACGTACATTTGCCCATTATACGTTCTCTGTAGGTTTCATAATTAAAATTCTACATAATTACTGTGTGTTTTTTACTTTGTCTTGTTGTGTCCGTTTTCCGTTGGCCTCTCAATGTTTACGCGATGCATTCAGAACTCACCCTGTATCGTTTTTGTGTACACTGAATGGAAATATCGTTTTGTCACACGGTACGCATGTTATGAATAAAAACCGAACGGGCGGAGTTTGTGCAAAAGCGCGCTGGGTAAAAGTGCTTTCTAATTGTATTATGATATTATTGTCGACTTGTCTTTGGCTAATGTCTACTCATAGAAACGTTTCGGTCGTCGAAGTTAACGTAAGCTCTTCGTTGATATTTCTTTACACATTTCCATTTTCATACATCCGCCGCTGTGTTGTCAAAACATATTTATTTGTCCGATAGAACGTCGCCATGAACAATCTACTATTTCATATAAGACAACCGTGTTATTTGTACCGTTGCAAGTTGGCTTTCATCGAGGTATTTTAACTTCATTTAATATTTTATAACAACTATACATTTGAATGTTTCAAGTTGAAATCGATTCTATTAGTTTCTGTAGTTGTATTGATTAGGCCATAGTCGTGTTTAGTAGATTGTATTAACCCTTTTTGAATTCACACGAAACGCTCTAAGAAAAGGTTCTCTTTAGTACGTATTAGGATACCTTTTCGCCGAGAGTAATTTTATTTTTATGATACGCTTTTGGGCGACGAGGTAAAACCCAGTCTAATATAATAAAAATAATTAAATAAACAAATATAATTTCAGTATGGAATCGATGATTATACGAAAACTACTGGCCTTTTCAGGCTGTAGCCTTTAAGGGCTTGTATACAAACCCTAATGGCCCTTAGAACATTTATGAAATAAAATGGCTTGTTAATTCGTATATATTAATGATATATTATGGCAAAGTGCCAACTTGACAGTTGTTCAGTATTGCTCAACACGAACAATTTAAACTTTACTGTTACCTTGGGCGCAAATTGGGGAGTTTAGTCCCTCCGAATGTTCTTTGTAATGCCTTTTCGTCGATTAATGCATTTGTAAATTTTCAAATTTATCTGTGGTCTGTATTGAACGGACTTTGTAAAACCATTTATCTGCTGAAAAGATTTCAAGTAAGTTTGATATTACTAATCATCAATTTCATTTACAAGTTTTAAATTATATATTTTGTATTATAATAATAATTAATAATTATTAATTATACTGATAAGAAGGAAGTATAGTAAATAAAGGTCGATATGGTAAGTGTATCTTTGCTGTATATATCAATAGTATCACGAATCAGGTCACGAGGAGGTCCACCCCCCCTGGACTATTTGATACAAACATGTAAAATTCATTATAGGAACTTTTTAAAATTTCGCCTATGCTGTTATGTTTAAAATGTCGAGGAAAAAATCTATACTCCTGCAATTTCTTTACTGCCATGTCGTATCTAGTAAAAATGTCATCTATTATACGCAATTATAACAGTGTTGATGGAGACCTTTTAATTTTAAATAAAATAATTGTATGAGCGAGTTCGTGCGATTGACAAAAATAAGAATATTAACCATAAGGACAAGACCATCGGTAGTATTGATAAGAAATTTACTAATGTTTAAATCACAATCGTTCATTTCGTGTTAAATAAACTGGATGAATATTTTCATATTCAAGGCGTTGGTGATTTACAATTATGTTTTCCAAAATCGTCACACAATATTGTGCTAATCGTTTATCTGTGTACAATAACTCGGTTTTGTATATGTTATCGATAACATTGATTTTTGACATGTGTGGGTCGAAATCTGGTCAATTTCTATTCAGAACGCGTGTCTTGTTTCATCTCGCACTCGATGACATCATTATGATAATGATAACATTAATGTATTATCTCTAAGGCGTCGAACCGTCAAAAATGTATGGTCAGGGACATTGCAGTAAACTATGCGGTACCTGCATTATTATGAGCATGTGTATAAGAGAGACAGAGGAAAAATCGATTGGAACGTAGTTACACTGCTTATGACTAATGTAAATTATTATTAGTCTTCCTTATTATTTTTCGACAATGACTTAACGTTGTAATTGCATTACTTTTGTACTTGGAGTGGATTTAGGCAAAAGTTCACACAAGACACTGTCCATTTTTCGCCGTTTCTTTTAATGTATTTATGGAAGAAGGTGAAGGTCAAGTGGGCCAGGGTAGTTTACTTTTCTAGTTAAAAGATATTCGGTGAACTGTTATTTGTGCGAAGATTTTTTTTTTAATTTTCATGTTTTTGAGGGATGCTATCGATCGATCGCTGTGTTTCATCTGGGCAATTTTCCGGAGTGACTAGCTTCCTCTGAATATGTTCATGCCCTTCCTCCCCAGAAAATATGAAGAATAATAAAGAAACTTTGTGTATTTAATTACATTGTTCACAGCCGTAATAACACACAAAGGTAATTATTATGAACAAATTTACTTTTCTTGGTGTAATATGAATGACTCCCGATATTTTCGGGGGGCAATCGTCTGAAAGAAACACTGACCGACAAAAACATAGAAAATCCTGTTGGATATTTAATGAGTGCTAACTGAGTGTTGCATTTCGTTGGACTAAGTAATAATCTTAATATAATTCGTCGTGGATCGAGTGTGTTTGGGTGAAACATAACACGTCGAGTGCACGTTATAAATAGTATACGACTATTTTGGGGTGAGCATTAGTATAATATATTATTTTACGCCTCTCGAATTCCGATGTGACTTAAATTCATTACATGGTTTGGTCTGTCTGCGCTCTGTACATATCTGGAACCGTTCAACTGGAAAATTTGACATGACTAAATTAAGCTCGTTGAAACTACCGTATGATTTACTATGCGCGTTAAATATTCATTTGATTATACATAAATATGTCGTTACGTTTGTTTAAAAATAAAATCTGCTTACGGTTTCGTGAAGAATTTTTTATTTTGTTTGAATCATCTCAATAACAACAAGCTTTAGGGGATTATATGGAATTTAGTGATGATCGTAAACTGTGTGTGACAAAACAAAATCAATTTAACTGCTTAAAAAATTCTATTTACACGAGTTCCATTAATTATTATTTTCAACGATTATTGTTGATAGATTTAAGAATTACTTTCTCATGAATCCGATACTGGTACACGTATGTATTCTATGCAATCGTCTTATCAATGACCATTAGTTTCAATGCATTAACGTTGTTCTGTGTTGAGACTATATAAAAACAGTCGGTGTTTTCGTATAGTCTGTGGTTTAGGTAAACTATAAATAATACGAATTGCTTTTTAATAGAAGGTGGGGACGTTTGACGATAACGTGCTGAACATAACGGTCGGTTACTTATTTCGTACTGAACGGTCATTAGTCACTTGACGAGTGCGGTTTGTTTACGCATAAATGTCGATCGCTTTCAAAGTTCTCCGTTCAAATAAACGCTGGTTTTTCGTTGCGCATTAATTATTGACAAATATGGAGAATATTAAAAGTTGGCGAGACACTGACGATTACCTTTACGTGAAATCAATGCACGCCTACATAGAAAGTCATATAATTTGGGATCTGAAACGTATCCCTAAATCTGTACTCCGGACAAAAAAAAAACGTATAGATCATCCCGTGTACCTTTTTACCGTTAGTCTCGTTTGTTTTCTTTACGATACACCTTTTGTTAAATGCGAATTGATATTTTTTTTTAGGCTCCTGAAAATGAACTTCGCAAGGGAACAGTCAACGGTAATGAGCGTATGTTGTCTGAACACGAATTGCGCATCCAACGTTCATTACAAAGACTTAACCTTCCTGAATGGTATAAAACCAATAATGTGCCGGCACAAGGCTTCCTTTTAAAAAGACATAGCGATGCAGGTTACACGACGAGTATGTCTAGCTTGTCCTCTACCCAATCTCAATCCCCAAAAGGACATTCTAATATCAGTGAGTATTTTACTGTACGAGTTTAATCATCTTTTCATTACCGCACTTTTTATTACAGGTAATTCATTGCTAAGTCCTCAAACACATGCTGCAACTAAAAACTTCTCGCGATGGAGTACTAGTCGCTTAAATGGTGCTCATTCAACTAGTACATCTCCTTGTAGTTCAACTCGTTCGTCATTTAACTATCGACAGCCGTATTTGGGTTGGAGGTCTCAAGAGAAATTATCTAAGCCTAGAACACCAGCTGAACGTCTAGCTGCTGGTCTGCTAGCCCAACATCAAAATAATCAAGTAAATTAAAGCTGAAATTGTGTCAAGTTATTGATAAAAATAAATTAACATTCAATTATTAAATAGTATTGAGTTTTTAAATGATTTTGACTAAATTTTATCAAAAAAAAAAAAACTGTTATAAGTTCAAATGCTAACTTTTACTAACATGACTACGTCCTACTTAAACCACTCAAAGTAATATTTTTCTTATTTGACTTTTAATTAGTCTTTGTATGGTTATTGTAAATCACTAATTTCTATGATACATAATATTTTTTATTAAATATTTATTTTTGTAGCCATGTCCAGATAATTTATCTGAGGTGCAGTCTTCAATAAAGGAAGTAACTTCAGCTATAGCTAATTATGTTTCATCAACAACTCCAAATGGCAGTAAAGAAAGGTTAAATTCAGACTATCATGATTCACCATCGAGGTAATTAATTATTGTTAAATAAAAAGTTATATTTAAATAAATAATTTAAACTGTAAATATTTTCATTTAGATGTCAATCTCTTAGAGGTAGTACGGGACGTTTATGTTGGTTAGAAAGTTCATTTGTAGGTAACAAACGACCAAGTTTAACTAGGGATACACCCCCATCTGAAAACAACACACCAATTTCATACAAGTCATTTTCTTCAATTAATAAGCAGACTCCAAATAAGACTAATGAATGGGTCAATGGTGAGTGTGAATATAGGTAGACTCGGCTTGTCGTCACAAACAAAAATTGGACACTGCCTGCATTGTAGAAGCTGAAAATGCACTGTCAGCACTTGACAGCTTATGTTGGACAACCTTTAGATTTTATTACTATTATTTTTTTTTGTAATTTGTTTTTGTTTAAGCTGGTTTAGTTGTTAAATTTTTATTTTTTCTTTATATTTCGCACTTGAAACAAAGTTAAAATCTTTGTGGATGTAATTTTCTCTTTTGTTTTATAAATTTATAACATAAAGCATGACAAGTACTGTGAATATTTTTTGTACTGTAACTTATTTTAGCATTAAAGTTTTTGTTGACATCAATCAACACAATAAAATTATGAGAATCGATTTATGTCACAAAAAAAAAAAAAACTATTGAACATCTATATGTAAATATTATTTGTAAATATTTCTTTGAATAGAAATATTATAATGGATAAATCAACAAAATGATTTAGTTCTTAATTTACTACGTTTTTAGTCAAAAAGAAAAAATTGAAAATACATTATTGCTATAACTTTGTAAGGAAATTTTGTTCTGCGTATATAATAACTTATTGATTAAAGAGACCATTATTTTTAAGCAGATGAAAAGCTAAACAAAAAATTTACTACGTTACATATACTATGATTTATATACAAGAATATGAATGTTGATTTTTGAAAAAACAAAATTATTTTTTTACAATTTTTTGAATGGAAATTAACATTCCATACTCTTATTATTTTTAGTTATTAATATTTAAGAAACAATTCTGCTATATAATTGTTTTTAAATAATAATAATATAGGCTTTTTTTTTTTATTAATTAGTGCCAATAAATTGATTTTTTCTATTTATAAAGACAATTCTAAATAAAAATATTGGGTTATACACATGAATCAAGTTATTAATTTTACCAATTATATTTCAATTATTGAACAGCAAACAGTTTTATTTCTACTAAACATTTATTTTTGATGGCAATTAAGATTCTTTATTATTGTAAATAACTAATTAATCTAATTACATTGTTAAAAATAAATTATATATATTTGTAACAAAACTCAACTGTCCAGAACGAATAAATATTCAATTTTTACCAAACTAGATTAACTACCAATAAAGTAATGTATTAAAATTGTACAAATTAACTAAAAATAACATATCAACTGTAGTCTATTAGCATCATATCGTTTACTCATTCTATAATATTCTCTATTAATTTGATTTAAATATATTTTATCAATAAATCTTTAACTATTATGATAATATAAAAAATTGTTAAAATAATGTTAAATGTTCTTTAACTTTTCTACAAAAATTCTTCTAATCTATTTGAATTAATAGTTTTTCTACAAAAAAAAACTTATTTTATTTATTACATGTATAATAATTCATAAACTTTACATTTTATGTTTTTGTTTTTAAACATCTAAGACAATATATATGTATAGGTGTTAAAAGAGTAAGGAAACGGTTTCTGTTTTCAATGTTTATAATAATTGACCTGGTTCCTTACTTACTAAATACTCTATATATATTGATAAAAGTTATAAAATGTTAATAAAATGGTTCTCAAGACTGAGTTGCAATACTTATAATGGTTTTCTTTCTTCTTTAAATTAGACAAATAGACATGCAACTATTAATTATTCCTTTAGAGTTCCATTTCGTGCATGTGTTTTCTCAACGTACTTAATGTGATTACTTAAGGATTTTAAATACTATTTACTATTTTAACTCGTCATGTTTTATTTATAATGATGTTACGAACCCTGATTTTTGTGATCGAACATAAATAAATCACAATAATTCTCCGTCAAAACGTTTTTTATATGATTAATGAACAAATAATAAGTAGTATGATGTACACTAATTCAATGTTATACTAGTTGGATTTTTAAACCAATTTACCAAGAAAAAGTTTAGTTCGATTTTTTTAGATTTCAAGTTCGATTCGAAAATCGAATGGTTCTAACATCACTATTTATTTATTTACTTTTTTCATCAACTATTCTATTATTTTTCCGTTATTTCTATCGTAAATATGAGCTTTTATTTCCATGAATATTTAGTAAACATTTTTATACCATGGTTGAGAATTCACTATTTTGAGCACGAATACTTGCAGATCGACCGAGTCCTGGTTCGACCACAATGGAAGATGTACTTAACTCGTTATTAGGACTACAATCTCCCAACAAGTCTGCTAGACTTTACTGTCGTCGCAGTAGTGACAACAATCCTAATCATGGACGTCCTTTCACGGCTTCCGGCCTGAGTAATGTGTAAGTTCAATAAAACTTGTGATATGCTTCTTTGTATATCATGAAACATATTTTATTTGCGCTTTTTTTTTTTTTTTGTAAAAGTATTTACGACTACCTGAAATGTATTACTTAGTTATACTTTTTTTTATCGATTTTCCTAGTAGTTGTTTTAGTGCATAGTAGTATTAAAAAATATTATTGAGATGGTAAAGTGATGGTGTCATCTAAGACCCATAATTAACTACATTAATATATTTAAATCGTGAAAAGCAAACTTTGTATATAATAATGAATTATCTACATTCTATCTCTGACCGTATACCTCAAAGACTTTCTTACATTGAGGATCCACTATTTTTAAATTCGGGCGCACGGAAAGGAGGAGAGCACATGAGCCAATAGCTTAGTAGATGCAGTAATACTCGTAATCGTTTTTTATAACAATTTAAGCATTTGTTTAACATAAATCATTAACATGGTGCACACATTAAGCCACAAGATAAAAATCTTCAAATTAATAAATGTGAAAGATCAATAACTCTCATTGTTGAATCACGAATTATGATTATCAACAAATTTAGAATATCTAATTTGTTTGGTTTATGAAAGAAAAAATATAAAATTCAAGTTTTAATCCCAGTAAGAGTATTTATAGAAATAGTAAATTCATCACAAATGAAAATGCTGAATTAGTAAAAATATCGACCTGGTTAACATAACCGGGTCAGAACAAATTGGTTAAACATAATATATATTTAATTCATTACAAAATTGTGAATCTGTGCAGAATTGATTACAGTCATATCATAGGTGCAACTAAAATTACATTTCTAATGATAATAATTAATGAAAAATTATTTTTTTCCCGTATAAAAAAATACTTTGATACGACAGTAAATGTATTTTTTTAATTTTTAGGATATTGCAACACCCCCGCCGTTATTGATAAATTTAATATTTTGGACATAAATTTATTAAATCGGCATCTTATCAAAAAGCCGATAAGATTTAATTTTCAATTATCTTTTATGGAAATGACCTTATTATCACCGCGTGACAATTTGTCTCGATTAATATTGCTGAACTTTTCCAAGTGCTATTTAATGTCGTTCGATGACATTCGAAAATAATTGACTTTCTAATAATTAAACATCTAATTGTTTTTATTAAACTGAACTGCAAAGCTTAAACATACAATTTCTTTTAGTTATTCTGCTCAAGATGATACGAACTGATTGACCTTTTGGCTTTAAAATCGTTTGTCAACATATTAATAAATGAAATAGATAGACTACTTAAATGAATTTTTTGTTAAGAGTACAAGATCCTAGGAAAATCTCAAAAAATTATCAAATGACGGTTTTTTAAGTTGGTGACAATAATTTAGGAATTTTATGTGAACGTCACTTATTTAAAATTACGTGACACCTAAAAAAAATTTCACTGATAGTTTCAGGTAACGCCAAACAACAACATGCAACGAGTGATCTGAATTGTGTTGGTGCATTAGAACCGAGTACGATCCGTTGTCGATATTCGGAATGTCAACGTTCGGCCACAGTGGCCGAGGCTCGGCGGACATTCAAGACATGTCATAACTGCAATCACATGTACTGTTCACGACGGTGTAGACGTGCTCATTGGCAAGATCACAGGAAGACTTGTTTGAACAGGCGAACGGGCACGTTGTGTCAGTCCATCTTTGAGACTTTCAAGGGCAACGATTCGTGCACAGACAGGCTGTCGATAATAGCTCGCCGAGGATTTCTAGAACAAGGTCGGGGAACCGTCAAGTGCCACTTCTCGGGCATAGAACTTGCCGAAAAGTTTGTTAAACATGGCGGCAACCAGTTGCATTGCGAGCCCGTGTACGTTAAATGGACTGAACTGACCGATTCAGAACCGGAACGGCTTGAGGAGTTGTGTAAGAACTATAATCCAGACACACGGTTCGTTTTGTTCGTGTCAGTGTGCGTTCAGAGGGAGATCCCAGGGCCCGGACCGGTGCAGTGGGAACGACACGTGGTGTCAAGGTACGTCAAGCTGCGGCTTGGCAAATCTTTTAGAGCTACGCCAAGCCAGTTGTCCACCACGGGAAACGGACCGGATACGTTGATATTGACATCGTTGCCTGGGCGTAATCGCGGCGTTCACAGGTCCCGACAAGTTGGATTCACTAACATACAACGTCACTTGCGGCAGAGGGGTGTTGATCTCAGACACCAATTTCCAGACGTGTATAACAAGCTATGCGAATATGTCCAAGGCCCAGACGAAGTCAAGTTCACGCCAATGACAATTTATCCGCAAGAAAAGGTATCGGGAAAGACCTTTATGTGTATCATCATGCCGGACGCCGAGCCTGAAAAGATGAGGTTGATACCGGAGGGCAATAACACAGTTCAGACAATCGATATCAGCCAAGAAGAAACCGAAGATTGATTTGTTGCATCAAACATCATTACATTTTTAAAAGAAACAACTGTGCCGTTTAAAATAGCTGTCGATTATTACTACAATAGTATTAAATGCAATAATAGTAATTATTATTAATAATATAGAGCTAAGCAATGAACACGAGTAACTAGTGGAAATTTTTTTATTAAATGTGAATTCTATAATTATTTAATTTTTTGGGGTACTAATGATCTTATAAATGATTTATTCATATTACTAAAATATTATCTCAACATTTTGCCTTGGTAATAAAAATTATTTATAATAAATAAATTGCAATTCCTTTTCAACTGTAATCATTTAATTGGTTTTCAAAATCTAATTTTCACTTCAATTGTTAATTATTTTATAAGATAATTGTTATTGAACTTAAAATATGTAATGTAAGAAGGATGGTTTAATATTTTATATTAACCTTAGAACGAGAATTTAAAGTTTATGTTAAAATCGTATTAGTATTATAAAGAATAATTTTCTAAATTGTTAACCATGTTTTTAATTATAATTTGTTTTTTAAGCATATACTGTGTTTTATATGAAAACATATTCTTTGGTACAAAGAAAATCTTATCATAGAGCTTACATTGAATAAATATTTACTACTAAATTTTAGTTAGTAAACTTTGTATTTACTTTGCCAGTCAATAAAAATACAAACATAATTAACATTTTTACTATAATACTCAGGCTCTCTTCTAAGATAAAGTATTCATTGTTAAAGTAGAACTATATCAGTAGAACATTAAAAAGTCAAATAATCAATAGTCTCCATGAAGTTTACTTTATTATTAAGCCAAATATATTACAATTTTATTTTACAAATCTTGTACACAAAAATAAATATTATTAATTGTACAATAATAACGGGTCCTGTTTGTAATTATTTTTAAGGGAGAAAAGTTTCGTACTAAGTTTTTTTTATAGTAAACACAAAAAAAAGCTGTTTAAAAAAGTATAAAAGATGTGTCATTTCCATTAACTGACTTATAAAAATAAAATATTAATATCAATACATATATAATAAAATGAGATATATTCTAAATTTGTTTTTTCAGTTTTGAAATGCAATAGAAGAATGTAAATATTAGTTTCTATGTATAGCCAAAATTATTCACAAAATCATGAAAAACCTCATAAAACTAATTATATATATATTTTTTTAAATATCATTTTTTAAGTACACTTTTTCCTGGTTATTGTTCACGAAGAAACAAGGTAAATTTTTTTTTTTTTACTTTTACAGTAATGCGAAAATTTCCAACATTAAAATTTAAAAGAAATAGAAATTAATTTTATTTTACAAATAGTAAAACAATTTCCGATAGGTATTTTATAATCTTATCTAACCAACGAAACAGTGGGTGTTATAGCAATAACTGTAAAAATAAAAGACAAAGAAAAAGCAATACATCTACCACTATTTATGAAATTTTTTACAGTAAAATTATAAGATGTAAGAAAATGTAAAAGAAATGAATTTTCAATACAATTCTTACTTACAACAGTCAATAAATAAATTAAAATCATAATAGTTAAGTGTCACTTTTCCATAGCTTAATTGTTTTATCATTTTCCAAAGCTGCAGATGCTATTATATTGGCTGTTGGATGACAAGACGTACACAAGACAACATCTATAAGAGAGTTAATAAAAAGCTTTTAGAAATTGTAAAAAAAATCATTGATATAAAATTTTTCATGTTAAATTACCTGTATGTCCTTGCAACTTCTGAACTATTTCTTTAGACTGAAGGTTCCATATGTAAACCATATTATCTTCAGATCCCGAAACAATCCACTATAATATTAACATTTTTAATAACAAAATAAATTATATAAAAATAATTTAAAAAATATTAAGTCAGGACTAATTTTTTTTTTAAATCAAGCTAATGGTACTATTGACAAAAATATTTTCTAAATTGATGTAAAATTATATTCTTTATAAATCATACAAGAAAAAAGGATGTTGCATTTAAAAAAATTTTCCAGCTGAAGAATTTATATCATAAATATAAAAAAAAAGTTTAATGTTGGTCAAAGAATTTTAGGTCTATTAAAGATTAAACAGTTATATATTACTTTTCCACCAGTTACAGAGAAGTTGGCAAATATACAATATTTTTCATTTTTGTGTCCAACATAAGTCTTTAAACATTTTCCTTTAGTATAATCCCATAATTTTAAGGTGTTATCTAATGTAGCAGCAAGTATATACTTTCCATTTGGTGAAAATTTAACAAAAGAAACAGGTGGATTATCATCATCAATTAATGTTTTGAGACATTGACCACTAGCAGTATCCCAAATACGGCTAAAAAATATCCAATTATATCAATTACATTAAAAATTTACAACAAAATTAAGTTGAATTTATAATTATACCATAAGCCATCATAACTACTAGAAACAACTAATGAACCATCTCTGTTAAAATGAACTGCACTAACTGGATCAGAATGAGCTGGTAGCGTTTTCAAGCATTTGCCACTTTTTACTTCCCATATGCGAACACTTTCATCAAACTTGTAAAAATAAAATAACTTAAATTAAAACCTTAAATTTAATTTAGTTACAACTTAAAACTTACAGATCCTGAAGCAATAAGATTTGACTGTGGATTGAAATTGCAACAGAATACATAATTGCTATGTCCTTTTAGTGTTTTAACACATTTTCCCTAATGAAAAATATATAAACAAGATATTAGTTTTGATAGTGTAAAAATATAACTAATAAAAACTTAAGTACAGTTCATTTGTACTGAAAATAGTATAATTTTTGATTTTAATGTCTAATGAATTCTATAAATCAAGATTTCCGATAGTTTTTTTTTCATAATTAAGTACATTTTATTAGTTTAAAATTTTAAAAAATTTAAAGAACATAGGTTTTTTAGAAAATTGTCAAAAATATTAAAAAAATATTTTTTTAATATTTTAATATATTTAATATTTAATGAGAAGTTTAAAAAACCTCCTCAGTACTTTGAAAAATGTTTGGGTTTACAAAAAAGGTTAGTTGTCAGCAAAGCAATGTTAGAAGTGAAGTATTATCAATAAAATGTTTACAATAATTTGTCCACTTGTTAAAGTTAATTTAAAAAAAAAGTGAAAAATTTTCATCATTCAATGTTTTAATAATAACTTTTCTGATATTTTGATATATTGTTGAGCAAACTTGGTCTAGTAAGAATGAAATAATCGTATATAGTAACACACACATACAAAAAAAAAAAAAAATAAACATAGTTTAATAAAACTAAAACTTCTCAGCTATGCATCAAAATTAAAATGAAGATGAATTAGATAAATACTCAACTAATTAAATATTAGTTAATCATGTTTTTTTTTAAAGTATTCATATAACTTTTAATTTAAAATTATTTTTGTAGAAGACAAAAGAATCAAAACAACATTTAGAGATGATTTAGAATCTAAAGAAATAGTTGGTAACTTACTTTTTTTTATTAAACTATGACTTATTTTCTAATTATTATTTTATGAAAATGTTTAAAAGTGATTTCTCTTTGCTTTGATAAGAAAGAAAAATGAAATATTAGTTTTCTTACAAAAGTGAAAATTTTACATTAATTTTTCTCACTGAAATTATATATATATAAATTCTTACCGAACTTAACTCCCACACTTTGAGTGTTTTATCATCAGATGCTGAAACTAACAATCTACTATCTGAAGACCAACTAACATCACTAATGCCTAATTTGTGGCCAGAAATTGTTTTTTCAAATTTTCCATCATATGCACCCCAAATTTTAATCAATTTATCGGCAGCTACAAATAACAGTTAAAATAAGATACATATATAATAAAAACATTGAAATTTAATAAAAATAAGAATTTAAGTAAAATTAAAATGGTATTTATATAATTAATATTTAATGTAAAATAATAGAAACAAAAATTTAGCACACATGAGCTAGCAAGCCATTCTCCATTGGGGCTGAATTTAACTGATGATACAGCCTTAGTGTGACCAGCTAAAGTGAATTTCAGAGTATAGTTTGGTTTCTGAAAAGTGAAAAATAATGTTATGATTTTATCATATACAATATTCTTTTAATGAATACCACATTGCTTGATGACTTTTCTCTATCTCTAGCCGGTTGCATACTTTGACCGCCAATTTGAGAATTTGGTCCAACAGGTACCATCCTAAATATATATTCTTAGACTAGTCTTATAAATAACATTAAAATATTAACAGTTTTAAAATAAATAAATATACAAATAGCAAATATTTAAATTATATTAACACAGTTAATTAATAATTAAAAAATTACATGACAATTAATGAAATAATATAATAGTATCATAAAAAATCTAGGAATTTAATATGTGCTTATAAATTAGAAGAGATAGCAATAGCATGTCCGGATTTCAACATGTAAACAAAAAATATTTCTATCAGTTTAGCCAACATAAAATATTTTTAATGTAAAAAATCATGCAATAGTAATTTTTATTGACAATTAAACTATATTATTATCTATTACATTGATTTCAAAAGTAATTTTTTTCATATTTTTAAAATATAGTCGTACAACAATAAAATATTGTCTACAACAGTATTTACGATTCCCCCAAAATGTCGACACTGGGAAATACATACAATTGAGTTATGACTAGTTTATGCATATTTCATAGGAACCAAAAAACACATTACCGAAAAACGGTTATTGTTTCTTAGATTAAATATATTATTGGGTATATAAGAACTGTACAGTGAGAAAGTAATAGTTATAATAACCTAATAATTATATTAATTTTAATTAAAGCATAAAACTTAAGTTTGAAATTGTATAAACTTTTTAGACTATTTTCCAGTCAATTTTTAAACCTGTTTTTTTATTTCTTTTAGATGTATTATATTTAAAAAAAAAAGTGTGCTATAGCTTAAATGAAATCCAATCACCAGTGACACATCTAAAAATTGCTTAAAATTATTTTATTTATTTTTTGGTGATTGAAGGATAATTATTGCAGGGGAAGACTGACAAATGGGGCAGAGGGGCAATGAGGGCCGCTATGATTAGTATAATCCAGTTTGTAAAATTTATTTTTAGATTTTCATCATTATTTCTTTTTATGATATGATAATTATTTTTAGAGCGAGTTAAACCACCACAATTATTGTGTGCCTATCTAACTCCTTGACCTCCATTTTGCTATGGAACACATTTTGAAAGAAACAAAACATTTATCTCATTTTATCAAAACTTGTAATGTATGTTATTCCTTAAATGATTAATTTAAATACCTATTAAACAAGTAAACATACTTTTTACTCTTAAAAAAACCAAATAATCTATTTTTTAATTGTTTTTTCTCAGTCAATCTCTGCATATTAAATAAATATTATGAGTTTATTTTGAAATATAATAATTATGATGTTATTAAGTTCATTAATAAATATAATGGTTGGGTTATGTTGAAATTTTATTATATACCTAACTAAAATCATTGATACAATTTTTAAAAAAAATTTTAAGAACTTTAAGTCAAAAACAGTATAAAATTTATACTGTTTTTGACTCATTTAATGAGTTAATTTGGACTTTTTTATTTCTTAATATTTTGGAGACTATCACCTTTAATGGTGGTATTATCAAGATAATTATCTTGATATTAAAATTTTAAATATTTCAATAATAATGAAGTCAAAATAAAATAAAAGATTTTGTAAGCTTTTAATTATTAAAATATTTTAATTTATTTGAAAATCGGTTTTCATATACAAGAACAATATTGAGATAATAGATACAGGAAATTTATTAAAATAAATTCATTTTATTTTAAAATAATCTATATATTTTCGGTATTATATTTACCCATATACAGTTTATTTATTTTTTTAAATACTTAATTATAATTAAAGTTATATAATTTTAAAAATACGTATAGAATTTTTTTAGCTGCTCATAAAATTAATATTTTCCGTGACTATGTTGTTATATAGTTTATAATATCTAAAACAAAAATCATAAAATATCAAAAAATTATTTATTAAACAAATCTATAAACAAAAAGTTATATGATTTTTTTTTTAATTTATGAAAGCACATGACTATATTTACCATCATACTCCACATTTTTTTTATCTTTTAGTACTTCATTTATAGTTAAAGTTTCGGAATCGGGTAAACCAATCTCTTTTAAAACAATATTCATATTTACAACGCTGATAAATCCGGACAAGTTTTCATCGTATTTTTGGAATGCTTTTCTTATTTCATAGACGTGAGTTAAATATCCATTCACCATAATGTATGTAAATTTGGTGAGATCAAATAAGTCGTTACCTAATAAATAGTAAAGTTTAGTACCGGTTACAACTGTTCTAATCCAATTTTTTAATTAAAATTAATTTAAAATGTTGCTATTTTATTTCGGTATGTATAATCAGACACTTAAAATAGGTTTAAGTCGTCGGAATCATTTTTTTTTTTTAATTATAGTAAATTACATAAGCTATTATTTTTATATAATTTTAAAAGACTTAGAATAAATATAATTAATATTTAATAATTAATTTAATTATTAAAAATATCAGCAAAAGCTGATAAGGAAAAAAAAAACAAATAATTCAATAGACAACTATTATAATTTTTTCAAAGATCAATATTTACCTTGATATTTGTTAGGTTCAAAATATTTTTCTACGAGATTTTTTTGGAGGCCAGCTGATTCCAAATAATTTAATGTCATTTGTAATGTTATCTTGCTTTTTTGATAAAGATCAATTTTTTTAAATAAAATTTCAATATATTTGACCATTTTTATAATTTTACTATCTTTTATCAAATGCACTACCTACGAATTGTATACTTTAGACACCAACACAGCATAAATAAGTATATAGATAACTAATAAATGTGCTTAGCATATATATTTTAGCTACAATAATATAGTTAAAACATATAGGTAAAATATAAATATTTGTGTATAATTTTTTTCATTAATAATTTCTTTCCTACGTCGGGGCCCTATGGCAAAAATTATGACACGTTTATGACGTCTTTGCACAGTACATCTCTTAATGCGATGCATTAGCTTAAGTTATGAACTCATAATAGGGTAATTATTTGTAATAAATTTTAATTATAGGAGTTATATTTTTTCCCGCTTAAAAACGAAGTAACTTTTAAATTGTAGTTATTTGCCTTTTTTTATATTTTTGTTCATCGAGTTCACTTAAGATATTTTGATAAAAATTACTATTTTTTAAAAATATTTCCCACTTATATATTATAACAATTTTTGTAATTTTTTTTTTAGTCATTAATAACGAATATTTAACTTTTTGAGATAATCAACTTGTTCATCTTCGATTATGTATATACTAATAATAATCGTTTTTAGAAATTGATATAATTTAAATATATTATTTTTTTATACATTTTATTATCTATTATCTATTAAAAGTATTGAAATACTTTATTGTTTTCTTTACTGGCTTCTTCATTTCGTCTTTGTACTAATTCCTTTATTATTTGAATGTTATTTTCAACCGTAGACTCTTCGGTATCTAAAATCCTCTGCATTAAATAGAAATTACGTTAAATTTCGAGTTTATAAAGTAAACACAAGCATATATAATTATACATAATTGTAGTGGTGTAATCAAAGAATTAAGTAGTGTTATTTTTTTAGATAAAATTACAGTCAACAACTATTTTACACCATCATTAGAAATTTACCCAAATATTGTGTGGATTAGTTTCTTGACACCTTATGTATAGGGGAAAATAATAATTGTTTCCCAATTTTTTTATAGTGTACAGAGTGTTTAGTAAGTAAAGAAATCGGTCGATTGTTATAAACAGCGAGAACAATATAATACCATTTTTTTATTTACTGAACACATATATAAAAACATTGTTAGTTGTTAATTGGATACTACTATTGGAGTGCCAATAAATTCGATTAAGCTTTTACTGTTTAACATTAAAATGTCAATTAAAAATTAAAATAACAACTAAAATAATTTCTGAACTTACTACATTGCTTTGGACACATAATGCTGGTATAGTAAAAATAACAAATAAAAAATAAATTTTATAATCCATAGTTATTTCTTAAAATGAAAAGATGTAATGAAATTTTATAAATTTAAGAAAATTGAAAAATGACAAGAAATAAATTTATTGTTAAAAATGTTGCTTTTTTATAGTATATTATTTTTATGAAAAATGTGAGTAAATATTTAAAATATTAAAATTCGGTACTTATTTATAGTGCTTTTTAGAAAAAATAGTAATTATTTATTGGATGAAAAAATAACTATGATTATTAATAATAGTTACATTTTCTATTGATTCTATTTGTTTGCTAAATTAGATCGTATCGTTTAGTTGTTTATAATTGATTTATTTGAGAAACAACACATGTTCAAAAAATTAAATGATGTCTTTTTGAAGAAAATTAATCCCATGAAAATTAAATATTTGATGTATTTTCTTATGTAATTTTTTATAAAAATATAAATTATACTATATACAAGAGTGAGTCTACATAGGGGAGTCCCTGATATATTTGGGGACGTCATATGCGATGAACCTAATAAAACTTGGGTAAAAATGTACACCCAGAGAAAACCTCGATCTATATAATAAATTCATTGTTCAATTTGATAAATATATCATTACTATTGAATCTATGATATATTTATCAATATGACAATTTTTTTTCTTGTCTTGAACAATAATTATTTATAAGAATAATTATTTTGTTCGTATTAATAAAACATTATCATAAACCCTTGAAAAAATTTTTCTATCAAAATTGATTGAGGTTTTTCTTTGGGTGTATGCAATATTTTTTACGATTTATGTTTTTGCATTAAAATATATTTTAAGTATTTTAAACCAAAAAAATTTTTTGGGTTAAGCAGAAAAAAATGTTTTTTTGTTCTACAAAAAGTTTTAGGTGATTTCAAATACATATAGTATTACATGTTATTCAATGTGCTATGTAAAATAAAATTCAGAATAATATGAATGTAACGGTACTTTTTATTAAACAAATTTTAAAATTCTTCTTAACCTTGAAAATAATATTCATTTACGACACGTATCAATAAAATATATATCAACAGTAGGACTACAGGACTGTTTATTTTTATTATTAATATTTAAAAAAATTGTTCTAAACATTAACTCGTAGTGCTCATGTTTACATTTACTATAAATATTATAAAACACACAATCAATTAACGTTTAAAACTTTTTTTTTACAGTTATTGTAAAAAAAAAAAAAATATGCCATCAAAAGAAGGTTATAACGTGTTATTCCAAGCAAATTAAAACCATTTAATTAGTATAAATATAGTGTAAATTACGCGGGAAAATATAGTACTTCATATTATAACAGTTGAATAATTTTTTTAATGTGAACTTTATTTTACAAATAATTATTATTATTATATTTTCATAAATATTAGTTTATTTTATAGTTAAGCTAACAGTTAACACGAATTCGTTGAAATATGTTGAAGTTTTTTACTTGTTTCGTTTTTATAGAATTATTGATATCGACTATGGTAAGACAAAGTACAATTTTCAAAATAGTATCTAAATTATTACATAGTAATATTAATATTTTTGTCAACTCTATTACTTAATAAAAGGTTTATGGGTCGAGCTTATGTGGTCTGAGAAAATGCGGTAGGCCATCATTTTGTCAACAGCCTTTAATGTGTTACCAGGATCAATCACGACCATGTCCTGTACAAGTTTCAGTACAATGCCCTCCTACTTGTCCACCAACTTGTCCATTTCCTAGTCTACCATCATGCCCATCATCTTGTCCATCCCCATGCCCATCATCTTGTCCACCACCATGCCCATCATCTTGTCCACCACCATGCCTACCGTCATGTCCACCTCAACAAGTCAAATTAATATGTTATCCGTCATGTCCTAAATGCTGTTCAACTTACCAATGTACATGTCCATCAAACTGTCAATCGTCAAGTTGTCCAAAATGTAAGGAAAATTATTATTTATCATTTCCAATAACTCAAGATTGCACATGCGACTGTCCGGATGCATGTGATTGCAATTGTAAAAAGTAAATATTTATTTTACACTCACAAAATTATAATTTCTTTTTAAATTTCGAACTATAACAATTAATTGTTATTAAACAATAAATAATCCGTGAATAATTGTTTTATCTAAACTGAATTTGTACAAAAATAGTGCAATTTATTGTTAATCGAGGTAAATGAAAGATATTTGATTATTTCTATCTTACACTATTGAAAAATGTTTGATTTTGCTGTTAATGTCTTATTGTGTATATTAAAATATTTAATCGTTTTTTTCTGTTTAATCAATAGATAAAGAAAAAATATACATATTTAAATCTGTGTTCTTTTTTCACTTAAAATCAATATAAAAAATACTCTATTTTAAGTAGAATTCAATTCCAATTCTTATTTAATGAGAAATCTTCAAACCTAACCCAACCATACAATTAAACGAGTTGGATATTAGTGTTTAATCCGTCCAACAGTGGTCTCGTCACGGGGACAAATATAATGACCCTTTAGGGGGTGGTTAGTACTATATAGCTAAAAAAATGTTGTACGTCTTTTTTTTTAAGATTCTAAGTAAAATTTGTATAGCACATTGTGCATATCAATAACAGTATTTTTGACAATTTTCCAAAAAAATTGTATTCTTTAAATTTATTATAAATCAAATATATAAATTAAAGATTATGCATTATATATGACTTCAGTAGAGTTATTTAAGTTTTTGATGTGACAAACATAGTTTTTAAAAATTTAATATTTTTTCGATCGCTACGCTCTTGATTTAAATAAATAACTTTATTTATATATAGGGTGATCTAAATTAATTAACACTGGGAATTAAAAGTTTTTGTAAAGAGAAAATGTATCTGATTCAGACAACTGAACTGTACAGTGTCATATAGTTAAATAATTTGTTATTTTTTAATTAATATCTATTCCATAAGTATAGTATAGGATGGTTGGGGAATCCCAATAGTACTGAAATTTTAATTTTTTATACTCAGAAATTTTTTTTTTGAGTGTTTGAATTGTACAAGTGACAAAAAACATTTAATTTTAAATGAATACAATTTGTGTGCTTAGTATAAGTCATCAATATGTTTGAGGTTATCTATCGACAATTTAAAATTAGTATAATTTTATGGTAATATAAATAGTATTTGGAGAAAAATTAAACGATATATAGAAACATCTGGTTTTTATAAATAAAATTACAAAATACTTAATTTAAAGTTACTAAAAATTAGAAAATATATATTCTTTGTAAAATGTATTCAATGTTAATTATGAAAACATAGCTGTAAATTATATATTTGTTACAAATTATTCGATAATATTAAAATGTTTAAAGTTAAAAAAAAGAAAAGAAAACATGTTTTGTTCATGCATTCCATAGAATTATGAAACCATATAATATCGAGTAGAAATGAGTATTAAGTATTGAAGTTAATATATTAACTTTGATTAAAACTCCAGACTTGTAAAGTTTTATATAACTTTACAAATCTGAAGTCAATGAAATTGAACGTATTATCATAAAATTTTATCTGCAATGCTTTTAATGTATTCTTGTTATTTATTTCATAGATAACTATTGAATAACTCGAGTATTTATAAATCCTTTCAACTTGGAATTTGACAAATTCAACTGTAATAATTAGTCCAATGCGAATAATTTAGCAAATTAGTTACGATGTATTAGTTGATATTACAAGATAATATCATCAACAAATGGTCGAATGTTACTTCTTATTATTAGAATAAAATTAGTCGGAAGTTAAATCCTAACGAATATTTGATTAAAAAAATTATTCATGATGAAATTTCGTGTGGTAAAAGTACTTGCAATAATGGGTGCGGTGCGGGCGAATTTTTTTAGATTCGAAAACATCGGCGTCGTCACTGCTATAAGTGTACAAGTTGTCAGGGTAACACGCCCGAGAAGTCGTATCCTGTGAGCGCCACCTAGTGGCCGACCCTGGTGGTTCTAACATTGCATTAGAATTCAATCGGTGGTCTGGCCGGGTGCAATATGGGTCAAATGTTCGTTCGTTGGGAAAATCGTCTATCAAAACATTTTCAGTTTGATTATTTAGATAACAATTATTAGTTGAACTTTTCACATTATTACGTACAAAACGACATGCTTAAAGTTCGATACAAAATGGAGTGCGGAATTTTTTTTGTTTTGGATGAATGTGGTCGATCTCACAAAAGTCATAAGTTGTGTACTACGTAGTCAAGAAACATTCAGTGCATCAAACATTACTTAAGGTATTGTGCACCTAACTGAGTCAAAGTTATTCTTTCAGACATTCTATTGTGTCCAGGAAAATACAATATCCAAGTCGTTTTGACCGTGTACTTTTTAATGTATATTTTTTTATAATTATAATAACTATTTTAGACTGACTTCTAGCCGAAATTAGCGAAGTGTATTAAATTATATAAGCTTTGCAAAAAGTACCCAATAAATAACATAATATATTCAATACTATTTAAGAGCAGATAAATAGTATAAAACGAACAATATTTTTTTTTAGAATGTTACAATAATTTCCACGATGAACAAATAAATACACGATATACTGTTTAAATTCTTATCATTATTTTTCTGAAATGTTTATCGTTAATTTGTATAATTAAGTTATTTCATTTTATTTCCATGATACAAAATTTACATTGCAAAATTGTATTACTCTAGAAAATTAAATTAAGCCAATATATTTTTCACATAATATACACATAACTTGATTTATTGAAGTAAGCTTTCATAAAAATTAACAATGCTGAAATATACAATTATAAAACATAATTATTTCGATTTATTCAAATATTATATGGTGAAAACCATAAAAAAATAATTATTTTATAAAATATGTTCACCAAAGTTTAACTATCACAACTCAACATTTTTTGAGAACAAGACGAGGCTTTATTTATATACTTATTCAGTGAACATTTCAATGATAATAGTTAAGTGCTGGTGTATAGAAATAGGTAACAAATCTTTTTTATTTTGATTATAAATCAAATATACACATTAATAATGAATGAACTTTATTTTATAAATACAATATTTCGTGCTTTTGCAAGACAAATTTTATATTACCGTGATTATACTAATAAAGAAGTCTGTGCTGAGGGAAGGGGTAGCAACGGGAACAAGTGCCTTAGGACGCTACACATTTAAGGGGCGTCAATGTCAGTTAGCAAGGCACTGTTAATAAATATGGTATTTACGAGTAAAATAGGTAACATCATAGTATATACTAACATATATTCGTTTTTTAGTATATTATTTAAAACATACAGTTAAAGTATTTATTTCAAAATAAATTTATTTTTATTTTTTAGATAGAGAAAATTGCAAAAGGTAAAATTTTACATTTGTATTAGAAATGTAATTATTAAATGTTAGTAATTTAAACATTAGTTAATAGTTCAGTACGGTGTGAATACAAGGTTTCTCAACATCATTAGCTATGAAATGAAGTTATATACATAAAATTTCTCACTAATATGAGTGAAATACAAGCTACCATAGAATTTGCTATCGAGTACTGCAAATTTTACAACATCGATTTATTCCAACGAGGGTAAGTATTATGAAATGTTTATTAAATGAGATGAACTATCAATAACTCCCGAAGGATTTGTAGCTATACCTAACTTTTCATTTTGATATTTCTTCATGGCTTAAAATTTTAATACTTGTACAAATCTTTCTGAATATATCAGAGTTGTAAATCGCAAACAACAACAAAAATAAAGATATATGTTAAATATATATAAAAGTAAAAAAAAATAATATAAATGTAATGTTACGTTATAGTTTCGTGTAAAGTTAAACAAGTTATGTTCAAGTTAAAATCAAATCAATGCATTAATAATATAAAAATAATAATTTGTTTAAAAATCTGTACCGAGATGAATGTCACTACTACGTGGTCTAAAGAATAAACGCATTTACTTAACATATTAAGGTAATGCACAAACAAAAATCTTTATCATAAGTACAAGTAAAATAACTACAAAGGTCAATGACAGAGAGACGGGAGCGCATTAACCATGTGTGCATTGAAAGGATTTTATAATTAGACATTATTATATTTATTTTTAGTTTATATCGCATAAGAACTGAACTAAAAGTTTCTCCAAAACTATCCGTTCAGGTAGAAGTCAGCTTGAAAAAACATCAACAAAGTAAATGCTAAAGCTACTTTTTTTTAAGTCACAAAACATTAATTATGTTCATTTTTAGAACATGATAACCAAAAAAATACACAATTTTGTTATGTAGAAAATGGTGAAGATCTTGGAGTCAGCAAGACTTTTCGAATACTTTATAGGCATGAAGAAATTCTCCTTGATGATATTATACTGTTTAAAGCACATGTGCTTGTAGACAGTAACAAAGTAGGTTATTCTAATATACCAAGCTATTTTTATTGATGTTTAATAATTTAATGCGTATATAACAGCTTCAAGATAGTCTTGAACGTGCAGGGTTTATTTTGAACGTAGAGTTATGGTTCGGAGAAAATGGTTCAATGTGTTGTGTTTCAACAAGAAGCTTACAACTACACATATGTCCTTCTCGGGGATTGCATTATCATTTGCCAGTACTATTTGATTATTTCCATTTGTCAGCTGTAACTTTGACAATTCACGCAAACTTGGTTGCATTACACCAACCTTATATCAAGTAAGATGTAAAATATCGAGATTTAACAAGATATAAGATAATCGCGTATATTTATTATTACTTGCAGAAAGAGCATTTTGAGCTACATGCAAAGCTGGTAAATATAATTGTTGAAATTATTCAAATTTCGAGAAAATCTAAAATTGGTATTACATTTCATTCTTTAGTGCTCCAAGAACTAGTAAAACGTGGTTGTCGAACAATACACCTCGATTTAACTTTAGATCATCACATTCCATTGAATCAGTATTTTTTGGTAGTACGGTAAATAATTATTAGCAGTTTATTTAATTTTTGCTCAAATTAATTATTATTTTCAATTTTATGTCACCGCAAAGAATGGTCAAAATGGACCAATGAAATGTGTTGGAAATTCAAGTAACATGACTAATAATAATCATGTCAATCGAATGCTTAATGCTCGGCTTATTCATCGTGAGGTGTGTTCTTTGCTGTCGGAATCTTTTGAAAATCTCCATTCTACAATTGCTCAATACAACAATATAATGCCTGTATGGCAACAAGTAGAGACACCAGCTGGTTTAAAAAACGCTGTTATCATTCCTCAGACTAATAAGGTAAATATACAAAAGGTAACTTTTTTAATCAATTTAAACAGAATAAAAAATTGGAAATATATTCTTAGATTTTAGATGAAGATGAATTTTTAGCTCTAGCAAATAGTAGTATAGCTCAATTATGTGCTCAAAATATATTGCTTTGGCATCATTTTTTGGATAATTTTACAAAAAAACAGGCTGTAAATCAACATCTATCAAAAAAACATCATCAATTACGTGTAAAATATACTTCTCAAATAACTTCAAATTTTTTAATTTTATACAAAACATATACTTAATAGGTTAAGAGGTTTGCTGAAGCTTTTTTTGTGTTAGAAAATCCTAGACAAAGTGCAGCCGGTTGTTATGACGATCATAACAACTATCAACATTACAGGGCAATATCAGAAGCTGCGAGGAGATCGAGGTATCTAGCTGCACTACCGCCACTGCCAGTTCATTGTTCTGCTACAGATGGCGATCCTATTACTTTACCAGTAATATTTGAAGATCAGTACACAAAATCAGGATCTAACACAATGCGATCAGATAGTGGTAATCAGACTATATAATTATTTTCGTTTAATGCTCTAATTAATTAATTTGTAAGTAGTTTTAATCACTTATTTATTGTTTATAATGATAAAATATAGATTCAATAGTAAATTCATATAACGCTCAAATTAGTAAACTTCGATCAACATTACTATTTAATGAAGACTGTAATTGTGGTATAGCAGCAATACTAGAATCAAGAAGATGTAGTCAAATGGCACAATCTGGAAGATTAATTAAAAAACAAGGTTAGTATATTTAACTGTATTTACACAAGCTAACTTGTATATGATTTGTCTGTAACAAAATATTTAAATTAAAAACGAGCGAAACTCAAATACTTTTCTTTTTGTATGTTCATTAGGTGAACAATTTAACGATAATTCACGAATCAAAACAAGACACAGTAAATCACTGGATCAACTATTAAGATCAACAGTGATGGAAACCCCAATGTTATCATTACCTTTAAGTTTTTCTAGAACATTTGAACCTAATAATAATATTAATCTGGATGAAAAATCATTACACTTAAAAACTTTAATTCAAAAAAAACCAGACATCATACAAAGTAATGAAATAATGACACTACCACGTCGTATGAAAGATAATATTAAACCACCTGAGTTCAGAGTACAGCTGAGTGGCTATGCTTCATTGCCATTAAGAAAAAATAGTAAACGAGCAACAAGAGCGGTAAATAGGATTGAGAGGAAAAGCAAAATTGCATCAAATAAAAGTCATTCACCATCGTCTGATGAAGAATCTATAGTTTTCAAATTAGGAACAAGTACTAGTGTTCCAATGAAATTGGGTATCTTGAACACATCTCCTATCACAGTGAATTATACAAATAGCGCAACTTCTATACCAGATGTCATAAAAGAAAAAAAAACATTTAGTGTTGCAAATAGTAGTGAATCTATGCCAGATCTTGCAGTAAATGCAATGACACGTTTTTCTTCTGTGTCAGATAGTGATATTACTTCTGAACAGAGTGGATGGGTATCCAGTCGTCGATCTTCGTTATCATCACTTTCTGGTGAAATGACGCCAAAAGGTGAGGTCTAATTATTATAACCTAATATTTTATAACATAGTGTTCATAAAATTTAAGTAGAAAATTAAATAATTTAATTTACATCAAATTTTATTACAGCAGAAGATCCTTACGGAACTAGACAACATTTATGTATGGGGAAAGAATTGCAAAAAAGATTGTTAAAATTGTTAGAAGAATCGCCAAATCGAAGAGTAAAAACAATAGAGAAAAAAGAAAAAAGAGCTAACGAAAAAATAAAAAAAGAATCAAAAGATACAAAATTTGTTAATTCCGAACAAGTCTATGAAGAAGTACGTTTGCCACCTCCAAGGCAATTTCGAGATATTCCACTTCCACCGGAACCTTTTAGAGATACAATTCCTCAGCCAGAATCAGTTGATAACTTATTATATCATATGTATGAAACAGTAAAAGAAGCACGGTGGAATGATGAACATAGAAAAGCAATAAAACAAAAATGTACAAACAATTCAAATAAGACCATAACTAGGTTTGTAAAATATTTGTTATAACTTAATGGGTTTATCAATATACTTTTATGTATAATTAAAATAGTTCAAAAAGTGTAACATGTAGAAAGGATCTTTTAATCTTCCTGTTTATATATATGATTTATTCCAAGTAGAACATTTTTTTAAGAAAAATTTCTTTTTTTGTAATTTTTTGATATAGAATTCATACATTTAAAGTAGGTTATTTGAAAACAGCAATAAAATTTTAGTTGATTAAGAGACAAAAAACATTACATATTTTGTATATTAAAATTAATAATATTATCCTACAACTTACGATAAAGAAGACCGCTAAAAATGTTTTAGTGCTCTATTTAATTACATTTTATTTTAGAACAAAAAAAAGTAATTCGGAACCAGAATACTACGACGAAGACATGCACAAAGACGTGAAAGCTGATATTAGAATTCAATCGTACAGCAGCGTAGACGATAATTCAATGTTTCAAAAGTACAAAGAACAGTTTAAAAAACAACTTAGTTTCACAGGAATGATTTATAGGTATTAATAAGTTATAACGTTTAATTGTAATACCTATTAAATTTGATATTTTTAATGTACAGTAGGGTGGATAAAAAAAAGTCGATCTTTTTTAAAGAAGATCGAAATTTAAAGATTTTTTAAAACAATTTTACTAGTTTCTATACGTGTTTTTAGTATTTTTACGAAAAATACCCCAATAAACAAAAAACCAACTCTGTTATTTTATTTTTGGTCAAATATTATGATTAGTACATTAAAATAGTTTTACTGTGGAATACAGAGTAATTTTTTATCATAACCCATTTAATTATTCACAGAATAAATATATTTAAAGCATTTTTTTTTTTTTGGTTATCTTTATTTACGCATTATTCTTGAATTATTAACTATGTAATACTTTTTAAGGTTAACCTTTATGCCTTATAAGTTTGTCAACTTTGTTTTTTTTAAATTTGAACACATATTTTGAATTTAATAAAATGTATGAGTTTTTAATTTAATGGTAAATAGCATTTGAATTTTTAATATAACTTTATTCGTTTATTAGATATAAACCAATAAAGTTTCAAATTTTTTAGTTAATATACAAGTATAATACACGAGGGATTACAAATACAGATGGCTAATTGGTTTTTTATGACATTGCTATCACGTCACGGAGTGTTTGTTGTCAATTATGACTATCAATAGATAAACCTTCTGTATTGCCAGTTAGTGTATTAATAACTCACAACAATGGGTTTTGCTACCATTGATAATAAATGCGAATATCGACGTCATAAAAAACCAATTAGCTACCTGTATTTGTGTTCCTTGTATACATTGTTTATTTATTTATCATTAAATTAAAAACTGAAACATTTTATTAAATTCAAAATATGTGTTCAAGTTTAAAAAAACAAAGTTGACACCCTTACAAGGCATAAAGGTTAAACTTAAAAAGTATTATATAGTCAATAATTCAAGAATAATGCGTAACTAAAGGTAACCAAAAAAAGAAAAAATTCTGTGAGTAATTAAATGGGTTATGATAAAAAATTTACTCTGTATAATTTTTGTTATTTTTTCAACATTTTAAGTCAAAAATTGATATTTAAATCTATATTCAAAGCCATTAATACATGTATGACCAAAATCTGACAGCCCCATAACACTTAAATACAAAATCGTTTCACAAATAAAATATCTCTATAAGAAATGGAAAAAGTTAAAAAAGAAATATTACTGTTCAAAATGAAAAAGAAATTAAATTTCTAAAGTCATTAGATACTGTCATTGATATTTCAATCGCAAATACTTTAGATATCAATTTTTTAAACAAAGAAAGTAAATCATCTATTTCTAAACCAGTCTTGAGTACTAAAACTTTAAAATATAATAAAATTCTCGTTAGAACTACTAAAATAACCATATCAATTAATCAAATTAAATCCATATAAATTAACTGTTTTTCTTGAAATATTTTCAAAAATATCATATATTTTAGCTTACACTTTAATTAAAAATATATATATAAGTTTTTAAGATTAGTGAATAATTTTTATTCTGCTTATAATATATATAAATATCAACCAAACAGCATAAAAATAAAAATTTTAAAATTTGTTAAGCTTACTTGAGACCTACTAGAAATATACCTTTTAATGACGTTAATTATGATATCCACGCAAAATATATCATTTCTTATTTATATTTGTCTTGTTTCTCAATTTAAATAATAATTTGCTACTTTAGTGATATACCCATATTGGCCTCAACATTGCCATATTTTCATATTAGCGAGGATTTACGAATGTTTTCGCCCGAAGGTGTTCATCTCATAGTTTGTGTCCACGGACTAGATGGCAATTCAGCTGATCTGAGACTTGTAAAAACTTACATACAACTAGGTTTACCTGGAACTCATTTAGAATTTTTAATGTCTGAAAGAAATCAGGTAAAAAAAGACACATGCAAAAGTTTTTAGTTATAAATTAAATATTTAAATAATTAAAATTCAAACAACATTAAATAATTTTCTAGGGTGATACATTTTCAGATTTTGAACGCATGACAGATCGTCTTGTTAATGAAATCCATAGTCACATAGCTTCATATCATATGGTTCCTTATCCTTCACGAATAAGTTTTGTCGGTCATTCATTAGGAACGATTATTATTCGTGCAGCAATCACTCGTCCACAAATGAAACATTTGTTGCCGAAAATGCATACATTTTTATCATTATCTGGACCTCATTTAGGCACATTGTACAATACAAGCGGTCTTGTTAATATGGGTGAAAAAAAATTAATTATTTAAAAAAATATTTTGTTCTTTTTCAACTAGATAAATCAACTAGATCAACTTTTGATAAAAACATTTTAAATATTAAAATATCTTTTTTTAACATCTATTTTTCTACTTATTTTTAAAAATATTTATTTTTTAGGTTTGTGGTTTATGCAAAAAGTGAAAAAAAGTGGAACTCTATTGCAATTATCATTAAAAGATTCAACTGATATTCGACAAACATTTCTTTATCAATTGGCTCAAAATTGTCATTTAAGTTATTTCAAACATGTTCTATTGTTTGGATCATCACAAGACAGATATGTTCCACCACATTCAGCCAGGATAGAGTTATGTAAAGCAGCAATAAAAGACACTACGTCAACAGGTAACAAATACTATTTATTTAAAATGATTAAACATTCTATATTATAAATAAATAACATATATTTATGTAAATTCATACACACAAATTATACTTTACAGGGTTAGCATATAGAGAAATGGTGAACAACATATTGTGTCCAATTATCAATAAACCTGAAGTAACATTTATTAGATATGATGTACACCACGCATTACCTAATACAGCTAATTCACTAATTGGACGTGCTGCTCATATTGCAGTTTTAGATTCAGACTTGTTCATAGAAAAATTTCTTGTAGTAACAGGACTCAAGTATTTCCGATAATCACCTAAAATTAACATTTGATTACTAAAATACAATAAATTTAAATATTAGCAAAACTTATAAAAAATTCAGTAATAAAAGGAAGGAAAATGTACATTAAATTTAAATAAAAACTGTAAAATAATAATTTATTGATATATTATAAAATGTTAATAGAATAAGAAATATAATGACTAAATGGAAATAACAGAAATTTATAAAATATAAATTATTAACTTTGTGTAATTAATATCAGATAAAAAGTACTATAATGTTATAAAGTAAAAAAAAAAAAAATAAACACTCATTTAAAAAATTAATAAATAAAACATCTTTTAAAATATTATTAATTATAACAGAAATTACATGAAATATTTTTTTTTATTTAAGTTATTACTATATATTTAGTGTAATTTACATAAAACTAACATAAATATGAACAAATTATTACATCATAAAAACTAGAAATATTTGTTAAAAAAACTTTTGAAAAAACCTACCACAATTATATGCTCAAAACTAATCATGTATATTATAACTTTAAGTTGTATAATGTATAATACAAATTTTTATATACATGGTTCACATAAAGGCTGTTTTTATAGTTACATGATTTTTTTTTGATAATATTCTTATGAATATTTAAAAAAACGTTTTTATTTAAAAAGAAATTTTAAAATATAAGTAAAAATTTACTAAAATGAAATTTAAATATGACTTGTAGGTAAATAGACATGTTGAAACTTTCTCATGTTTTTTCTCTTAATTATGTAATACATTAAAAAAAAAAAAAATGAATTTTTATCAAACAATCAATGAATACAATGTTTTACATAAAAACTAGAAAAGTATTTTAAAATAAAAATTTTGACTATCTAAAATAATTATTGAAAAAAATATGTAAGCTTAATTTCAAAAAAATTAAATGCGTACAAAAATTATTTTAAATATTAAGAAGTGCAATCAGTCAATTATGTTTTTGCTATATATTTCATAAATTCATTAAATTAAATAATTGTAATCATTATTATAAATATTATTAATATTTGTAAATTTAACTAACATTATTTGTTTTGATTTATAAAATGTTTAAGTATTAAATTTTTTTATGCTAAAATAAAGTGTTTTCTATTTTTCTAGAATAAAAACCATTTTTGTACTGTAAAAAATATTATATTCTACTAATTTTTTTTTTTTAGGTATTAAAACTACTTATATATTTTTTAATAATCCCTTTTAAAAAGAAATAACTAATAATAATTTTAAGTGAAATTTCTATTTAATAATAGAATGAATTCCATATACTTTTTCAAATATTAATATATCATTATAAATACTCACTCATATGCAGCATATGATATAAAGTGACTATTTGATTGAATGCTTTGTAACATGATTGAACTTATGATAAATTCTGAAGAATAAATAACTATAACACAAGAAATTTGGTAATCTAATACTTTTCTTAACTAGAGAATAACTAATATAATTAAATATCACACTTACTGTAATTTATTTTCAAGAAGTCATTGACCAAATGTAAATCTTCTGAGCAAGATATTACAAAATAGGTATTTGGAGTAAGTAGTTGTACATTATTAATTGATCGTATTTCTTTTTCGACTATTCCACCAGCAGATAATATAATTTCTTCAAAACGTGAATAAGGTGGATACAAAATTCCAGGAGTTATATAAAATATCTTGTGTCTGAAGAGATTCTGGCGTAATGCACTTACAAGAACACGAGGAACTCTACAAACTATTTCATTTTTATCATAAATTTCTTTTATTGTGTAATGCATCTCATCTATAATATGAATAATAATACAATAACATAATAGTTTAATAATAAATGAAAATTAAATTGATATTACCTTTAAATTTCAATTCACTATAAGAATCTCTTAACCAACTCTCATTAACTATTTGATTGACAGTTGACAAACAACATAGGAACTTTAACGTTTTTTTTGGCTCTTTCATAATTAAATGAGTGGCTTCATTGCATTGTTTTGCTATTACACCACCTAGTTGTAATAATATCTAAAAAATTTATATACCATTTATCATATACAAGAAAATGAATATTATAGATTTTATTAAATATATACTTGTTGCAGTGCTTCTTGTTCAAGGATAGAAAACCCACAAAACATAACATATGGTTTTTTTCCATAAGATACATAAGTTATAACTATATCATTTGTATTAACATCATCATTATCCGTTAAATCAATTAGCTCTGGATTTGAATCTGCTAATTTTGGCTTTTTACAATTTAAATCATCTATTGGGCTATCAGTTAGATCATACACATGGGTATTTTTTAAATAAGCTACAGGAGTTTTCCAAGCATCTGAAAATGAGAATAATGTAGTAATATAATATTAATACACAAGAACTCAAATTAAGTACATACTCATTAAATTAGACACCATATCATAATTTATAGAAAAAGGATTGACAATATTAAACTGTTGATACTTAGGACTATGCGGATGATTTATACAATATTGGGCACCAAAAAGTATATCATTTAGCCATTCAACATTGACTATACACCTTTTCAGAGCTTGTGCTTTTTCAACCATTTCACCCTGAAGTCTACAAAAATAACATGATATATAATAAAATAATTTTCTACAATTTCCAGTAAATTTTGAATAATGAATTAATAAACTTCACACCTTTTACTAATAACAATATCTGTTCTAGAACTAACTTCATTAATGACTTGAGCACCAGTTAATTTTACCATACTTCTTACTCGATAGTACTCATTAACATCAAAATCAGCAATTGCTATTTGCAAATGTTGACATGGTAAAATATTGTTGTCACTGAAAATACAATATAATTTTTTTTAACTTTTTAAAGAGAAAACTTTTTTTTATTATAACAAAAAGAAAAAGTAACAATGATTTTTGATAATTTGGGAAGTTTTTATATATAGAATATGCTAAAATAATACACATTTTTCAATTCAACCATTGCTTAACTAGAATACAAATAAAACATTAATATCTAATAGAACTACGACAATTACCTAAATGGTGTAGGTAAATGATGTGCAAACCAGGGAGGTAGCATAGCTTGTTTAGCAATAACATCAGAAAGCCAATAATCAGTCACACATCTTTTATTATCTTTTAAACCCTAAAAAAATTAAGTAATTTATATTTTCTATTTTTATTAAATAACTTTAAATGATTATACTTGTTCAACAATACTGTGTTTTTGAGATGCACAAATTACATGTGTAACACGAGAAGAATATGATTGAACAACTGTTCCACCATGCTCAATAATACTAAGTTTAGTCATAGATATATCACTACATAAATCTTCACAATGTGGATAATCTTCAACAATTAAAAATATACAACCCAAAAGAAATTTTTTTGAAGATACTGTGAAAAAGAATAATTACAAAAAATAACCATTTTTTTTGTTAAATTTTAATTGATGTAAAAACCATTCAATTGAAATATTTTAAAAACATTTTTAAAAGCTTTTACTAATAATTAAATGAATCAAAAACATTGTTTAAAAATATTTATACTTATTACACTTTAAATTTGAGTCGTATCCACAATATTCAATTTTTTTTTTGTCAACTTGTGGTTTCAATATATAATCTTCAATATTAGTCTAAAAATTAATAAGTATAAAAAGAACTATACTATATTAATCATTATTACTAATCTTAAATAAATGTACTTTTACATAAATAGCAAATCATAATAATAAGTTTTATTTGTGTACTTTTAATTCATTTATAAATTTATTGAACCAAAATAGGTAATATACTAACCATAACTAATCTTTCATCAATATTTGATGTGCTTGGATTATGCAAAGATTTTATGTTTTCAAATTCTTGACATTTATTTAAGTAATATGCTTTTTCAGCTTTTAAGTCAGCAATTTCTGACTTCAAATTACTACAAATGTAAAAAATATATTAATTAGTTACATTGGACATAAATATAGAGTTTGGCACATACAACTACAACATTTTGAAAAGTACAATGGGTTTATAACAAGATTCATTGAGGCTTTATAATGCAAGCTTTTTTGAAAATATTTAATCTATATTTGAAAATATCTCGAATCATTTTTTTTTTAATCCTTTTTAAAAAACTAGAAATTATTTCTATCACTCTCTATATCAATATATATAAAACACAATTTTTAACTATAACTTTATTTAATATTAACTTACTCAATAACAACAGCATTGACAGAATGTAATTCATAAATACTCTTATCTAAGGATACTCGTTTTGCTTTCTCTGTTTGTAATTGCGTCTCTAAATTTTTTTTTTGTTCTTCTAACAAAAAGTAGTTTCTAAAGAATGAGAAAGTTATGTTAATAAAATTTTAACTAATCATTTCTTTATCACACTATAATAATACATTTAGAAATCATAAATTTATATTACAACTTTTCTTTTGAAATTAATAATATTCTTAAATACAATTCTAATATTCTAACATTTACGTCTGTGAATTTATAGGAAAATATGAGAAATATAAAATTTAAAAAATACTTAACATAGTATTTAATATTTTTGTGTTATAATTTTAATATAGCTATAGCAAAATTTATAAATTATGATAATTAAACTATCAATATTATAAATACACTTTTTTATCCAAATATGTTTATAGTTAAATAATAGAATAATTCTACAAAACTAAGTATATAAGCAACATACATAATTTTATAAATAAAAAAATAACTCACATGTTAAATGTTCCTATTTGCTCTTTTAACTGAGTAACATGTATTTTATATTTGTCAATCTCAAGCTTTTGAGATTGTAGAGAATTATTATTTTGTTCAGTTTTTTGCATCCATTGTTTAAGTTGGGATTCTAGATTAGTTATAAATACAGAATTTTTTTTTTCTTTTTCTTGCAGATCTTTAACTTGTTTCCTTGATAAAAAAAAATGAATGCAGTTTAATATTTAGTCAGCTTTATAAATAATAAATTAAGTTTATTATTGTCAACTATGTGGCAAAATTACTTGAGTCATACTTTAGTTGTTGGATTTATAACTGTAGAAATGAGGTTTATTTTTTGATTAATTATATGATTACTTTATCATGAAACTTTTCTCTTGTAATGATAAAATGAGTAAAAAAACAGAAGAGAAAATATGACTTATGAAGTTTAGCCATGTAACTGGCAGATATGAATATAAAGACTAAATTAACATATATAGAGATTAATGTCTACTTGGTTCAGCATATTTACATTTATAATTTAGACTTACTATATTCAAATTAATTATTTGTTTTATAAAAATTATAATATTCTATTTATGAATAGTACAAGGGTACAAAGGAAAAATAATAGAAGTCTATTTATTTTCGGTTTTTATTTTATAGTTTGATTTGATAATCTATAAGCAGTAGTATGAAAAAATAAAATCCATTAAATGACAAATGATTTCATTTTTCTAATTTTTAAGTGTATATTTTTGCTTTATCATTAAAAGAATGAAATTTTTAACTTTAATTTTACTTTCCTGAAAAATTTACAAAAATGTACTATTATCTTTTTTTCCTTATACTGTTCAGTTATATAAGTGTTATAGTTATATAGTAGAATTTAACTTTTAAAAGTAATTGAATGTAATTTATTAACTAATTTAACAAAAGTAACAATAATAAGTAACAATCATTTTAGTGATGTATTTATGGGGGGGGCTATTCTTCGAGTCAAACCATCCCTGAATTCAATAACAAAACTAAAAAATTATACTGATTACTATACTTGATGGAACTAAAATTTTTTTTAGGAGGCCTAAAGTTTTAAATCATTTTGGTGACTTATTTTTTGCTCTTAAAACTATTAAAAATTTAATAATTATTTACAGTAAAAAAAACTAGCCCAATGTTTTTTTCTAAATATGTCACGACATAATTTATTATATTTAAAACTTCAAGATAGATGATGACAAAGGTCAAATTTTAATATTTTATTTAAATTCTTAGAGCCATTCTTCTTTTTCAACTGAAGCAATAATGAAACTTTAAAATAATAAATACCTTAAAGATTGCAACTCATCATCAATTTGTCTATTCCATATTATACGAGCATTAGGATCTATTTGTAAAAATAATTTGATAAGTTGGTTTTCTAAAACTGTTGAACGACAATTTGGACAAGTCTTGGCCCTGCACAAAAATTAAAAAGTAAATTCATATTTCGGCTAAAATTAGATACTTTTATCTGAATTACCTATTTAACCACGTTTTAAGGCAATGGAGATGAAATACATGTCCACATAATGTAGTGAATACTGCAGTTTGGTAACAACCAACAAATGTTTCATCACAAATAGAACAAGTAAACATTTCATAAAAATATTATTTTTAACTAGTGGTAATAATTAAAAATTACTTTTTGACACATTTCAATCCTGAAATAAAATATATGTAAATTTTACATTTCATTAACTATAATTTAAAATATTATATATGTATTCATAACAATTTAACAGTTTATTAATTGTCATATGTAATTACTGAGTTGTAGTCGCATATTTTAAAATTATACATATTAAATACAAACATTAGATAAATTAATAAATTAATATATTCCAGAAAAATATATTACTTTGTTTTTAATTTAGCTTATGTGACAAAATATTTTAATAATTAAAAAATTACCATTTACTAATAAAATTTTAGACCTTCTACATATCACACATCATGATGTTCAATAAAAAAAATCAAATAAAACAAATAATCTTCATAAGTTTTAAAAAATCTAATATATCAATAAATTAAAAATTAATAATATAGTACTATTGTAATTTAATTTAAACATGGTCCCTAAATATGAATTTATTAAAATAACTTAGATATGTAAGGGTACATTAAATAAATTAAATAATCTATTTAATAATCTAAATACCAAATTAAAAATAAATTTAAATTTTCATATTTTGACAATTGTTTTATTTAAAAGTTTTGTAAAAAAATTTATTAAGGTATTAAATTTTACTGTTAAAAAAGACATTAATAAAACTCTTATCACTAAAATCTTAATCTAGTGACAAGAGTAGTAGCGTACGCAGGATTTTATTTCGGGTAGGGTTTCCACTATAAGTTGATAATAGACCCACGAACAGCTTACTAGTTTCGAGAAGGGTTAAAACCTTAGAACCTTACCCCTGCAAATGCCATTGAACAAAAGATAACCAAAAAATAATCATTAGTTAGCCAACGTTTTAATCATTACGTCAAGTGATAGTTTTCATTGAATTTTATTAATTTAATAATAAATATAAATAATACACTTTCTCTAGACTGTCATCTACTACATGCGCGCAAGTAGTTTTGTATTAGGAAAATAGGTGTACGTATATACTAGAGAGTTCAGAATGGCACCTTTTTGTGGACACTGTCGTCTTTATTTCATTTTATTTTGTCCTTATTTTTATTCAATTTTTTTAATTCTTTATTGCAAGCTTGAGTGAACAAAATTTAAACAATAAAATTTCAAAAAATATTTTAACTTCATATTGTTAACTTATTGTTAAAAGTCGGATTATATCATTAAAAAATGTATGTTCGAACATCACATCCTTTACAATTTTAGTGTAGTAAAGAGTTTAATTCTTCCAAAAAATGTAAAATCTCTTGGTAAAAAAATAATGAATAAAAAGGGTCATCCAAAAAAAATTACCGCTTTCACGTAAGTCAGTTTTAACATTTTTGTTATTTTAAAAATCTTATTAGTATTATAGTAATTATTTGTAAATTACAATGTTCAAATGTTTGAACTTATTTATTTATAAAATAATTAAACCAAAAAATAGTTCGTTAAATAAGTAATTAACTTTATTTGTTGGAACAAAAAATAAAAGCTATATAAATAGTTTAATTCAATAATTAGGTATTCTAAACGTTATTTATTTATTAAAAATTGTATTATTATAAATGTACATAAAAAATCATGTTACACACACGAAGTACAATTGTAAGAAAAAACTACGACTTGTTTCAATTCTATGTTTTTTATCAATCATATTTATATTGATAAAATATAAATATAATCTCCGCATTTAGGATTATATTATTTATTAATTGCTACCTGTTTCTTTTACTAAGGCTTCTCTACGAAAGGCTAATAAATATGATTTCTGTTAATAACTTAGTCATTTTCTTTTAATACATAAAAATAACACAATTACAATTCAAAACGTAACGGAATAATTAAACACATAAGTTTAGTTTAATATAGTTAAGCTAATACATAAAGGACCAACTCTATATTTAAAATTAAATACATAATTTATATGAAAGCACAAACTTCATTTAAAATAAATTATAAAATAAAAATTGATTTTATCGTTTGAAATTACAATAGTTATTCATATAAGTATCAAATTTAAATTTGATGAAATTAATAATACTCTTTTTCGAATATAATATGAAAATGTCATTGTAAATTTACCAGAAGTAAAAAAAATATTTTTGTTTATTCCCATAAACAAAATTGATCCCTCGAGGTTTCACAATTACCACACTAGACACCGGTTGAATCTTTGGTTGAGTTTATAAACTATCGAATAGGATAGCTCAAAAGGTGATTTTGTTGTAAGTGTACACACTGATATGGAAGTGGAGGCATATAAATTTAATAGAGTACAGAAATTCAAATGCCTAGGTATAATTAAACATATAAATTAATATAATCATATACATTAATTAAATATATAATGAAGTACAAGAGGAAATAAAAGCAAGAATATATTTGGGCATTAGGTGCTACTTTGGACTGAACAATTGTTTAACATTATTGACTTATACAACTTAAGTTGTTTAAGTCAATAATGTTATTTAGGATCTTAAAAGTGCAACTATATAAAACTTTAATGAATTTTAATAATTTTTTAGAGGAATGATAATTAATTTCAAATGAAGTCTTCTGGAAATCAACATTAGTTACGGACCATTTAGTCTCCTAGCTATGCCACTGCTTAAATGAATATTTTTTGAAAACTCATTTAAATACGACTAATTATAAAACTCGGTAAATCACATAGTTATTTCTTCATTTTTATAAAAACAAATAATTATTTCACGTAATCTACATGAAGCTATGTAATTAAATATCTATTACTAAAAGAACTGTGTAATAGTAATTTTTTTTAATACAAAACAATTATTTTATTAATATTACTAATTGGAATTCTTAGATACTTAATGAATTAAGAAAAAAAGAAAACTAATGTTAGTAGCATTTCTTTTAAATTATGGACTCTTTGCCTTATGTTCAATATGAATTTTATTTTTTTTTCATGATAAAATATAGCAATTCACAAATTTTATGACTATTTGCTACTTTTGGTTACTGATACTAAATGTAATAATAATTTGTCACGTTTTGTTGTCGTTGATGTTATGGGCATGCTGATTTACACTCATGATTCATTATCTATCACCTTGGTTGCGGTTTATGACTACGTTGTGGCCACAGTAATAGACTATTGGCTGATAACATTATCTAATTTTAATCAGTATCGCCGAAGGAAAATGCAAAAGAAAGTGAATGTACTCTAATTTTACTCAAACATCTTAGAATGTCATTGTAGAAGTGGTAAACTAAATTGTTTGGTGTATACACCAGGAATATGTATTTGAACTGAGTGAAGGTTATTTTCTTAATTTTTCATTCCACAACGGAATACTTTCATTTACCAATCGTGAATAATTCCAGTTTATCAGTAGTGCTTGGAAGACGTTTAAGGATTTCACTTATTTGGTATTTATCAATACGCTTAATTAAATTTATTAAATCAAGACTTTTTTCTTACATTATAATTAAAAATTAATATAAATGTAGTTTTATTTTAGTCTTTACTATTATATCTGCGACAAATGTTTGATTATTGGTTGTATATCTGGATGTAAACAATAAACACAATAGTTTAGTGGGTGTGTCAGTTAATTAATTATCTTAGCTCAATGAACCATATTTTGTTGTTTTAATATAATTATAAATTAATATATACTCATACATGATTTCTCAATGAAAAATTTTTTGTAATGTATAAAAAATGTATACATAACAGTTGTAATCAAAGTTCTGATCATAAAATAATTATAGAATATTTTTGTGATAATTTCTTTATATTAAATTAACATTTAAATTCATTGTATTAGTAAGTTTTCAAAATATAACAGTTGTCTGCTTTTTTTTTCAATATAACAATCTTATTTAGTAAAAATGGTTATTTTTAATTATAATAATACATTTAGCATATTACAACACTGATTTACCTTATTTATATAAAATTATCAAAGTAATAAGATTTTCTTGTAGTTAATTAGTAAATAGTATTTAGGGTATGTAATTTTAACTATTTTATTTTGGCTTTTCATTAGTTTTATAAAAAATTTTAATAATTCATTAGTATTTATAGTTATTATACAGTGTTCAATGATTTAGAAGATAGGTCAATTGTTACAAGCATTGAGAACAATGTATACCTGTTACCTTACTTACTGAATATTCTATATAAACAATGAAAAATTATTATATTTATTGATTTTTGTCAAAAACAATAAACACATAAATGGTCTTAGTAGATATCAAAAGACTTAGAAACATTTATAAATATTTATTTTCAAATATCATACATTTTGATAGTTTTAATTTTATTCCTGACATTATTTTTAATAGTAATTAAAAACTAATACTATACAAAAATTCTTTTATTAAACATCCTTGGTGGCAAATTAAACTTATATGGCACCTTTCAAAAAATTTAATGTTACGATTTTTGAAAACAAAAAAAATATAACTCATAGAATATTCATAAAAAGTTAATTTTGTCATATTTGTATCCCATTAAACATTCAAATAACAATTTTTCATTTCCTCAATAATGAAAATGTGTTAAGGTTATTCAAAAGAATATTTTGAATGATTGGACAACTTTTCAAATTTTTATTAATATAAATTTATTGGTTTAAAATACATACTATGTATTAATGAACAAAAAAAATTAACTGATTTTAGCATAATTTATACGAATTTTCTAATTTTATAAAAAAAGAAAAAGTTTTTTTTTTGAACCGGAAGTTTTAGTTCGAAACATAAAACCTACTTAAATGATCTTAATATTTTAATATACATGTTTAACATTAATATTTAAGTTTTATTGAGACGATCAGTTGAGTTGTTATCAATTATAATAAAAGTATTATTGATAAAGTTTTACGAAAATATGGAGTAGTTTTTAACTTATTATACAATATTTGTACAATTCACATGATCTCGTTAAATTATATCTTGTTAACTATTTTTACTTTCACCTTTTACTCTTTGTATTATATGTTTGTCATTTTCTTGTGTCTAATTGTCTGTTTCTCTGGAAATAAATAGAGTAATTTACTAATCAATTTTTGATGTGAATTTTTAATCACATTTTGAAAAAATGTATTTCGTATTTAATGCAATTTTAATTGCTATGTTTAAATGTTTATTTTAAATAATAAGGAAAAATAAGGAATCGAACAAGAAAATTAAAAAGATTTCCGAGTATTATACAAATTCATTAAATAATTTATTTTTAATAAAATAGTAGTGCATTAAATTTCAATTTTGGGAGTTAAAAAAAATTATTCGGAATTAGCACCCATCTTGGTAAATTTGTGATTTAATTGTATATTCAGGATCAGATTTATTACGGGTTTAAACAATGCGTGCTTACAAAACACCGACAATTTCAAAATTACATTGGTCTTAAAGGACATTTTAAACTATTTACTTATATTTTAAACAACCCTGTTTAGGAATGAACATTGTCTTTAGCTTCCCATCTTAATAACTTTTTTAACGGAAATATCCAAATTTTACCAATTTTTATACTGTCTTTTGAACAATGTAATTTTAATGCCTTTAAATATTGCTACTAAAATTTAGAAAAAATTAATACCTCTTGTAATCAAAAAGTTATCTAGTTGTAATAAAAACGTATGAAGTTTTTAATTTTTAGTGTGTTATAGGATGTTATTATCACTAATGATGGATTCGAATATTTCTATCATTTTATTTTGTATTATTTACATTTGATAGCTCCAAATAAATGAACACTACAGTACTTAAAATTTTAACTTTCAGGTTTATCAAATTAATATCTATAATTTTTTATTTTATTGCCAAAATTTAACTTGATATAATGATTTTAAGTATTAAAAATACATAATCATTAATCTCTTACATACAATGATATTTTAAATGTTTCGTCATCCTAATTAATCATTTTACTTAATAGTAGTGAGGTTTTAACTGAATCGAAATTAGGGTTTTGGTTCAGTTCGAAAATCAAACTTGAAAAAAAAAAAAATTGAATTGAACTTTTTCCTAGTAATTCGATTTAAAAATCAAACTAGTATACTCAAATATCACGTCGAGTTTGTAGAATTCTGATATGAAAAATGTGAAAATAATTAAAACTGATGTACGGTTTGGTTCAAGTTCAATTTTAAAATTGAAAGTTCGTTTCGACCCCAAATATCAAAATTTTGAACATAATAGTATTTCTGGTATTTGACAGTTTATCCTAAAACATACCAATTGGCTATATATATATATATATATATATATATATATATATACACCCCAAACATATGTAAACAAATTAAACTACATGTTCATATTGTAAAATAATATTAATTATATGATTAATTTCCTCTATGTTTTAATACAGAACTTCTTTAGAGTTCAACTGTTAATTTGTATCTACTATTTCGATCATAATTTTTATTATGAACGAATTCTATTCATTATTCTTAATGAGATTTTTACTACTGTGTATTAATTATATTATATTATGTATAATTTTGTAATCAAAACAATGCATGTTATCACATTTATACTCTTTTTATCTTTATTCTTCCGCTATTTAAAAATAAAACAATTTGCGGTTTAAACTTCCTTTAAAAAATAGTGGATTATCATAATTTTTTTTTTGCCCACAAAATGAAAATTACCAGAATTTATATTATAGCAAAATAAGATTCTTGTATGTTTTTCAAATATAAAAAAGTACTTATTTTTAATTTTGTAATATCTTATCGTGTAAGTGAATAGTTCGAAAATTTAACTAGTACTTCATAGTTACCTAAATATTTATCTAGTAAGAAGTTACTTTGTTAATTATTAGTATTAAGATTTTAATATCTTATCTTTATTTGATATGATCAAATTGTAGAAATATTAAACAATATTTTAACCACTTCAATAATTAGAAACCTCTTATGAAAATTTTAGATTATCTAGTCAAGTTATTTTTTCCTGGATCAATTTTATTTAGAATTTATTTAATTTTTACAAATTGGACACGTATGATTTGTTCATTTTTTCTTATTTATTAACTAATTAAAATAAAAAAATTTTAGTTTTTAAAATGGATCATCATCATCATCACCATGAAGAAATGGATAATTTTTCTCCCAATTCCCTTGCTAATGGTGAAATTAAAACTATGACTGGAGACGCCCATTCGTGTCATATGAAGGTAAAATACTATTATGTCTTTGAATTTTCTTATTAAATTTTAATTATCATTTGTGTAACTGTAATTTTTAAAATAGATGGCATTTTATTTCGGTACTGAAGCAACAGTTTTATTTGATTGGTGGAAATTCAATACCACTACAGGTTTAATATATTCTATGGTTGGCATATTTTTATTGGCTACATTATATGAAGGCTTAAAATATTTTCGGTGAGTTATAAAAATGAATATAGGTATAATATTCCCTGAAATGTTTGATATTTAAATATATTAGTTGGTGTTTTAAAATGAGTTCCTATTAAAAAAAAAAAAGTTTAGTCTTGAAAACTAAAATACTTAATTAAGAAATAATTATAATAAACTTTATTATAATAATACTATAATGAATATTAAATGCAAATATTTTTTTCAAATATATTAGTTTTTATGTTTAATTTCAGCGAATATTTATTTTGGAAATCATATAATGCTATTCAGTACAGATCAGTGCAAATTCCATTAGAAAAAGAATCTAGTAATCCGGTTTCACAGTAAGTTACTTATTGAAATTTATTTGATATTTTATTAAAAAAAAAAAAAACAGTTTTTATCAGTGATAGATTAAATTGTTTTATCAGTTTTATTGACTCACATTATGAATTTATTACCTTTTCTTTTTAATCTGTTCTAAAACAGAATATTCGTAAATTTTCCAGCATCAACAATTAATAATTTTAGAATTGAAATACTAATTTTATTTACAGAATGGTTGGAACTGTACTTTTTAAACAACCATTGTAAGTGGAGATTTAACAGAGTGTGTTTTTATTTTAATCATTTTGCATGCTATTGGTTTGATTTTTAATTATATTTTCATAGTAATAGCTATAATAATATAATTTCAGTTAAGTAAAAGTAGAATTATTATTTTTTAAATACAGTAGAGGTTTTACAAAATTTATCTTTTAAAAACAAAATTATGTTATCGAGATGTAAGAAGTATAGAATATAACTTACTTTATATTTGAATTATAATTTCATTATATCCTAAAGAGTTTAAAAAGATTTCTTATTGTATAATAAATAATATAAATATTTTTTAGGATTGAAATACTATTAAAAAACTTAGATATGAACTTATAAGTTACGTAATTTTAAATGAATAACTAAGCTCAGAAAGGAAATATGTCACAAATAATAAATTTAACAGAAAAATTATTACTATACTATTAATAAAAAACTGTAAACATTGAACAGAATATTATTTCTTTTTAAACTTGACAAATATTTAAATTACCTTTTTTTTACATATATGACAACATACAGTACAGGCCAAAAGTTTGAATACACATTAGAAAATTATACTTTTTTAGTCTATTCATTTATCTTATGAAATAACTTACTTAATTTGCCTAATATTAATGTGTAGAACATAATTTTAACATTTTCTTATAATTCTTAATCTATTTTTTATAAATCATTAAAAAAAAAAAAAAAGAACATTTTACTTTAGTTGATTTTCTTGGAAATGATCTCTTTTTGTTTTTATAATTTCTTTACAAATTTTCGGCATTCTTTCAACCAGTTTTTGTAATGTTTCTAATTTTATATTGTTCCACGCTTTTTTAAGTAATGCCAGAAACTATTTAGGCTAGTTGGTATTAAATCTTGCACTCATCAATTACTACAGAATGATGTAATTCATAAATTAGTTATTATTATTACACTTATGTAATATTACATTATTATTACAATTGAATCTTAATAAATGATAATTTGTTTAATCAATAATTTGATAGTTTGATTTGAAATATTTTGATTGTCTTTGTGTGTATTTATTTAATGCTTAAACCTAAATGATGTACAAAATAGTTTTTATCTAACTCATGTATTATATTAATGTTAGTTGAATGTTGAATAAAGGCTTTCACATCAGTTTTATTAATATATATATTTTTTTTTCAGACCAACTATGTTGAGTTCATTCCATTTTCTTCAGACATTCCTACATGTTATTCAAATAACCGTTAGCTACTTATTAATGTTAATATTTATGACTTATAATGTTTGGCTTTGTTTAGCCGTTTTACTTGGTGCTACTTTAGGATATTTTCTTTTTGGATGGAAGAAATCAGTTGTTGTAGATGTAACTGAACATTGTCATTAATAATAACAGCCAATTTAATTATATAGGTAACCCCTACTTTTTAAATTTCCAACTTTATGTACAACTTGTGAGTGTAAATTTATCTTCAATTTATTAATGAATCTGAAACATATTTAGTAGATTCAATTAACATTTGAGCTCAAAAAAAGCATAATGGTGCAAGTCTTTTTTATGAATACTCTTTAAATTAAATTAAATTTTATAAAAGACTTTGTATGAACAAATAAGAATTAAAAAAAATAAAATTGCAGCAATTTGCTTTTTATGAACTTGTTTGGTGCTAATATGTTTTAGAAAATTGTTAATTATATCTAGGACATTACAATTTAGTAAGCAGTTATATTAAACAAAATTGCAACATGTACTTTTTTAAAATTCTTTATACAATGGTAAATGTCCACACACGTAAATAAACTTATTTATAATTGCATGTATTTATGTAATATTACATATTTCATTATATAATCTTTTATGTATATGATTATTGTTTGTTTTATTTTTTTATTGTTACATTACTGTTATTTTATCATTAAAATATATAAATTCTTTTAAACATACCGTAAATGTTATTTTTTACTTTTGACATTCATAATATTAATATACATTTGAACATAATATTTATTACCAGTATTATTAATGCACTATATATTACGTTTTATTATAAAAAATATTTAAATATGAAATTATTATACTCGCATATATCAAACATACACAGTCTAGCTGTAACTTCTGTCATATTTTATATTTTAAATAATTCGCAGATGAAAAAATTGTAGAAACTTAAATTTTACTTTGATAAACAAAAAATCGCATTTGAAATACTTACAAGTTCAAATCGCCTAATTTCTGTCGCCTTAAACTAGCAAAATCTTTGTGGTTATTCACTTAAAGAAGTTTCTCCAAGTTGTTCAATGAATTATGCTTAGAATTTTTAAAGACGCTAGAATTTCAATAAAATATCCCACAACTGATTATCAAGCCAGTTTAGGCGAGAGATAGCTTACGACTAGTCGGACGCAGCATTGAATAAATAGTTTAAAAAAACTAAAAAACACCCTTTTAAAGCATATCAAACTAAAAAGTTAAAAATTATTTTTAACTTTTTAGTTCGATGTGCTTTAAATACGTGTTATTTTAGTTTTTTAAAACATATTTATTATTCACTTTTTAGTTTTTTATGACATTGCTGTCACAGTCATAATTTCTGTATTGGCAGTTAGTGTATAGTGAAGTTCAGTTAGTGAAAAAGGCGAATATCTGCGAATATTGTCATAAAAAAACAATTAGCTACCTGTATTTGTAATCCCTTATGTATTATACATGTATATTAACTCAAAAAAAATTGAATCTTTAAATGTATATATCTCATAATAAACAATATTCTTTTTCTTCCTCGCCTTAATCCCAACTACTTGGGGTCGGCCACCCTTATCCTAAACTTCCACTTGATATGATCTCCCACATCCTCTACGCTCACATCAGATGTCCTCATATCGCATTCAATAACATCTCTCCATATCTTTTTTGGTCTTCCTCTACCTCTTCCTTCAACCTTCATTTCTACAACTGTTCTTACGGCTTCCGATTCTTCTCTTCTCATAACATGACCAAACCATCTAAGTCTATTTTCTCTCATCTTATCCACGATTGACACTACACCTATACTCCCTCTAATATACTCATTTCTTACCTTATATTCTCTAGTCACTCCACTCATCCATCTAAGCATTCTCAAGTACGTCAATAAACATAAATTTGGGAATTCCAGTTCATTTTCACTACTACTTAAAGGTTATATTATAAAGTCAAAAATCCATGAATCAGGTTGGGTTAATATGTACACTAAGGTGGCCCTCAAAAATCGAATGTCTTTTTTTTTTAATGGTCAAAAAAATGAGCTGTGCAAAATTTGGGACCGATCCGTTAAGATTAACCCGTGCCCCCGAGCCTATTAAGTTGAATNGTTAAGGTTAACCCGTGCCCCCGGGCCTATTAAGTTGAGTCGAAGAGTCAAATTTAATAGAAATAACTGATCTATGTCTCATAACTTTTTTTTCTCTTAACTTAGAATAATAAAAGTAAAACTCAAGTAAAGGAAATTTTACAAGAAATTCAAAAATAATAACTTCAATGTTGTTTTCTCAATAAATAGCCCACAAAAACACTACATACAGTAAAAACCATGTAAAAGTCCTAAAATACGTTATAACTGATTTTGTTGATTTTTAATTATTTATTTTCATTTTATTTTTTGGAAAACGCATATTCGTTTAAAAAAAGAATCTAGAAGTTTAATTTTTTATGCCAAGTACNTTCGTTTAAAAAAAGATTCTAGAAGTTTAATTTTTTATGCCAAGTACGATAATTATATTAGATTTATTATTTTATGGACAGTTAATTAATGATTAATTACAAACCTAACAGTTTAATTTAATTGTTATTAACAATTTTTAATTAATTTTTTTTTTAAATAATAATAACTTTAAAAAAAATATTTTAACAATTATTAAATTATATTATTATTATATATTTTTTGATAATGTACTTTTTTTACTATTAGGAAATTTTTTCTGATAATTACTTACTATTTGTAAAACGTATTGTTTCTGTTCTTCATTTGTAGTTAATATATTAATGTAGTCTTAGATTAATTTAATGCCACGCTAGGCTGTATCATTAATGACTCGTAATTTACTTATAGTATTTAAAGCATTTATGTAACTGTTGTTCGCACTCCAAAATGATGGATCAATTTTCAAAAAATCAGTGTTCAGATTAAAGTTGTAAATTTGATGGTAACTTACTACCAGTTATTTCGTGGGAATAATTACCAATAAGATAAATATTATATGTAATACTTTAAAAGACGCTAAAAGTATATTACATTTGTGATTAAAACGTATCATTTAATATATAATAATAAACAGGTAAAATATATTTAACGTGTTCACAAATTGTCTGTTGCATTTATACGAAACAAATTATATCAGTTGTCGAAAATAACTCAAATATACTTATCTTTAATAATAATATAATTGGTACTATCTTAAAGTAATTCAGTAAACCAAAATTGATATATTGATACGACAAAATGTAATAATACAATCAATTTTGTTAAATTTGTAATTAATCATTAATTAACTGTCCATAAAATAATAAATCTAATATAATTATCGTACTTGGCATAAAAAATTAAACTTCTAGAATCTTTTTTTAAACGAATATGCGTTTTCCAAAAAATAAAATGAAAATAAATAATTAAAAATCAGTTATAACGTATTTTACATGTTTTTTACTGTATGTAGTGTTTTTGTGGGCTATTTATTGAGAAAACAACATTGAAGTTATTATTTTTGAATTTCTTGTAAAATTTCCTTTACTTGAGTTTTACTTTTATTATTCTAAGTTAAGAGAAAAAAAAGTTATGAGACATAGATCAGTTATTTCTATTAAATTTGACTCTTCGACTCAACTTAATAGGCCCGGGGGCACGGGTTAATCTTAACGGATCGGTCCCAAATTTTGCACAGCTCATTTTTTTGACCATTAAAAAAAAATTAAGGGATAGCGTAAAAAAAAAAGACATTCGATTTTTGAGGGCCGCCCTAATGTACACACTCAAATTACTATATATAAAATGTTAAACCTCTTTAATATTGAAAAATGGCCAAAATAGCAAATTTTAAAACTGTTGGAATTCCACACAGTGATTATCTGGTTTAGTGGACCCAAGTACAGATTGAAATTTGGTAATGACGTTTATGATTATTACAAAACGTTTCGATGCACAATGCATTAAGACTAGAAAAAAAACTCAAAGAAAAAGGGTTTTCAGGATATTTTTCATTTTATGATCTCAAAGACATTTTAAAAGTCATAGACGCACATACTGGGGTAACAATTGTAATTTGTTAGATTCTCTTTGAAAATTTATAGGAAATTCAAGTTATTTTATGTTTTAACAATCTATTTTTTAAACTGTAGACTCACTCTACGCGCTATCTTGTGGAGAATGAGCTGGTATGTGATCAACGAGCTCATTGACAGTATCTTAATGAACCAGTAATGGAAACGTAGAATAAAGTTTGTTACTTTATTTGGTCATACTGTAACACTCGTCTTTATCTACAAATCATTTTTAACCATGAACTGGTAATAGCTGTTTTGTGAATATAATGAAGATGATAATTTTTTTTTCTCCCTACAATCACAATAATTTTAATATGTTTTCAATACGTGTACGAAATGGATAGTAATTAAGCAATTATATATCAAAATATACCTATTAATTTTGTTTTTTTTAACTACTTGCTTACTACTTTTTTATATTTTTTTATCTTGTTTTAGTTAAGCTATATAAATTACAAATTATATTTAATGTAATTTCTTTAACGAGCAATTTGATAATTTCAGAAAATACTTAATTGTGTTTATTCTAAAACTCAATATGCTTATAATATTTATGCACAAACTTAGTTGACAGACTTTAAAACATAACCAATATAATGAAATCTGTTTTATCTTTTTTTGGCTTGGTGGTCATTACCATGACAGTTTGTGATCAACCATTCACAGGGCCATTTATGAGTAAAGAAGAAAAACAAGAACTTATGAATGAGGCCAAAGAAATGTTTTACCATGCTTACAATAATTATATGGAAAATGCATATCCAGCAGATGAACTTATGCCTCTAAGTTGTAAAGGACGTTGGAGAACAAAAGAAAACAATCGTGGTGATATGGATGATGTCTTAGGAAACTACTCATTAACTTTAATTGATTCATTAGACACTCTTGTAGTTCTTGGAGATTTACCTGAGTTTGATAAAGCAGTATCAAAAGTTGCTGCAGATGTCTCTTTTGATAGAGATGTTGTTGTTTCAGTTTTTGAAATAAATATTAGGGCTCTGGGGTAAATATAATTTTGTCAGTATTAAATTAAGATTTAAGTGCAATTTATACTAATGTATTTATAAATTTTAAGATAAAATAAATAAATTTAATTGTTACTAAGAATTATTAGATACAAGTATATAAAATACAAAAACATTTTTTTTATTTAAATCTGTCAATTTACAAACTTGAAAAAATTTGTTAGCTTTTCTGTGTTTGGCTCTGAAGTTAGAATAGACATAAATTAGTGAAAATATGGACTTAATAAAACAGATATCTTATATTACAACACGTTTAAAGTAATATTTAGTTATCAACACTTTTTACAGAGGGTTACTATCTGGTCATATTTTTGCACATCATTTTAAAGAAAATTCAAATTATTTGCAATGGTATGATGGAGAACTTTTAAATATAGCCAAAGATTTAGGGTATAGATTACTGCCAGCTTTTAACACTACTACTGGTATACCATATTCCAGGGTAAAAATGATTGTATCATAATAAATATTCATTATTTTAAAAAATAATTTTTTTGTTTATGTTTTAGATAAATTTAAAGTATGGAATTAAAAAAGATCAATTGCATTATCTTCAAGAAACATGTACTGCATGTGCTGGTTCAATGATTTTGGAAATGGCTGCTTTATCCCGTTTAACAAGGATACCTATTTTTGAGGTAAATTATAAACAATTTGTAAGTGGTTTAGTGTAAGTTTCAAATTAATAGTTTTAATATTTTGTTTATAAAAGAAGTCACTATTAATTAGCTTATATTAATATATTTTATATCAAAATCACATAACATTATAAAAAAAATTATTCAACTTTGCTTTGGCTTTAATTACTTTAATGAGGCTTTTTGATGTTAGGATTGAAGTTTTATATGATGCTTTTGTTTATGCCGTTTGACTTTTTCACCAAAACAATATTTATTTACTCTTAATGAATCATTTAATATAGGAAAAAGCTCATAAATCAATGGATAGTTTATGGAGTCTTAGACATCGTTCTTCCAACTTAATGGGTACTGTTTTAAACGTAGACTCAGGGGATTGGATACGAAGAGATTCAGGTGTAGGTGCTGGTATAGATTCATATTATGAATATTGTTTGAAAGCATATGTTCTTCTCGGCGAAAGCCGATATTTATCAAGGTTCAATAAGGTAAAATATTTTTATTCATTTCAATACATTAATTCTTTAATTCAATTTGAAATTTGTTGTTTTGTAGCATTATAGCGCAATTATGAAATATATCAGTCAAGGACCAATGTTACTAGATGTTCATATGCATCGGCCACAGATAAATTCAAAAAATTTCATGGATGCATTATTAGCATTTTGGCCAGGTTTACAAGTACTTAGTGGTGATATAAAACCAGCAATAGAAACACATGAAATGTTGTACCAAGTTGTACAAAGACACAATTTTATTCCTGAAGCCTTTACCACTGATTTTCAGGTTGGATCAATTTATAGTTTTTTATTTTAAGGAAATAATACATTTATTGGTCACATTAAATATATATTGCTATGATTTAAAAACTTGCAATTACTGTATAAAATTTAAGCCTAGATTTTAGGTAAAAATGTGGCTAGGAAATATAGGATCAAGTAATATTGTAAAAAAATAATTATAATAATTATAATTATTGTATATTCACTTTATTATTTACACTATATTTAAACAATTTCAGTTATTATTTAAACAATTAAACAATTGAATCAATTATTATTGATAAATTAATCATTTAATTAATTAATTTTTTTACTTTATAAATTGTAAATTAATTTAATAGGTTCATTGGGGGCAACATCCACTCAGACCAGAATTCTTGGAATCCACTTATTTTTTGTATAAAGCAACAGGAGATCCCCACTATCTAAATGTTGGTCGAGAAGTTTTACAATCTTTACAAAAATATGCTAGAGTTGAATGCGGATTTGCTGCTGTAAAGGATGTTCGTACATCTGCAAATGAAGACACGTAATACCTTTTTCTTCTATATACATTTCTAATACATATTTTTTGTGATCTTTAAAAAGAGTAATTTTTAAAAAAATTTCATGATACTTAATTGTATTATAAATATAAAGTAATTTTATTGTTATATAAATAAACAAAGTATCAGAAACTTAATAAACCTATCTATTTATTACCTATATTAAAACCTTATTTAATTAATTAAACTATTGTCTTAACAATATAATGTAATAATTGAAGGGCTTAGTACAACAACCAGATAAGTCCATTTTTTTTCCGGTAAAAGCAAATTATCAAAAATTTTTCATTAAAAGAAATGGTAAAATGTTTTTCTAAATTAAATTCCATAAATAATAGAATATAGTACTCGCTTTTGTACAGAATTACATAAAATAACATATTTATTCATAATTAACAAAAAATTATTTTATAAAAAAGTTGGACATATCTGGTTATTGTACTAAGCTTTCAATTGCTATTAAAGTAATATACAAATAACATATTGTGTTAAATCGTGGCTAAAAAACTCAAAAAATAATCTTGATATTTATATATTTTTTTATTTATTGAAATCTATCAATATATCATTTTAATAAATGATCATAACTAAAAGTAAAAAAATTAAAGGATAAATTTGAAGTATTATATAATATGATAACTTTTTGTAGATTGACCAAATGTTGACTGAATGCCTTAATTATTTTTAAAATAACTAATTGTAATTATGTCTTAATATTATAATAAATGTATCTTATTGAATTAAAAATCTTTATTATAGAATGGATTCATTTGTGTTAGCTGAAACTTTCAAATATTTATATCTTTTATTTGCTGAACATGATGATCTTATTATCAATATTGATGAATACCTTTTTACTACAGAAGGACATCTTTTACCACTCTCATTATCTGTGCAACCCCAAAACTATACTGATGCTGATAAAGTAATGTTATTGATTAAAAATAAATTTTGTGAAAATTAATTATAAATTATGAATTTCTTTAACATCTACATATTTATTTAAAAATAACAGTATGGAACAAAATTAATGGCCTCTCTATTTTTTAGATTTTAGATGAAGATATTGAAATTCCTAAAAGGTCTTGTCCAAGTTTTGATAATTTACTTACTGAGTCTATTAGAAAACCACTAAAAAATATGGTTGATGGTCTTTGTCCTAATGGTAAATCAAGAATTAGAGCTCGAGAGTTTGCTAAAATCTTTCAAGTAATAATAGTGTTCATTATCAACCTAAATACTGTTTTATAATTTAAAAATTATTGTATTACAGTTTGGTAATGAAAAACATATGCAAAAAATTAAAGATATGGGCATTATTGTTACTAAACTACCGAATGGCCTCCCACTCCTTTTTATGAATTCATCTCATGTAAATATTAAACTTATTAGTTATAAAAGTAAAAAATAAGCACTGTTTAATCATATTCTTTATTAATTTAGGAAAATACTTTAGATGATCAAATAGATGGACAAGAATTTTTAAGTGAGCTTAATATTATTATGAAGGATGTTAATCAAAAGGATAAAATTAATTCTGCTAAAGGAGTATCATTTCAAAACAAAAATGGAGAAAAGGTTGTTTTATATGCAGGTGCTGCAAATTTTGGACTTCAATTAAATCTTGGCCTCAAAGTGAAACTTAATTTTCTTCTTATTATTATTTTATACATCAAATATAAACTTTGACCTCCTATAGGTTTCTGCTCGTATAGCAGTTGCAAATCCTGTTAAAGGATGTGAAACATTAGTTAATTCAAAAGTTGTTAAAGAAAAAATTGTATTAGTTGAAAGAGGAGACTGTATGTTTATTGAAAAGGTAATAATTTTAAAAAATAATGTGTTCTTTTTGTGCCAGCATAATGTTTTGTAGAATACATGACGAATCATAGGTTGGGGCTTATAAATGTTAGTAAAATTGGGTCAAATTGTTTAACCCTCTAAATAAAAAAAACTTTAGAGGTGTGGATGAAATTTTAAACGTATATTTAATTTTTATTGAAAGATTAACATATAACTAAATAAAATGTTTATAATATATTTCTTTAGTTATAAATACAAATATGTTGATCCTTTGAAAATTAAATAGATAAATAAAATAATAGATTTAATTTTTTTTTAAATTAAATTAAATGAAACTCTGTCATTATTCAATTTATTTTGTTAGGCACGAAAACTACAAGAAGCTGGAGCTCTCGGAGGAATTGTTATTGATAATGCTACAGATTCATCAGTTATGACATCAAGAGCTTTTTCAATGTCTGATGATGGCATAGATGATGTCAATATTCCATTGGTTTTTTTATTTGCTTCTGAAGCTCGCCCATTACTAGACATTCTGAATAGTGATCCTGAGTTATTAGTTACAATCAGTGAACTACCAAAAGGTATCAATGCTGTAGTTTAATGATAAAATTAGCAACATTGACGTCTCATCTCTAGTCATTTAAATTGTTAATAACTTATGAAATACTGGTCCAAAAGATGTTATCAACTTGTCATTTTCTTAATTAGATTATTATCTATTGACCAAGCTAGTTAGTTAGATGTGTTGCCATTTGAAAAATTAAACTTATAAGATATAAGGGACGAACATAAAAAAACTTTATGAATGAAAAATGAAGAGATACATAGAACTAAAAGAAACAAATAAAAAATTATTTATATTATTTTTATTTATCTTATGAATAAATTAAGTGATTCATGATGAGTAAATCATTCTGTATATATTATTGTATAGAAGTACTAATGTACAATCAATTTTTTACATACATATTTATCAGAAATTAGTTTGCTTCAATATGGAGCAACGACTGACAATTTTCGTTTTTCCAATTCAAATTAATACATTAAATAATACCATAATTGTAATTAATAGGTTTTAATTTTTTAAGTTTTATTCATTAAAGTTTATTTTCAAAGAAAATGATCATTGATTTGATTTTTTTTATAAAGCGCCCAAAGGCACACAAATGAATATCTATGTTTGATACTGGATATTTAGTCACAATGACAAATCTAATTATCATTTTGTTGAAATTTTTTTTTAGTAATTATTTCCTTACACTATGTTCGAAGCATATTTATCATTATTATTATTTACTAATAAGAAGAAAAAAATTAATTTTTTCAAAATTTCAAAATGTCCTTTTTCTAGAATGTTTCTTACAAAAAATTTTAATGGGTTGATATAATAATTGTATAAATCATTATAAGACAAGTATTCATTGAGTTACAAGCATTTTAATACATGGAATGGATATGTAGTGTGGGTGGATACAGCCTGTATCTATATCAACATTTTTTGTTAGAAAAATACTAAAAATTAACCATTTGTTTTTTTGAAATTTTTTTCTTATTAATAATAATAAATATGTTTTAAATATAGTCTAAGAATTTTAGACTGGACCACATTTGAATTAAATTAGTTTAGCCCACCTATAACTGAAATTAAATTTATTAAAATAAGTAAGTTACCATTTAAAAAAATAAAATAGATACTTCTTATAAAGATAAGTTATAGAACTAACAAATATTTAACCATTTATAAATCAAGAAATTAAAAACACTTAATTAAATTAAAAAAATAATTTTCAAAATATTTAAGAGAAATTTTTTGTTAAAGATTAATCAAACACTCTGTATATATATATTGATATATCTAAAACTCAATACATTTTATTAATATTATTATTAATTTTTAGAAAATGAATTTGAGCTGGATTCACAAATGTCAAATGCTGAAACTGTGATAAATAGTTCAATGAATAAGCTAAAAAAAATTTTAGGGGAAATTTTATTATCCAATGATCCTACGCAGGTACAACTATACTTTATAATTATAGCCTTTGTGTTTGAACTTTTATTTTCAATAGTATTATTTTTGTGTAGGCGTAGGTTAGGCCGTTAAATTTTTATGATTTATATACTGATATCAATTAAATGAATGTGATATTTTTTAAATAACAATCCCTTATTTTATATTGTTTGAATTCTAGTATAATTTTTAATTCAAAATGAAATTTTTTTTTGTATGATTACAAAGTCTTTGAACAAACTTTATTTAAGCATATACAATTGTTAATTATTTTATTGTTTAAATTGAATATATAACTTGATGATAAATCATAAACTTATGTTTATAAATTATTATTTTCTAAAAAAGTAAAAACTTGTTTATATTGAATTAAATAATGACAAATCTTAAAAATGACCTCTTTTTTGTCAAAGTTTTTTTTATTTAATATTTTCAGTATATTTAATTCTAAAAGAGAAATGTTTAAAAATGTTTTAAACATTTTTACATTTCAATATTTATTACATATTTATAAATACTGGCAATATGTATAGCATAAAAATTATAATTTTAAAATTAGCGTACATGTATTCATAGGCATAAGGTGAGAGCTCAGACCTAATTTTTTTTTTTTAAATATATGTATTGATATACAAAAAAAAATTAAGGAAGGGATAAATTATATTGAGCCCATTAAAAAAAATATGAAATCATTAAAGTAAAATATTCTGCATCCTAATTATCTAATAAAACTTCAAAATTATAATAATTAGCTTAGAATAAGTAAAATGTATATACATTTTGCTGTTATTAAAAAGGTTTAACTGTTTTAATTGAAACAATTATTTTTGATCAAAAACATATAAACATGATATTTTATACAAAATTATTATTCAAAATATTAGATTTACTATAAGCCTTTTTTACCTTTAATTTAATTTTTTTTGGTATAAATTCTCCATATTAATATAATTAAGTTTAAACAAGTATAATTTTATCTAACTTGTAGTTAATCATAAGAGAGTATATCACAAATAAAAATTTTTATTAAAAATTAGTGTATTCACAGTAAAATAAAAATCATCAATGATATATGTCATCACTGAGGTAGATCTGTGTTTGAATTCATTCACCTTTATCAGAGTTTCACTGGACCAGTTGTTTTCACTTATCATTTAAATAAATAAATATGTATTATATTACTTATAATCTATAAATTATTTCATTAATTGAAATAAAATTTAATTAAGGTATTAATAAGAATTTTTCAATTTTGTACTGTTTTATAAAAATAAATTTTCATGCAAAAAATAAATATGATAGGTACTAAATAATCAGTTTTAAATATTATTTAATAATAAAAAGTTAATCTGAAAAATATTTATCATTTCAAATTAGCTAATTGCAGAAAAATTATATTTTATACTTTTCGTGATATCTTTTAGATATTTTATTTATCAACTTATTGATATTAAACTTTTCCCCTTAAAATTTGTTTGTGTGGTGTAGGGTCGGGTTTCCGACTTACTTAAATGGAAAGCTGATGACAATTCATTAAACAAGGAATCATTTTTGAATTTATTAAAAGAAGTTTCAAATCAAATAAGCGAAAAAAATAACGATGATATTATTAAAGTGGATAAACTGCCATCAACTAAGCAAAAAAGTTCTGAAAATGATACTCATAGGAAAGTTGATCCAGACGAAAATTAACTCTAGTCATTAAAAAAATTATTATTTGTTTATATTATAAATAACAACAAAATATTGATTATTTTTAATTAGTGTAACTCATATACATATTATAACATCAATCTAATTTATAATAATTTCTTGTTATTTAATTTGTAATTTTTCACGTTATAACGTATATGTTATTTATAATAAAATTTGACTTAATAAAAAATATGAATTTTTTTGAAACCAATTTATAAAAAAAAAACTTATCGTTGAGAATTTGAACTTTACATAATGACTGTATTACACTAATGCTATAACTATTTAGATAATCTTTAGATTCGAAAATTGACGATAAAAATAGTATAATCTATAACATAAGTATTTAATTACTCGTATTAGTATTAGTATTTTTATACCAGCATGACTTATAACATGGGTTTAAAAAAAAACGAGAAAAATTTACTTTTCGTAAAAATTATAAATAACAAATTTTGTTTTTATCACCTTATCGAATAGTATTGAATTAGCAGTGTCTAATCGTCGGGATGCTCGTTCACTATGTTTTCCATAATAGACCAATTGCTATATAACTCATTAGACTATATACAAAATTGTGCAATAAATGACCTATCATTTAAGTATGAAGTCGTTCTAAATGCTTCCGATTTTATTTTTGCAATAAAAGAGTTTATGTCTTAAGCATTATCTCTTTTACCCGACTGAATAGCCGCAGCACCTTTAGACCTACTACAATTAATTACAAAATATTCTTTACATGCCGAGTATCTAAATGTAGATATAGCTTTACGCATAGTTTTGACTTTGCCAATAACTGTGGCGACGTGTGAAAGATCATTCAGTAAGTTAAAACATACTAAAAACTATTTAAGATCGACAATGAGACAAGATCGAATATCTGATTTGGCTTTTTTTTCTATCGAACATATATTGGTAAATACTTTGAATACAGACAAACTTATTGAAGCCTTTATTGGGAAAAAAACTAGAAAAATTTTAATTTGATTATTTTTAAAATTAATATTAAATAATGTTATGTTTCTTTACATATTACGTGCTAAATATTAATGTGTTGCTTATAATATTTTTTGTAAAATTCTATTTTTAAATTTTACAGATTTAAATAAAATTATTAGCGTTAAAAATGTAATAAATAAAATAAAATAACAAATGTGTTATAAAATAATTACGAAAAGATAAAAAAATACAACGTTGTAATCTGAAAATTTTTTCAAGCTTAATTTATTATTATAACTTGTAGTTCTGGGCAGTTTTGTCGATTGATAGGCACACCAAAACAATCATTCCTTGTTGAAGAAATTACCCAAAAAATTGAAAAACTCATCAATTTATTTTATTTGTGAAAATATTTCTGTAAATCACAATAACTGATTTTGATTTTTTTCCCGTAATTTAAAATGATTAAACAGGTCGATTCATTTTTTATGAACCACTTAATTAGATGAGAAATAGAAAAAATATTGAGAATTTTTTTATTAGTAGTTATTTTCAACTAGTGTTCATATTGACCAAACGTTATTTCCTGTAGAATTTAAAACCTTTTGTTTAATTATGGAAATCGTTAATTTATGGATTTATTAATGTTTTTCAAATGGAAATAAAATTTTTTTTAGGCTTTGAATTTTAACATTTATGTTTGAAATTACGTTTTAATTTTAATTTAAAACTTTGATTTAAACTAGTATATTCAAGGCCCCATTTGTCAAAACCTAGGGAAGTGACAACCATGAATCAAAAAAAAAAAACTAAGAAACTTAGAATAAACAAAATTGCTTTTATTTAAATTTAATAACAACGAAAATATAACAATTAATTTATAAATTAAATGTGTACAAAAATAATTTTTTAAAACAAAAACTGTAAATTTCGTTTCAGCAAACCAAATTTGTATACAACTTTTTCAACTAACTTATTGTCGTGATGTACATTTTCTTTAAGTACATTAACTATACATAATCCATCTAACCTATATTTCTGTCATAGTAATTTTAATTCATGTTTTTACACGTCTTAAAGTGCTAAATGATCTTAAAGACTTTTCTGTGGAGGTGACTGAGAGGAATATACCTATTTATTATTATTAATAATAAGTTAATTATAAATTTATTATATTATTTAAATATTTTTAGTTAAATTAATACGCAGTTATAAAAAAATATCAAGAGAAGTTATTTTTAGTAACTAAACAAACCAATTTTTTAAGCTATTTGTTTAAAACTAGTTTGTTTTTTAATTTATACATTTCTTTTAAATTAAGACTATAAATTTTTAATTAAAATTGATTCATAATGTAATTTCTAGCTAATGTAAAAAAATCAATTTACTTATTTACAAAGTTAAAAACTTAAGCTATAAAACAGTAAAATTTTAATATTTTTGAAAAAAGGTAATTATGTAATTTGAATTATGTAGCTTACAATTAAACAAAAATATTTATTATATATTTTCGTTTGTACTATTTTGAGAAATATTTTTATTGCACAATTAATGTAAAAGATATTAAGATAATTAAAGATATTTCGAAATACATCTTTAAGTTCGGAAAAATGTCTATAATTAATTTTTAGCTTCGATGCGAAGTTGAGAAGGTATTAATTTTACCATGATGTGTTTTCTTTTTTTTTATGTCTGTTGCCACTTTTTCTCAGCTCTCACTGGACCGATATCTTTCAACAATACGTTAAAAGATCACAAATCGTATCTAGTTGAAGACATAATCCTTAAAAAATTTCCCTCGTTTCCCGTAAATGGGGAAACCTCCAAAAAAATTACAAATTTAAAAATCGGTAAATTTTGTCATTTTCTTCACTGTTTTTTCTTAAAACTTCCATAACTTTTTCAAAAATAAACAAATTAACATAATATTTTTTTATATTGAAACCTTAGGTAATTTCCTTTCGTTTGATATCATTTTTTTTGAAAATCTAACACTTATTCTGCTCACAGGAGGGATTTAAAATAGCAACTTTTTTACATAAACTAACTTTTTCAACTTAACTTTTGAAAATGTTCTGGAAATACTACGTCCTTTAAACATATGTCAAATTAAAGCTTATGTAATGTACTATAAAATTAAAAAATAAAATTTGTCCCGACAACCTTTCTTCTATGCACAAATGGCTACCGTATTCAAAAATATGCTATTTTTGTATTAAAATTCTGGGTTTTGTATTTTATTTTATTTTAAAATATCTTATTAGGAGAATACACTGACTTTCATGAATATTATATAATTTAATTGACATAGAATAAAGTTCATAAGACATAAGAAATTAAACTTATTTCAATTTTTTTGTTTTTTTAAAGTTGAAAAAGGAACTTTTAAATATGACTTAGCTTAAATAGCTAATTTTATCATGCGACGAAAGCGACAAACAGTTGCCGAGTCGGTAACACTTATGTCTTTCACACTTAAAATATGAGGTTCGAATACGCCCGTGGCAATTAATATTTTGCATTTTTTTTGAGTTAAACAATTAAAATCATTAATTTCTAATATTTTTAAAGTATACATTGTCGAATTAGATTTGATATGATAAAAGTATTCAACTACAAAAGTAAACAATTTTACTTTGTAATTTATTAATTTTTTAACTCTATTTGTATGTGCTACTACCAGTCTATAGTATTCCGAATTTTTTTGTAACATGTTGCTATATAAATCATAAATTAAAAAAAAAAATTATTTTTAGTTTCACCTGAATTTAACGATGGATTTTTACAATTATAATCAAATTTTTTAATACGCTCAATTGAGTAAATCTTTTTAACTACTTTGTTTTGATTGGTTTTTTTAGATATATAATCATTAAAATTAATTAAATTCTGAATATTTCCATTATAGAATCTTTTTAAACACCAAAATTTAATTAGAAATGATTACCATGATTTTTATTTAAATGATCTATTACAATAAAAATGTAAAAAAATCTAACTTTTCTGATAAATGTACTGTAAATAGTAATTATAAAATTCCCTGATTGCATATTAATCTTAACAATTTCATTTTTTTCTATTTAATAATGTCAATTTCAAACTTGCAAGTTGAGCTAATTATTATGGTAATAAATTCATTTTTTTTTTTATTAAAATTTTTACTTTAAAGGACAATAAAAAGTAGGTTCAAAATGATTACTTTTAATATATTAAAAATCAAAATCAATAATAATTTGAAAACAATTAATTTTAAAAATTATATAATATATAATTAAAAGAATTACTAATCTGGGTATAATTAATGAAATAGAAGTTGATGTTGCTTTTGTAATTATCCATAAATTTATTAAAATTAAACACTATCTACAGATTTGCATCGAAGCATTTCTTATGATAGTGATTTTAATCACTGTCAGATTAAATCTATACTGGACCCAACTATGCATTGTCTCAACTATGCCGCGACCCTACTGTGCTGGGTTTTTTTACATAAACTTAAATAATTAATATGATTTAAATTGACTATTTTATCCCGGGCGTCAACTTGCTCACTCCTCTTTTAAAAAAACTTATAAAACACACATGCTAAGTGTTTACATTTTAACTGCAAGTACAATAATTTCGAAATAATTAGAAAAGTGTCTCAAAATTCAAAGAGTGTATCCTTTGAAATATTGTTTATCCAAAAAAAAAAAAAAAATTGAAAAAATGTTTATCCATTACACGATTATGAATCACAAATTATGAAAATTCACTCGTACTATTAATTAGATTTTTTAAGTAATAAGCAGAAAGATATTCTTATTTCTAAATTATTCATTTTTCTAGGGACAGCTCTGAACTTCATCTTAATCCGAATCAAAAACCATTCCTTTGTTTTTGTGATTTTATCACCGTAAAATAAAACACGTAGAACAGATCATACTAAAAACGTACAAGTGGAATACAATATTAATTCTACAAATTCATATTATTGTTTTAAATAAATAAGGTGTAACTTCGATTTATTTTGAAAATTTTTGTTAACTGTTAGATATATATCTAACAAGGGTTCAAAATATTCATGATATTGGCCTTATAATTCCAGCTAACTGTAATAGGAATTTTAAATTATAACCTTCATGCATATAACATGAATTTTTATTTAGGTTTAATTAACTTGTCCAGCTAAAGTATTTTTGGTGTTTTTTAATCAGTATAAACGTATATTAACTGAATATTTGATTGTTTAATTATTTTAATACTGGTCATTGACATGTCTAAAGTCGCAATAAAACCGCTCTGTTCTCGAATTTAACTTAAGTTTTACAATTCAATTGTATAATAGTCTTTACCTTACTGTGAAGAAATTGAAAGAGTGTATTTGTTTGAGTACAATAATAAGGTACAAAACATATTATGACAATGTATATCATTGTGTATTTTTTCAACAAGTTAAAATATATTTAATTAAATTTAGTTAAATCTTACATTTTTTCTATTTTTCTGTTATTAAATTTATTAGGATTTTTTTTTTTTAGAAGTATGGATACTGTTAAAGAAGAAGTTGTTATTTCTGGAATCGGAGGAATTTTTCCACAATGTGCGAATGCTGAAGAGTTAAAAACATTATTGTTTAGTAAAACTAATGGCGTGACTTTAAATACAGAGAAGTGGTCTTGTGGTACAAATAACAAATTACATCGTTTAATTTAGAATCGATTAATTTTTAATCTTATTTTATAGCTAAATTTGGTGCAGCAAGTTCAACAGGTAAAGTAAAAAACAGTCTAGAATTTGATGGTACGTTTTTCAAATCACACCCATTGCTTTCTGATGCTACGGATCCTTTACTAAGGTTGACATATGAAAGAGCAATTGAAGCCATTATAGATGCAGGTTTAAATCCAAGCGATCTACGGGGAACAAATACTGGAGTGTTTACTGGAATTTTCATTAGTGAATACGAAAGAAGTTTAATAGAAGGTTCTCAATATTCAGGTTTATTCTTAATGGGAACATCGAAAGCAATGCAATCAAATCGAATATCATACATTTTGGATGTAGTAGGTAAATATCTAATTCTATTTTGATTTTCGCTTACTTTTATAAATAATTAATTTTTATAATATTTTCGCCTAACTAAAGTTAATGGGTCGCAGCACATTATGGACGTGGGATAGTTGGGACAAGTATAGATGATATCTGACAATGATTAAAATTAGTGATGGGAAATATCGAATAGAAACTATCGAACTATTCGATAGTCATTCAAAAAATATTCGAATAGTAAAAATATTCGATAGTTACACAATATATTCGAATAGTTTTAAAAACTATTCGAATAGTTTTTAAACTATTCGAAAATGCTCATTACTAATTTTTACTATTATTAATTGTATAATAATTTGTTTATAAGTATTCGTTAATTATCTTCTTATTATAATTAAGTATACTTAATAAAAATTTTAGGTAAAACTAATCGAATAGTTTTTAAAACTATTCGATAGTCTATTCGAATAGTTTATGCCAAAAATAAACTATTCGGTTGTATAAAAACTATTCGAAAATGCTAATCACTAATTAAAATCACTATTATAAGAAATGCTTTGATGCAAATCTGTAGTTAGTATTTAATTCTAACAAATTGGTTCATGATTACAAAAGCAACATCAACTCTTATTTCCTTAATTATATCCTGATTAGTAGTTCTTAGATTTAAAAGTATAAGATATGAATAAATATCTTTNTCAATATAAGTAAATGCCACACTATTTCCTTTCATAGAAAACGAACTCCTATTTTTTATCAATATACCATGAATGGCTCTCCTCTTGAACGTGTCACTACCGTTAAAGATTTAGGGTTCCATCTTTCTCAATCTTTGTCCTTTGAGCAGCATTTAAATATCACAGTTGGTAAAGCCTTGAAAGTTCTAGGTTTCTTAAAGCGTAATACTAGTCTTTTTACGTCCCATGCCTGTCTACGCTCTCTTTATTTCACTCTTGTCCGGTCTATTCTGGAGTATGGAATAGTTGTTTGGCACCCATATCTGGCCAAAGACCAACTACGCTTGGAAAGAGTGCAAAACCGATTCCTATCCTACGCCGCTTTTTTATTTAATACTGAACACCCACCTCATGATTATTCGTCCGTTAGATCATCCCTAAACATTCCTACCCTATCTTCTCGCCGATTAGATGCCGATATTTCATTTATCACCTCACTTCTTAGTGGTTCAGTCGATGCTCCTGAACTTTTATCTTCCATTTCTTTCCGAGTACCTGTACATTATAATAGATATCACTCTCTTTACCTTGTTCCCTCTCACAGTACTAATTACTCCAATAATCATCCTTTGCATAGAATGCTCCGTGTACTTAATAACTCTTAGTAATAATTATTAGATCTATATCTGCTATTATGCAAACATATATTGTTCATTTTCTTAATTTATATTGTGCTCTAACATGTAATGTTTATAATCTTATATATATTTGTTGTTGTAAATACTATCATTAACCTTTAATTTATTGTATATATTGAAATGCCGTTGGCGTAAAATAAATAAATAAATATATATTATAGCAATTAAATATAGTATGAAATTGATATTTAATAATTTTGTATTTGAAACCCAACCTGTGGGCAGGTAAAGGATCAGATTATCATAAAATTTAAATCAAATAAAAAGGAAATTACTTAAGGCTTCAATATAAAAAAAAATTATTTTGGTTTGTTCATTTTTCAATTAATTATGGTAATTTTTAGAAAAAAAAAAATGTCGAAATTTACTGATTTTAAAAATCGCAATTTTTTGGAGGATTTCGCTCATGTGCAATGTCTTTAACTAGATACGATTTATGATCTTTTGACGTATCATTGAAATAAATCGGCCCAGTGAGAGCTGAAAAAAAGTGGCGATAAACATAAAAAAAAAACAGCATAGTAAAATTAATACCTTCTCCTCAGCTTTGCATCGAATCTAAAATTATTAGTATAAGCATCTATAATATAATGTAATGTAGCAGACAAAAAAGAATATGTTTTAAAAATTAAAAAGAGTTTTATTATAATATGATTAACATTAATATTTTATTAACTCAAAATCACTCAAATTTTCAATTTTTTTATAAACAATAATTTATAGGGCCAAGTTTTACACTTGTGAGTGGATGGTCAAGTGGAGCAATTGGTTTGACGATGGCAAAAAATTTAATTGAAGGTGGATTTATTGATTCTGCAATTGTTGGTGTTTCAAATTTAGTTTTGCAATCAGAACTGCAATTACAATATAAAGGATTAAATAAACTAACACAAACTGGCGCAACAAAATCATTTAGCGCGAATGGTAAACAATAATATGACTTTTTAATGTTATTTATATTACTATTAAATTGACAAAAAATTCATCGCAATGAGGCGAGGCACAAAGGGAAATGGCATAGTTGGAACAAGTATAGATCATATCTGACAGTGATTAACACTATTATGAAAAACGCATTGATACGAATCTGTTAAATTTCACAATGATTTTTATAATATATTTGTAATTTCACAATTACATTTTTATTTTTTATTTCACTAAAATTTTAAAGGCTTGTTAAATTATTTGTTTTATTGTGCAATATGAATGGCAAATGTCTGTAATTGTTTAGCCTTTACTTTCTGCTAAACAATCAATTACTTATTTTAAGGGAACATGAAGTACAAGAAACTCATTTAATACTTTTACTATTATGTTTTTCTTTATCATTTTGGCAATAAAAACAAATTTGGCATGTCAGCTGATAATTCTAACAAAAATCTTTTTAAGTTATTTCTAAAATATCGGGATTAAAATTATGATCAACGTTGAAAAAGTGACTTTTTAAACAAATTTTGCAATTTTGCGCTTAAAACCAAATAACTCAAAAAAAATTTAGTTGGAACATTTATTTTTTAAAAATCATTGATTTGGTATTACTTTAAAGAACAGAGATGTTTCGGAACATTTTCAAAAATTAAAATTAACGTATATTTTTTGATAAAATTTTTAATTTTTATCTTAGATGGTCAACTTATCATAGTGCAAAAATCGTTGAGAAACTTGTTTTATTAATATTGTAGCACACTGCAATAGATTTAATTTGATATAGATTAAAATGGACCCGATATTCTAGAACATTTTCAAAAGTTGTTTAAATTTTTTATTGATACACTTGCATGTAAAATTGGTCTCTATTATACACTTCTTGTACTTATTTTTTGGATTTTCTTTGTAAGCATATCAAAAATAAGATTATTGTCTCTTTTATACTTCTCTAAAATTTAGCTAAAATCAGTACTTTTTAAAAAAAGTTATAGCTGTTTTAAAATACAGAATAAATTTTTTAAAAATCTCATTTTTTACGAAAGCGAAATTTTGAGATATTTTTTTTTAAATTTTGGCACTGACAGATTCAATTAGATGGGCCGGCCTGAAGTAATGCCTCACGGCAGTTCCAGGGCGGCCCACAATAATGCCAGTCGTGAAAAAAAAAAGAACCCGTATTAAATACGGATTCTTTTGACACATGGTTAAAAAAAATCGGTCCATTGAGATCTGAGAATTTTCACGGACAGACACCAAAAAACACATCATGGTGAAATTAATATCTTTTTAGCTTTACATCGAAACTAAAACAAAATTATATAGAAAAATAACTTCATCATTAATTTGTATTGTAATCGAATATATTTTTATAGCCGATGGCTATAATAGATCAGAAGCAGTAGTTGTTTTGTACTTACAAAAAGCATCTAATGCAAAACGATCTTACGGGACATTGCTTAATATTAAATCAACTTTCGTTGGTGATCATAATGGTTTTATTGTTGAACGTTCAATTGAAACTTTGAGAACAACTATAGTAGAAGCATACAAAGAAGTAAATGTTGATCCTACTAGTATTGAGTATATTGAAGCCAATGGATCAGGAGTTAAGGTATGAAAATACTGCTGAGTAATTAAAAAAATTTAATACAATTAGTATAAAAAAAAAAACACTTAACAAATACTGAAAATAATTTTTATTGTTTTATTTTAAGTACATGTTTTTATCAATTTATCAATCATAAAGTATATTTTGTGTTCATGTCTATACCTTATAAGGGTGTAAAAACTTCTAAAAGTTATTGGTTACCAAAGTCAAGAATTGTGTATAGTGTTTCATTTATCATGTTGGAGGTGAAATGGTGGACCGACGTGTGTGGCACACAATAAGTTTAAGACCTTTTTGTTAATAGCCGTAGGTGGCGTCGAGCCGTTTATTTAAATGACGTGTAACAGAATAATTACAACAAAAAAAGAAGATCGTGACAGAACGATGTTTAATTGAAAAACAAAGGCAAAAAAAAAAAAACTAAGACAAAATATATTAACTTCTATCCTGCGAGAAAAAGTTAGTTGTTCGTAAAACGGACGACGAAACTCTTAAATTGGTGTCCGAGGGTGACTGTCTGCTCGACGTATTATTGCGGCGGATATTCGACGCTAGGCATTTATTGGACTTTACACCACGACGATAACGCGTGTGTGTAACGGTCCGGTTTACAGTGGAGCGGTGGCTGAGAAGGAGCTGACACGACCGCGGGATGTTAAACGTGTGACAACGCCGTGGCCGTGTCAATCATAAGCCACTTAATTAAAAAAATATAATAATTTTGATAATTTTTTCATTTGTTTCTTTTAGTTATATGTTTCTCTCAATTTTTCAATAATAATTTTTTTTTTTATGTTCATCCGTTATACCTTATAAGGGTGCCAAATTTTTTTTTTTTAATTATGTTTCAAATTAACTTTGTCAAATGGTTACATATACATCTAACTAGTTTATTTATTAGATAATAACATAATTAAGAAAATAATTGTTTGATAACAACTTTCAGACGAGTATTTCGGAAGTTTTTAATATGTCCTCAGCTAATTTTATATGTATATATTTTATATTTTATATATATTTTAAAAGGAATTTTATAATGTGTGTTTTTATGTAAATATAATTTTTTGTCAGAAGTTAACAGTATAATGCAGCATTATACTGTTAAATAAGCATTATTAGTGCTTATTTAAAATAAAGTGTATTCTCCCGTTTCAACCCGTGTTACCTTTAAAAATTATTTAAATGTTCATCATCTAAGGAAGAGTTACACTAAAAAATTAATTTTTGGTGTATTATTACAACAACATGTTTGTAGGATGAAGACCATATGGAATTAAAAGTATTAGATGAAATATTCTGTACTAATCAACGAAAAACGCCACTAAAAATAGGATCAGTGAAAAGTAATATTGGCAATACCGAAGAAGTAGGATTGTTTTCATCAATTGTTAAGGCTATTATTATATTTGAAAGTGGTTCTATACCTCCTAATATAAATTATTCAGAACCATATCCAGATGTTATTTCAATGAAAAAGGGAAAGATGCAGGTAGTATTATTCACGATGAATATAATTAATATTGTTAAATTGATATACAGAGTGTTCAGTAAGTCAGGAAACGGGTTTCTATTGTTCTCATTGTTTGTAACAATGAGAACAATAGAAACCTGTTTCCTGACTTCTGAACACCCTGTATGTATTGATTAATTGTTATTTTTATGAATAATATTAATGTTACTATTATGGTTAGGTAAACTTCCTGTTAATACAGTAGAATTCCGATAATCCGGCACGTTCGGGACCGGCTCCGTTTATCGGGCGGTGCCCTTTCCTTTTAGTGTAGGCTTTGCTATAAGAACAATTACTTTAATAATTAAACTAAAAATACAGTATGCAAATACAAAAAAGTTTGTTCTACTGTTGGATGCCGGATTATCGGACTTCTACTGTACTTAATTATAACTCGTCATTTAATATTTAAAAACCAAATTAATTGAAATTCCTTTCGTATACTTACTGTGATTTTTTAAGAATACAGGTCAGTTATTACAAACAAGGAGAACAGTAGAAACCAGTTTACTTACTTATTAAACATTCTATATACAAATATCTTGATTTAAAAAATAATATCATGAAATTTTCAACTAAATATTTTGTTTTAACATAAAGGTAGTAACGGATCCAATGCCATTCACTGGAGATATGATAGGAATAACTGCATTTGGGATTTTAAATAATTTTACACATGTTATACTGAAGAAACATAATAATATCAATCAATTGAATATGGATAAAAATGATTTACCCTCATTGATAATCGCTTCAGGGAGAAATGAAGTAAATGTGACTGGGGTATTGAACAAGGTAATACAACAATAATGTCATTTTACAAGAAAACAATTTTGGAAGCTTTGACATTTTATATTTTAGACTATATTGTAATGAAAATTTCAGTTTTTAGAATTGTAAGTTAATTATACAGAGTTACACTAAATAAGAAAATAGGTCATCTGTTACATGTCAACTCAGCATAATTACTATTAATGAACAATTAAAAAGATTTTATTTTTTCGATAAATAATAATTTTTTTTTTTTTTGTAAATCAAACAAAAAATAATTTTGTTTGATGAATTATGAAAAGATTATTAAAGAGTTTCAACAATAAAAAATGTTAAGAATGTTATACATTTAAAAAAAATATGTTGAATTGACTTTTTACAAGAGAGCCTTTTCTTAAAACTGTTTTATGTATTTTTTATAGCAATCTAGTAGCTCAAATATTGAGTTTTTAATGGCCAAATTTATGCTTTATGGATTTTAAATATTTCATTTTTACATTATGAATTTCATGTAATTTACTGTTTAGGGTAGTTCATAAGGTTTGTCTATATTTCAAAACAAACCAAATCACAAAATAGTACAAACACAAAGTATAGTGTACTTTATTTAAGTAGCGGACCTTTTTTTTAGTACATATGGAATGGAAATATGAATGCTTGTGGCAATATTCCTATGTATTAATTGTAGGTTTACCGCTATTAAAATATGCGATGAATCATATTGTAAATTTTTATATTGTATTTTCTAATTGTTACAAACAAACTTGATTTTATTTTATTTTATTTTTAGATTTTAAGTAATGAAAATAAAGAATATATTTCATTAACACGCGATATTTTTTCTAAAAATATGAGTGCTCATTTCTATCGTGGTTTTACGATATTATCTCAATCAAAGTCTAATCAAAATATCAACATTAAGGTAAAATTTTTTGAAGCATATATATAAGTTAAAAAATTGAATTATAAATTTTTAAATTTAAGAACGTAACGCTGCAAAAACGCCCCATTTGGTTTGTCTTTTCTGGTATGGGTTCACAATGGCTAGGAATGGGCGCTGATCTAATGAATCTGCCTATTTTTGCCGAATCCATTCGAAAATCTCACGCAGTATTGCAGTTAAAAGGAATTGATCTTATAAATATTATAACTTCTGAGGAGACGACTATATTTGACAACATACTAAATTCCTTCGTGGGAATTGCAGCTATACAAGTATGATAATTCCATTACTTTTTAAAAAATCCATATTGATTTGGATATATCAGATAGCTTTGGTTGACATCTTAAATGCGTTAGAGGTCGTGCCAAATGGTATTATAGGCCACTCAGCTGGAGAACTGGGATGCGCTTACGCTGATGGTTGTTTAACTGCCGAAGAAATGATATATGCTGCGTATGCTCGCGGCCTTGCATCTATTGAAACAGATTTAATTCCTGGCATGATGGCTGCCATTGGTAATGGCGTGAAACTTTAAAAATATAGTGAAATTTGATATAATTTTTTATTGATATTTAGGACTTGGTTATATGGATATAAAAAATAGAGTCCCTTCAGATATTGATATAGCATGTCATAATAATTCGACTAATTGTACAATATCTGGTCCAACTAAGAGTGTTAATAAATTTGTAGATAGTTTAAAGGCGGAAGGTATTTTTGCTAAAGCTATTAACGTCGCCAATATAGCTTATCATAGCAGATACATAAAACCTGCATTTCCAGCTCTTTTGAAATATCTTAAAGAAGTATGGCGAGTCTGCCCACTTCAATATTTTATTCATTTATACTCTAGTTTATTCAATTTTTAGGTAATTAAAGAACCAAAACAAAGATCTTCGAAATGGATTAGCAGTTCAGTTCCGGAATCTCAATGGGAATCTGAATTAGCTAAAACATCTTCGGCAGAGTATCTCACAAATAATTTATTGAGTAGTGTTTTGTTTGAAGAAGCTACTCGACATATTCCTAAAAACGCCGTTGTTATTGAAATCGCTCCGCGTGGCTTATTACAAGCGATTTTGAAACGATCATTAAATAAATCAGTGAAAAATATATCACTTACAAAAAATGTAAAAGGCGAGTCGATCAATATTCTTTTCGAGGCAATTGGAGAGTGAGATTTATAAATTATTAAACTAATATTATTTTTATTAATACGTATAACATTTATTACATTTTCAAAATTTCAAGTTTCTGTGTAATTATTCATAGCTAATAAAAGCGAAAATGTAATTCACATAATAGTTAATATCTAGCCTAATTTTATTTCAATATTTTTATTAAGTTAATAATTTTATGATTTCGAAATTTTTATACGATTCTTAAAAATCTTAAGTCATAAACAAGTAATATCATTGTGATGAATTCAAATAATTAATTTGAAGCAACCCTTAAATTTAACCCAATGAACCGTCTATATCCTCACATATAGTTAGTCTTTTATATCAGTATTGTAAACTATTTATATAAAAAATAATTTTTTGATTGGTAAAGCACTCAAAATAATAGTGTGTAAACACTATTTGGCGATAATACACATGATATAAATTTATTATTTACAATCTATAGAGAAGAAGCTTGTTATATTATAACTATCTTAATTTAATTTAATTTGGTAACTTAACGAATAATTAATTTGATTTTAGTAAACTTTTAAAATATCAATCGTTAATAAATATATGCTATATATATATCATTAATTTTTCTATTTAAATTTTATTATTGAACCAAAACTATTTTACATGAGGTGTGACTTAAAAAAATATCGGTTTGGTTCAAATTTTACATTTTTTTTTAGAGATTTTTATAGTCCGAAAATTCTAAAAATGACACGTCAGAAATCATTTAGAAATATTTATATAATTATGAATTTTATAACCATTAAATAATTTTTAGAATGTATACACATGATATAAATCCGAATATTAATGCACTTTATCCTTCAGTCAAGTACCCAGTCAATCGAGGAACACCTTTCCTTCATGATTTACCATTATGGGATTATTCAGTATCATGGACCATTTATTCAAAATTGTTATTAAACGAGGTTTGAATAATAATATAATAGAATTGTATTTTTAAAGGTTTTAATTATATGAATAATTTAATTACGTTGAATTTTTATTTAAAATGTATTTATTTAAAAATTGTAGACAGTATACCGTGAAGGAAGTTTTCCGCTTTCTCTCAACATAAATCAAAAACTAATTCCATATAAAATCAATGGACATAATATTTTACCATTATCATATCTTTTGGTATGCATTTAATAAAATAGTTAATAAATTTTATGAAAACTAATTTTAAGAACATTGTTCTTTATTTTACAGAATATTATATGGACGAAGTTTGTTGAGTTCCAAAAAAATTCAGTGACAAAGCCGATTGTATTTAACAATATCAAAGTCCATAAAAATATTGCAGCACAATACAATAGTAAAATTTAATTGTTATTATGTTGTGATTTTATTCATTTATCAAATATTAAAGCTGCAAATATTTTATAGGTTCTTCAGATATATATTATATGATACAAAATACAGGATATTTTGAGTTCAATCATAATGACGCAATTTTATTGAGTGGATATATAAACTTTTTTGATTCAAGTTTTCGAAAAACAACTTCATTATCTTTTTCAAACTTAAACTTAATCGAGAACACAATGGAATTATTCCTCACGAAAAATGAGTTGTATACATTTCTTGAGCAAAAAGGTTACAACTTAGGCAAAAACTTCAAGACAATAGACAATGTTAAATTATGTAAAAACTTTATCCTTGCTGACATAAAATGGAAAAATGATTGGTTCTACTTTTTGGATGCGTTATTAAAAATAAAAATTCTAGAAAACTTAGATATTTCTCATGCAGAAATAGAAGAATCCATTCATGAAATTATTTTTTACCCTGAAAAATTTAAAAATTGTGAAAAAAAAAGTAAGGATAAAGAAACAAAGCAAATAGTTTTCCTAATTAATTAAAACTCTTAAATTTATCAGATATAAATGTTTTTTACAATACATTAACGAAAGAAGTTATGTGTAATGGTGTTTTGGTATCCAATATTACGAATAAAAAATTAAAAGGTTTCGACCCAATACCATGTATGATAAAATTAGAAACAAAAAGATTTGATAAAAATAGTAACTTGATTGTTAAGGTAACAAAAGACTACAATTAATACTAAAATTGGATTTTTCATTTGTGAACTAAAAAATTTTACTAGAACTTTTGACATAGGATTTGAATAATTTTATTGATGACTGCATTTACAAGGTTCATGACGAATACCAGAAAGATTCTATTCGAATTCCAGTATCTAAGTAAAATTATTATAACCAGAGCTTGGTACTTGATGCATTTATAAAATTCATTTGAACCACTTCTGAGACATTCAAATAACTCGTGAAAAATTATTATGTGTATACAGGGTGATTTTTTTATCATAACCCATTCAATTACTTACAATGAACTTAAAAGTAATAATAATTTAAACATTTTTTTTTTTTTTTTGTTATCTTTCGTTACACATTATTCTTGAATTATTAACTATGTAATACTTTTTAAGTTCATCCCTTATGCCTGGTAAGGGTGTCAACTTTGTTTTTTTAAATGGGAACAAATATTTTGAATTTAATAAAATGTTTGAGTTTTTAATTAAATAGTAAATGGTATTTGAATTTTTATTATAACTTTATTTGTTTATTAGATATAAACATTTAAAGTTTCAAATTTTTGAGTTAATATACATGTATAATATACAAGGGATTATAAATACAGGTAGCTAATTGGTTTTATATGACATCGATATTAGCAGGTACACAGCATTTTTATTATCAATGGTAGTAAGGTACATTGTTGTGAGTTTATAAATACACTAATTCAGCGTTTCCCAAAGTGTGGGTCGCAGAAAAATTCACATGAGTCGCGGCAAAAATTGTAAAAACCAAAAAAAATGGTCTGTTTCATTTTAATTTCATTCCTACAAGCAGTTCTGAACGTTTCTGAATCGAACAGAGTTTGCGCATTTATATTTAAGGACCGTCCGAACATAAATGTGCAATTAAATGTATCCGATACCACTATTGCCGTGTGAAAGCGCGCTTACTATTGTCCACACAGCTGTTTGCGCATGTTTGCTTATGATTTCGTCATTCAGTATAGTGATAGTCAGATAATGCTTTCTCCGGTACATGCTCGCAAACTCACGTATGTCAAAAGAAGCTGATACGTTTTAATTTTTTTTTATTTTATTTGGGAATAGTTATTATTATTAATAGCAACTTCACATCGGTAAGTACAAGAAATACTTTTTCTTATAAATCATCAATAATCAAATTCTTTTTATTAAAGTATCCACCATTTTTTAAAATGGATAAATGGTTAATCAAGAAAACCAGAAATTTAAATGATAATGATCAACCAAGTACAAGCAAATCTGAACATTATGACGTGGAGTTACTTCGCCTGAAGCTCCTAAAGCAGAAATACAGCGCCGAAGTAACAAGCGTAAAGCTAATTGGACTCGCAAATATTTACGCTTTGGGTTCATTGCCGGCGGCAGTCAAAATAATTTACCGCTATGTATTATCTGCAATGAGCAACTTTCAAATGAAAGTATGAAACCGTCAAAATTAAAACGACATTTAAACACACTTCATTCTGAGTATTCTGATAAGCCAATTAACTTTTTTACTGGTAAGAAAAATGAATTGATGCTGCTCAAAAAAAAAATTGAAAAATGCACTCTTTTCTCACTAGTAAATGAAAACCTCACTTTGACATCTTTTGAAATTTCCAAATTAATAGCTGAGTCTGGGTATCCTAATAAGGTTGGAGAAAAATTAATACTTCCCGCTTTAAAAATTGTCGTAAATATCTTATGCGGAATAAAGGAAAAAAGTTTGACTTCAGCGATCCCATTATCAAATAATACAGTTAAATGGAGAATTGGTGATTGCGCGAAACATTTAGAAGAAGAACTAGTTGCTAAAGTAAAAAAAAGTAATTTTTTTTCCTCGCAAATATATGAAAGCACAGATATTGAGGATAATGTAAATCTAATGTGTTTTATCAGATATATTGACGAAGACACCATACAAGACGATTTTTTGTTTTGTAAAAGGCGCCGACAAGAACGATCTCAGATGAGATTTTTAAAGCGACAAATGATTTTGTCACTAGTCACGGTATTGATTGGATGAAGTGTGTTGGTCTAAGTAGCAATGGAGCACGTGCAATGGCAGGTTGTCATAAAGGTTTGTTTAAACAAATTCAAGAATTAGCAGTTAATTGTGTATGGGTGCACTGTAGTATCCATAAATAAGCTTTGGTGATAAAACGCTTGCCTTTAAATTCAAACATGACTTTGGAAGAATGTGTCAAAGTTTGTAAACTACATAAAATCTCGTCCATTAAATAGCAGACTTTTTATCGAATTATGCGAGGAAATGGGGAGTGATCATAAACACCTCTTTTTATATTGTAATTCACGATGGCTTTCAAAAGGAAACGTTTTAAAACGTCTGTTTGAGCTAAATGATGAAGTCTTGGTATTCTGAATGAACATCCACCATCTAAAAAAGATGCTATTTTTCCATTTAAGGATAGATTGCACGATTTCGAATGGTTAATAATAGTAGCTTATTTTTGTGACATATTTGCTACATTCAATAAATTGAATTTAAATTTGCAAGGCTTTGGTTTAAATAATTTCAAAGTATCGGGAAAGGTCACTGCAATAATTAAAAAATTATTCTGTGGAAACAACGACTTTCAAAAGAAAATTTTAAATCTTTTAAAACATTACATAAATTTATTGAAAACCATTTAAACTGCGATGAAGAAGTTTTACCACTTGAAACACTATCAGTTTCAATTCAAGAACATCTTTCGATGCTAATAAATAGTTTTAAAGACTACTTTCCGGATATTACCTCAAATAATATGTGGATTAAAGATCATCTTTCTGTTAAAATTGAAAAGAATGAAATGCTTAATCTTAGTTAACAAGAAGTTGATAATTTAATTGAAATTTCATGCGACACCGATCTTAAAAAAGTGTTTGAAACTGCACTACTAATTAATTTTTGGTTGCGCTGTCAAAAAGGGTATCCAAGAATAAGCGAAAAAGCTATACAATTCTTAATGCCTTTTTTCTCCACTTATACGTGTGCTGCGTTCTCAATCTTGGTGTACTTATAAAATAAGTACTGGAACAGATTGGATGTCGAATCGAATTTGGGAATAAATTTAACATCATTTCATCCTAATTTGAAATTATTATGTGATGACAAATAACATCATCATTCGCACTAAGGCCAAAATGTGTAAAATAAAGTTTAGTTAATTTACTTAAGTTTTACATGAATATAATGGATATTTTTTTAATTTGTTTTTGTTATATAATTATTTTGCAATTTTTGTGTATGAAAGAAACAGACAAATAACATGATTTTTATTAAAAAATAAAATTTGTTTTGTAAATAAATGTTTTTTTTCATAAGGTGGGTCGCGAAAATTTTTTAAATTTCGTACCGGGCCGCGGTCAAAAAAATTTGGGAAACGCTGGACTAACTGACAATACAGAAAATATATCTAATGATAGTCATAATTGATAATAAACAATCTGTGACTGTGACAGCAATATCATCAAAATCTAATTTGCTATCTGTATTTATAATCTCTTATGTATTATACATGTATATTAACTCAAAAATTTGAAATTTTAAATGTTTATATCTAATAAACAAATGAAGTTATAATAAAAATTCAAATGCCATTTACTATGGAATTAAAAATCCAAACATTTTATTAAATTAAAAATATGTATTCCCATTTAAAAAAACAAAGTTGATACCCAAGGCATAAGGGATGAACATAAAAAGTTTTAAATAGTTAATAATTCAAGAATAATGTGTAACTAAAGATAACAAAAAAAAAAAAAATGTTTAAATTATATATATTCTGCAAGTAATTGAGTGGGTTATGATAAAAAAAAATCACTCTGTATATAGCAGTATAAGAATATGTTTTGTTCTTGTGGAAAGCGATCCTTTCCCTAAAAAAAACTAAATTAATAGTTAATCATTTATCATTGATGTACTCAGGATGACTAAAATAAACTTTACAAGTGCATAAAGTTCGGAGCTCTGATTATAATTAAATAAAAAATTACATTACTAATAGTTGTACAATTTTAGTAGAAATGGTTTGACAATAAAGTATTTGGGTCTCAATCACAAAAGCACTGTTATAGATGATAGCATCGAGGTAAGATAAAAATATTTTTTGTAAAGAAGCGTGGTCTTCTTTCAAAAATTAGCGGTTTATCATAATAATTCACTATTTAATTACATAGAGAATATAAATTTGGTAAAAACGCTAATATTTTTTAATATCCTTATATAATAAATTGTACACAGATATTACACAAATCGTTAGTTGCAGAAACATTTGTTCATCATATTCTTTTATTATTATTATTTTTTTTTTTTAACTGGTTAAGTATAGACTTTAATGATAACATAAAGTATAAATAACTTTTTTATAGATCAAAAAAAAAATTTTTTTTTTAATTATCAGAAATAAAAACAAAAAAATTAAAGTAGCCATTTTATAAAGCACATTATAAGAAAAATTTGTAGCATTTCTTATTTATATACTATAATTAAATATTTAGAGCATTTCAACAAAATTTGAATTTTTTCGTGTTCATACCACAAATATTGATCTAAGTTAATCAAAGATAGATAGAAGTAATACTATGTACAAACGTAAATACGTATGGAATTTATTTCTATGAAAATTTTGGTCACTTAAATAAACATCGACAATTTCATTGAATAAAATTGATATATAATTTAACATTAAAACTAATTGTTTTTTACAACATGTGTAATCGGTAAAAATTGCATTTGTTTGATTACTAATTAAACGTCTCTATTGCGATTTTTATTGTATATTATTATCGTAATAATAATATAATTAATATTTTAGTACGATAACACGTGAGCCATATTAGATTTACATAGTAACATAATTAATAATGGATTTTATGAACCTTAAAAAAAACCGGTGTTTGGTAGGGTTTCGGTACTTTAAAACAAATAATTGAAGATTCCGGTTAGGTTCTCAGTTCAAAACATTGATTAAACGAGGAAAAAAAAGAAGAAAACTTAACTAGGATAATTAGTATGATTTATATATTATTAACTTCAGTGCGAAGCTGAGAAGGTATTGGTTTTACTATGATGTTTTTTTTTTGTGCCTGTTACCACTTTTTCTCAGCTCTCATCGAACCAATTTCTTTCAACAATACGTCAAAAGATCACAAATCGTATCTAGTCTAAGACATTTAACATTTCAAAAAAAATTGACCTCTGGACTTGTCTTCGTGGTGAAAGTAGACATCAAAATTAATAAAAAATTACAATTTTTGTAAAATAATTTTTTTTTATATTTTTAACTTAATAATGCTCTAACTTTTTAAAAAAAGGAACATATCAATATAATTTTTTTTTATATAGATGCTTGATGTCTTTACTTATCATTTGGTATATTTTTTTTGTAAATCTGACCCTTTATCTGCCCACAGGGGGGGATTTAAAATGACAACTTTTTCAACTTAACTTTTGAAAATGTTTCGGAAAGTCTGACACTTTTATAAATATCTTAAATTAATGCTAATGTAATATACTTTAATTTAAAAAAAAAAAAATTTGACGTCTAGACTTATCTTCACGTCGAAAATGGCTACCAAATGCTATTTTCGTGTTAAAATTCTCGATTTTATTTTTTATATTATATTTAACTTTGTAATGCTATAACTTATTGAAAAGTGAATGGATCAACACAATTTTTTTATGAGAAATAATATATATATCCCTTTTTCATTCGACGTACTTTATCTTAATCAGGATATTAATAAGGAACTAGCAGATCATGTAGCTTTTGGAATAATCCACCAATTTTTTAAAATTAAACACTATCTAAAGATTTGCATCGAAGCGTTTTTTTTTATAGTCTTTTTAATCACTGTCAGATATCATAATACTTGATTGAACTATGCCACGTCACCACTGTGCCATGACCCCCCTGTGCTGGGTTTTTTTTTACTTAAAACTGCCATAACTTTCTTAAAAATGAACAAATCAGTATAATATTTTTTGATTATAGATGGTTGATATATTTACCTATCAATTGGTGTATTTTTTTATAAATCTGACCCTTTACCTAACAACAGGGGGGGATTTAAAATTACAACTTTTTCAACTTAACTTTTGAAAGTGTTCCAGAAAGTCTGACATTTTTATATATATCTTAAATTAAAGCTAATGTAATGTTTTTTATTATGGAAAAAAATTATTAAATTTTTTTTAAATATCTTATTGAATAAAATTATTTTTTTATTAACTGATAGTTAATTCAATATACTCATAATAGTATGAGTATAATATAATAACATTTTAAGATAACATGTCTAGAAAAACAACGAACTTTAATGATTACATTTGTAATACATAAATATCAATAAATATGTTTATACAATACTTAAACATTGTATTTTATGTGTAAATCATACAAAACTGTAAAAAGGATGAACTTGGTCCCGTCGAATACTCGGGCATCACCAAAAATGGAAAAGCTGTGATGGGAATTCTTTCCTGTATAAAATCGAAAAATGAGATGATCTACGAAGATATATTGACGTGGCCTGTACCAGAAACGTGGTCATTAGAAAATGCAGTTACTGTTCCTCTGGCATACTCAATGGTAAGCATTATTTTTTTAACCAACAAATATAGTTAGTTTAAGTTGTTATTCATCAAAAACTATTAGAATATTACTTAATCGAAATAATAATTTAATGACAACTTAATGAAAAAAGGAATCATCAGATTAACATCCAAATATTGAACATTATGTATGAATTAAACATTTGTTTTATTGATAAAACACAATTAGACTAATAAAATAATTTTAGAAAAACAATGACGGATCTTATAATAGGAATATAATATTACAAATATTGAGAAGAGACATAAATCCTTTTATTCAATTACATTGCTATAACACTAAAATTAAAAAAAAAAAATTATCAGTTTTGCATTTTTCTATTTCCCTAACTTAACATGTTACAAAGGGTGGTGGCCCTCTTTCACGTGTTAAGAAATCAAAGGTGATTTTTAGCTAGGTCAATGATGGACAGGACGGATTGTACCAGAGACCAGACATCATCAATGAAAATATTACAAGAAAGATCTCGTTGGCACCCTGGGGATCGAACACGGGACCTTGCGCGCAGAAACAGAAAATTTAAACACTATCCAGGCCGACCCCTTGATATCAATGTGTTAAAAAATAAAAATTATTTTATGAGATATTATTTATAAATTACTTAATGGCATAAATCCTGAACAAAACTTAAGCGGATTGTACCATTTCGGATGTACGTGGGGACAATAAGCGAGAGGAAATAAAATAGTTAAAAACGGAGAAGGGCTAAGGAATAAAGTGTTTGATACCAGCCGGACAACTTTTGCGAGGGAGAATGATTGATATAAAGTAAGATAAGGTACTTGGAATTTTGGAATATTAACTGGTAGAAGTAGATAATTAGTAGAAGTATTGAAGAGGAGAAAAGTAAATATTTGTTGTGTGCAGGAAATAAAGTGGAAGGAAGAAAAAGCAAGGGAAATATGTGAGGGTTATTAAATAATATACTCAGGTAAGTCTAATACAAAGAATGGTGTAGGGATAGTAATCGATGAGGAGATAAAACGTAAAGTAGTAGAAGTAGCTAGAAAAAGTCACAGAATTATAGTCGTAAAATTAATTTTCGACGGAAAAGTGTTGAATGTAATAAGTGTCTATGCACCACAAGTAGGATGTGATGATATAGACAAAAAAGTGTTTTGGAGAGAGATGGATGAGATGATTTAAGGAGTGCCCGGAAATGAGGATGTGTTGATAGGTGAAGATATGAATGGACATGTAGGTAATGAGAGGAGAGGATATGAAAGAGTACATGGAGGGTATGGTTTTAGTGCGAAGAATGAAGCTGGAGAATGAATCCTGGATTTCGCAGTATTATATGATCTTGCTGTGGTTAATTCTTATTTTAGAAAGAGGGAAGAACATTATATAACTTATAAGAGTGGGAGGAATAGATCACAGATCGATTATTTTATGTGGAAGAGGAAGAGCGTAAAGCGAGTAAAAGATTGTAAAGTTATACCAGGCGAAAGTGTAACTATACAACATAGACTGATGGTTATGGAGTTGTGGTGAAATGAGAAGAGAATATACAAAAACAGAAAGAACACAGGAGAAAAATTGAGGATCCGGTGATGGAAATGGAAAGTGGAAAATTAAAAAGAATTTTTAAAGATGGTAAATGAGAGGGTGATGTGGTATGTCAAGGGAGATTAAAATGATGTGAAGAATATGTTTTCTAGTTGTGTAAAGAATACATTTTTACAGATTGTTGGTGAGAGTAGGAGTAGAATGCCAAGAAATAAGGAAACCTGGTGGTGGAATGAGAACGTTCACAAAATCATAGAAAGTAAGAAAAAGCAATTCAAAATATGGCAGAAGAGCAAAAAGAGAGAAGATTAGATGGAGTATAAACGCTTATGCAAAGAAACCAAGTGTGCAGTAAAACAAAGTTTAAGAGTTGTATAATAGGCTAGGAACAAAAGAAGATGAAAAAAGTCTATAGACTTGCAAACGTAAAAGAAAAAAGGTATAAAGATTATCATTATGTAAGGTATATAAAAAGTATTGAAAAAAGGGTGCTATCGAGTGATGTTAATGCGAAAAAAAGATGGAAAGAGTATTAGAAAATTTACTGAATGAGGAATATCGAAGAGATACATTAGAGCATCGTGGGACTGGTAGATTTAAATAGCGAGAAAGAGGTATGAGAGGCTGTGGCATCAATGAAAAAGAATAAAGTAGTAGGAGTAAATGAAGTACCAGTATAATTATGGAATATATTAGGCGATGTTGACATTTGGTGATTAAATTATTTTTTAACTAAAATCTTATTAGAAGGGAAAATCCCAAATGAATAAAGGAATAGTATTGTGGTGCCGATATTTAAAGGTAAAGGACACATACAGGAGTGTAGAAATTATAGAGGCATAAAGCTATGTACCATAGTATGAAAATTTCGGAAAGGTAATAAATAAAGTAATAAGAAATGATACGTCGGTATCTAAAAACCAGTTTAGATTGAAGTCTGATAAGTCAACAATAGAGCAATTATTTTGTGCGAGGCAATTAATTGAAAAATTTAGGAATAAGAAGAAAAAGCTGTGTATGCAATTTATAGATTTGAAGAAAGCGTATGATAGATAGTATCGAAAGAGGTTAAAAAAGAAACAACACCCGGACCATAAGTGGATTAAAAAAAAAATAAACAATAAGTAAACCAAATAATATTAATTGAAATAATATACACTATGATGAAACAAAGTGGATCGTCGAATAAAACAAATATATATATATAAATACTAAAATATAGTGTTGTTGTAGACTATAATATGCCGATACCTTGTAAATAAAACAAAATATGTTTTGTTTGATGTAACCAGTAATGGACATACTTTACCTTAAAACTAGGGAGAATTTATTAAAGGTAAAAAAAATAAGATACACGTAAATATTGAAGATATTCACGCAATAAAAAGATTTTTGTTGATTAAGAATATTAAGGGAATTTTATTAAATTATGACAATTAAGTTAATAGTGAACAAAACCCGAAGGCAAAAACCACTTTGAAAATGAAGGGATAAGAGAGAAAAAAAACAATTATTGAGACAAAAAAAAAATTTAATGTAAAATATCATACTATATTTAATTACTGTAATAAATATTTATTCATATATATTACACTTATTAATCATAAAACTTGTAATTAGAATAGAAATAAGGTAATAGGAGATCATGTTGCTTTTGGAATAATCCACAATTTTTTTTAAATTAAACAGATTTAAACAGATTAAACAGATTAAATTCTACAGATTTGCATCGAAGATTTTTTTATGATAGCAATATTAATCACTGTTACATTAAATCAATACTGGACCCAACTATGCCCGTCCCCACTGTGCTTGATTTATTTTAAATTTGTTATTAATAAGTTTCATTATTAAAAGTGTTATTTAAATCTTTGTTTATTATAGTTATGCTATTTTAGCTATAATTTTTATTTTCAATTTTAGGCGTATTATTTATTCAATATCTTAGGGAAACATGAAAAACTAAACCCATCGGTTTTAATAACGTCCGGTATGCATCCAATAGGACAAGCAGCTATTTCAATTTGCTTATACCAGAGCTACAATGTGTTTGTTGTCGTGGAAAATGAAAAGCAAGCTAAAATAATTTCAGAACAAAATCCATCTGTAAGATTTTCTTTTGCCAATTAATAGCCATGTAAAGTAATTTGTTTATTTGCTCAAAGTTACCAAGATCCAACATTATTATAAATGATGACAACACGTTCGATATAAAAATGAAGATGCTTTTTAAAACTGAAATAAATTATGTATTAAACTTTTTAGACAAGACTGGACTTGATACTTCAGCAAATATAATAGCAAATAATGGAAAGATTTATAATTTTTCATTTAATGTTGCACAAAAAAACGAAAATATAGGTAATGAATTGAATTAATTTTAAGTGAAATTATGATACATAAATAATATAAATTATCATTATATAGGGTCAAGGGTATTTATAAATAATGTATCTATGCATAATTTAAATAACCATAAGTTATTAGTGGAAATTGATAAAAATAAATGTATTATACGTGATTTGATAATAAATGGACTTCATCAGGGTGTTATTAAGCCATTAAAAAATTTTATACTAGAAAGTCCTTCAAATACTTTGTCTTACAAAAAAGTATTTAATACAATAAGGTTTGATTATTTGATTAATCGCACAACAATATCATTCAAAAATATTTACAAAAGTAAAAATTACTTTAAAATTTAGAAATTTGTATTTAACATCCGAAAAATTGATTCTTCCAATTAATGATAACATTATGAAGTCAGGATATGTCGAATTGCAAGCAGATGAGTGTTATAAATGCCTTCCTAATCAAGTATATGTGATCATTGGTATTAAAACATACATAAGTTATCTAATTGATTGAAAATTTAAATTAAAAATTAATGTTTAATAGGAAATAAAAATGGATGGCTCGAAATAACAGAATGGCTTGTTCAAAGAGGAGCTCAAAAAATCAATATAGTGATTAATAAAATGATTTTGTCATCAATGGAATGTAGAAAGTAAGTAGGATTGATTTTAAATTATCTTGATTAATAGTTAACATCATTAAAATTTAGGTTTAATCAATTACTTTCTAAGAATATTTCAATTAAAATTGAAACTGATTTGTTTACAAAACCAGAGGAAGAAATTTACAAATGGTTTAACCACTTAACGGAATCTAATAATCTTGGAGGTTTATTTTTAGTTGAACAAGTAAACAATTAAGTTTATAACGAATGTATTCTCGTTTAATAAAATTAGTGTGCTTTAAGTAGAATAACACTTTTTAGGATAGCTATGATAACGTCAAAAAATTTAGTCAAGTCTTTGAAAATTTGAGTAAAAAGTCAGATCTTACTCCCTTTATTTGTATAGCATGTAAATGTGAAAACTTATGCGCTGATCTCAAATCAAAGGGATTAAATGTATTAAACATAAATTGGAATACTTTAAATATTAAAAACAACCGTTTCAAATTAATGATGTTGTTGGATTCACTTTTAATCAAACCTGACGAGTTAAACTCATGTACCTATGAACTCACAGTGGATAATGCAAAAAGTAAAATCATTTGTTATTTTAATTAGTTGATAAAACATAACTATATAAATATAAAAATAAAATCCTAAAAAGCTTTGGCGGTAACGCATTGTTCCTCGGCGCGTAAGTTTGTAAATGCGTGGGTTTTCCCACCCTCTGTCACAAGCAAAATGTTTTGGAAGTACGCTGAACATCTTATTATATAATAAAACATTGAAAAATTAGACAATGCTGGAAAAATTACTTAACTACATACGATTTAAATTTTTTTTTTTTAATGAAAGAGCTTTCATTTTGAAAACGTTATTTTTGGAATATTTTTCGCGAAGATGAGAAAAAAATTTTACCAAACCGTGAGCGTTTAAAAATGTTATTAAAAATGTTTATTGCCGCCAGCGTTTTTTCATATAAAATCTGAAATTTTTACTAGACCCGCCCAAAGATATTTCAAATGTACCCTGAACATTTTGTTAAAATCTGTTCATTATTGGCCGAATTATGAATTTTTTTTTTTAAATCTTCGCGCATAGTTTTTAGTAGTAATAATGTTTTTATCATTATAGTATGCCTTATCATACCAACAGTTTTTACATTACATGTTAAAGAAAATTTGTATTGATGTATTAGATTCTAATACAAATTTAAATGTGTGGTGTTTTATTTGAAATTCTATATTAAAGTATTCATTTCAACCTATTACCTTAACTTCATAACACAATTTTATTAATATTAATGATACCAAAGATTGCAAGTGGGCTTTTTTTGGCATGCAACAACAACGTGGTTTGCCACTTGCATAACGGCTAGCTATGGTAGCAAGGGTTGCCATCGCCTAGGTGAGGTGTCACATCTATCAAATTTGATTACCGGACCATAAGTGGAATTTAATTTTAAGTTAATTAAAAGTGTAATTTAAGTTTATATATTGTTATATGTATAAATTATTACAATACCTCGTGGTTTATTAACCACAACTATGATCATTGAAGTTGTATGTGGTTGATATGTAAAACATACTGTAGCCCGTGTCTAGATTAAGGAACTGGGATAAAATACACGCGAGTACTTAAGTTACTCACACGATAAAATACATATTTTATAAGGGGCTTTTCTTCTTGATTGTCGAATAAACTTACTGGTGTGAATTCAGTAGACTCATGGATACTATGATTAAGTACCCACTCAATATATGTTAAATAACGGGGCCATTCTGTATGGTATTGGTGACAATATGTACTAAATAAACGTCCCAATTCGCGTATAACTCTTTCAGACTGATTAGACTATGGATGATATACACTTGTATGTGTAGGTGGAATGCCAAGTTCAGATAGCCGGGTTTGTCACAGACGGCTACTGAACTGTTTACCGTGATCAGAGACTATTTTTTTTAGTTTCCCGTGAGAGGGTATGTAGTCTTTAATAATTTGATTAAGGGTAGCTGACGTAGTGGCCCTTTTTAGCGGGTATAACCGAACAAATCCTGAGAAATTCTCCAAAACCACAAAAATATACTGTACTCCATTCCAGCCAATTGGATGTGGTCCATACAAATCAACTAGAACTTTGTCCAACATATTATTAGACAGGATATGTTGCATAAATCCCTCAACTCGTTGATTAGAAGGTTTAGCTCTTTGACAAATATCACAAGACGATAACAGCTTTCGGACTATTCTATCCATATCGGTGAATATACAAAAATCTTTAAGAACACCTACACATTTCTTTGTGCTAACATGACCATATAATTCATGAAATTTAATGACCACATCATCAATTAAATTATTGGGTAAACAGATTCACTTGATTTGGACCTTCGACGGAATAAAATGTTGTTAAAGAACATATAATAATCAGATAATACTGAAACGTGGGACGACGTAGATAATTTTGTTATGACTATACTCAATTTTGGATCAGACCATTGGTGTACATCAACATTTTTAAATATTTCAATAACGTCAGTTGAAAGTTTTGGGGGCGCTTCGACTTTTAAACTCCTCAACTACTTCATCACGATCAACAGAGCTACGAGAGAGAGCATCGATTACATTTTGAGTACCAGGACAATGAACAATATGTAAATCATACTCTTGTAATAATAAAGTCCAACGCGTTAGTCGAGCGTTTCGCAACCGACATTTAAAGAGAAAAACAAGAGCCTGATGGTCTGTGATCACATTCACACGATGTCCCAATAAAAATACACGAAATTTTGTACAAGCAAACACAATAGACAACAGTTCCATTTCAATAATAGAGTAATTCTTTTCCGCAGCATTAAGTACATGGCTCGCAAATGCAATTGTGTTATGTTGACTGTTACTATCCAATTGAAATAGTTCAACGCCAAGCCCAAGCTTAGACGCGTCAGTCTAAATGTAGAAATCAGAATTAAAGTTTGGATGTACAAGGATGATATCCGAAAAAGAATTTTTTACACGTTCGAATTGATCATGATGTTCTTTAGTAAATTTGAACAAAGGTAAAGACAATAATTCAATCAAAGGACTGATCAGCGACGCATGATGGTTTAAAAACTTGCGATAAAAATGACAAAACCAATAAACGATTGTAATTATTTCTTGTTACGTGGTGATGGGTATTTTTGTACAGCTTCCAATAACTGATATCCATAACAAGACCACGCGGGGTAACTATATGTTCAAGGAACTTAATTTAACTTTTAAAAAAATTACACTTAGAAAATTTTAATGTCATGCCCGACTTAAAAATATTTTGGAACAGATCAGACAGACATTTAATATGGTCATCAAATGACACTGTACACACAAGAACATCGTCTACATAAGCTTGAACATCATTATCATGTCCTGCGTAAGAATCAAATGTGTAACATGTAAGTGACGCTTCTAAAACTTACCAAATGCAGTGTTAGAAATATTAAGACCAAAAGAAACAAGGCAAAAAAGTAAGTATAGCCATTGTATACAAAAGATACATATTTTTGGACGGACGAGTGTAATCCAACCTGCTAATAACCGGACGAAAAATCAATCGATGAGAAATATTGTTTACCAAAGACACGAGCCAAAATCTCATCCAAAGGCGGAGACAAATCACGCATAGGAACTATAATAGAATGTTAAACAAATACAATGTTGTATGAAATTATGATAAAAATACCTTAAAAATTAAAAGTAAAACTCAGTAATAAATCGTTATTATAGTTAAATCATTCATTGAGAAAAAACTAAATACAGGTTTATTTACTATTATAATTTTTATAAATTCCCTATATAAAAATGCTAACTTGTATAACATCATTCTATTAAATTTAGATTCTTATCAAAAAACTAATCATTTATTAACATATGATGAGTTACAATTATCAACAATCAATATTGGAAACGAAGTTGATTTTATTGAAGTACAGACTAGAAGTCCGAAATACTCACACGTTAAAGGAAATTCTGCTATATTTTTCATTCCTGGATTTAAATCAAAATATAGCGAAAAATTTTACAATCTTCTTATGTATCCTACTTTTGAAGCTCGTTTTCCAGAAAGTATTGAATCAATAAACCATCTAGCTCAATCCCTTGTTAAGGTAAAGCAAAATTTATGTTTCCACTTTGAATACATTAATCATTCTATTATTTAATTCAGAAATTAAAGCAAATTACGAATAAGAATTTTGTATCATTGATTGGCGAATCTTGGGGAGGAATAGTTGCACTAAAAATGGCACAAATTTTAGAATCCGAAGAAATTATTGTTTCTGTATCATTGCTGTATGGAGATCCATATAACATCATTGAAAGGGCAAAAGAAGTAATGAATAATTATAAAGAAAGACAATTAAAAACAAATAATACTTCAGTACTAAACAAAGTAACTAAAATTAATTATTAACTTTGAATGAATATAATTATTCTTCTTTTTCCTTTCCTTAATGCCAACTACTCGGAGTCGGCGAATGAATATAATTATTATTTATTAAAATTATTCTTCTTAAGAATTTATTACAATTGGTATACGTTTTATTTTTGTTATTACACATTAATTAATTAAGAATTTTTTTTATTGTTTCAGACTAATATATCTTTCGACTTACAAAAATCTCAGATCTATGAATTATTGAGTAATAAAAAAAACCCAAAAGAAATGGAAAATATTAATATTGTGCTTTCTATATTTAAAGCAATAATCGATTCTGAACCTTTAAAACATAAAGTTTTAGCACGAATACAAATATTTGTACATGAAATTACAAGTGATGTACTATCTGCTTTAAATGACGTACGTATAATACATGTAATATACTTCAAGTATAATTTATTTTTATTTTTAACGTATATTTTATATCGATTGTAGTACATTTTTTCTTCACCATTCTTGTATGAAGTAAAAAAATCAGATTCCAATAAGAAACATTGTTTAGATGATATATTCCGTAAAATTAATGATAATGTGGCTTTTTACTATGGAGATGGAGATCAATTGTCACTCCAAGAAAAATATAATAATATAAATTTTAAATTTGAAGCTCTTAAATTACTTGCATGAACAAACTAATGGAAATTTTTTTTTCAAAAAGTAGATTAACAATACGAAAATATAGTACAAATTATTTTCTTGTTTAAATGTTTTTTATTATGAATAAAATATCATAGCCAACAATTTTTGTTACTTAGTTTAACTAATTAATTAATTGTTTTAATTAAAATAAAGTAAATATTTATTTTTTAATTTACGATTTTTTAATGAAAACATATTCACGAGCATGTCCGGATTAAAAGAAGACTTTGACACACAGGCTTGCAGTAATAAAGACCTATAAATAAAAAATTGTAGCACAGTAGGGACCGCAGCACAGTATTGAAGTGGCATAGTTGGGACAAGTATAGATGATATCTGACAGTGATTAAAATCACTATCATAAGTCGAGGGGATTATCTATTAATGTGGTGTTTTCTTGAGATATTGTATTAATATTTTCATACTGTGGGGTTGAAAGGTTATTATTTGACTGTGTTATGTTCGTGTTAAAAGAATTATAAGCTAATGCTGAAGTCTTTGTGTGCTCTTTTTTTACTCTAATTGTTACTTCTAAATATTTTTATTTTTGTTTTTAATAATTAATGTATTCAATATTTTATTATCATTTTCATCAAAATCGTCGTTTCTCATTTCACTAGTATTTTTTGGTGTATGGTTGCGTTGAAGCGGAGTGATTTCTTCTCATTTTTTATCGATCACAATCGTAGGTATGTTTATTGTTGTATGAGTATAATTCGTTCTTAATACTATTTGAAGGGTAGAATTTCTATTTTTTTCTTATTATAACATTACAACTAAATCTATTTATACTGCTATTAATATTACTATAGATACTTACAAAACTATCGCTTATCCTATCATTGTAACTATTCTTTAGGAAATTATTTCTATCACTTTGGCTAATACTTAAGTAGGTACTCTTCTAAACTGTCTTTGAAGAAAAAAAAATTTTTGGTAGTTTGAGTATGTGTTTTGCTATGATTCTTCATTGAACCATCTACATGCAGTTTATCCATTGTATCATCCAAAAATTCACGCTGTCCTGTTTCCAATGTCCTGTAAGTAGTTACGTAAATGGTGTTAGCCCATGATGTTCGATCCTTCCCAGTAGAAAGGTATCATGGAATTTTAAACTTGAAATCTAAGAACAGTTATAGAAATAAATGTTGAAGGAAGAAGAGTTAGAGGAAGACCAAAAAAGAGATGGAGGGATGTTATTGAATGCGATTTGAGGACAGTTGATGTAAGCGTAAATGATGTGGGAAATCGTGTCAAGTGGAAGTTTAGGATAAGAGTGGTCGACCCCAAGTAGTTGGGATTAAGGCGAGGAAGAAGAAGAAGAAGAACTTATTATTTATGTATAAAAAGTCAATATATATAATTTTGTTGTTAAAAACTCACAAAATAAAGTAAATTCAGTGTTAATTTTATAATACGAAAAAATTTTACAAAAACACATCAAACATAAAAACTAAAAATTAATCATTCAACTAATTATCTAAAAGAGTACTCTTTTTGAAATCTGGATATTTACTGTGGTAATCATTTACTATTTAAAGCAAATAATGTTTTTATTTTTCATCGTTTGTTATTTTCGTATTAAACTCCTCCATTAGTTTAACACCCCTTTCAGCTATATCATTTACTACATTAATGCTATTAATAAGGTCTATTTATATCTTAAAATTTTTATCAGTGCTTCATAATGATAGGACAATAGTGAGAAAACTAGTATCTATATTAAAACGTTTGAAAAATTGCATTAATTTTCCACAAATAACATCTTCAAGATTTTTATTTAATATTCCAATAGCTTCTTTTGTATTCAATAAATATTTTTTTGGTACATTATCATCTGTATGGATTTTTAGGGCAGCTATAATTTTTCTTTTTTTATCAAATGGAACATTAGAATTAAAAAGTGATAATACCTTATACCAGGAGTCGGCAATTAGGTTCCATGGCGGTCCAAATAATTTGAAAAAAAAATTTTGAGGGCCAGATAAAACTTAAATATGTTTATTTTTGTATTACAAACATAGTTTAAGACAAATTATTTAATATAATATAAATTATGAAAGTATAAAACTTAAATTAATAAAATAATAAAAATACAAATTTATACATAAAAATTTACTTTACTTATTTTAATGAGAAAAATGACATTTCTTGTCCTGAGCTAATTTTTTGAAATTTGGTACTCTCGGAGAGCAACATATGCGCAGAGTGTTTTCAAGGTGGAGATCAGTTAATCTTGAACGATATTTATTCTTTAAAAACGTCATTTTGGAGAACGAAGTTTCACATATGTATGTGGAGCCAAACATGGTAGCTAATTTTATAGCCAGTTTTCTACAGTTAATGTACTTATCTAAAATATGCTTTGTCCAAAAATCTTCAGTAGATGCAGTTTTGTATTGTTGCAATGAAATATCTTCTTGCAATTCAATAATTTCTATTTGAAGTGAAGATTCTGGATATTGGAACAATTTCGTAGCTACGTCAAACCATTCTCCTGTTTGAGAAACTTCAAAAGGATTTTTTAAAAATTGCGAAAGTTTTCTAATTTCTGCAAAGTCTTTGAATCTCTTGGAAAATTCTTCGCTGAGATCGGACAAAAAACTTAAAAACACTGTGCAATCTATATTGGAATTATTTTTATATTCAAGCATTGTTGGAAAATGAATAAAATCTTGATTTTTAATATCTTGTTCAAATATTTCAAGTTTTAAGTTTTAAGTATAAGGCTTATACTATGGCGATAGATACCATAAATGACCACACATTTTTTTAACTGTAACTTCTGATATATTTTTATCTATTGACTGATAATTTACTAAGTTTTTTTAAAAATTTAAATCTTGGTATAGTGCATTAGAAGTAAGTGGTGCACTTAAGTTTAGTGCCTAACCCAAGCTCTTATGTATAATCTAATAATAAATATACAAATACTAGCTATTGATAGTTCTTCTTTATGGGTTAAATTTAATTGGTTTCGGAATATAAATATTTTTAAGCAATATAAAACTTTTACCATCCATCTAGCATGATGGATAACTTCCGGAAGTCTAAAGAAAACTCCCCTTAGGGGAACTCTACCAAGTAAAATAATTTTTAGTTCAAAAAACTAATCTTCTCTGGGTTGTTTGTTAAACAAATAGTTATTTGCAAAAATAGTTACATCATTTAATGTTTTTTTTACAAAGTCGTTCATTATACCTGACTCAAATTTGTTAGTGTCTATATTTCCCCAATTTTATTGAAATCGTTTAAATATTGGTACATCAGGACCACATAATAGACATAATTTAACTTCAAACACATTTTTAATACTATCTCGTATATGTGGTGTCGACATGGTAAATACAAAATATTACGTTCTAAGTAATTTTCTAATAACACGCAAGTACCTTTCAATCTACCCACATTTGAAGCCGTAGTATCACAGCAAAAAGCCTGTAAATTTTCTATAATACACCAATTAATAAGTATATGAAAAATAGCATCAGCCTGATCAACCTCTGTTCCCGTATCAATTGCTGGAACTCCTAGTAATTGACTCTTACCATTACATTAAGCAATAATGGAAAGTCTATCAACACTTTTTTTGTCCTATTAATGAAGGTAAAAGCTTACTATCCCAATGAATGACAACGGAATCTTTAATAGTTACCAAATAATTATTACGGATTTTTTCAGCGCGTTCTTTACGGAAACATATACATGAGTTTCGAATTGAAGATCTATTTATAATTAATTTTTCAACATCGTCACATAATGCCTCTGCTATTGAAAATAATATATGAACTGCATCTCTATCACTAATTTTACATTTATCGAGTGCAGCTGCAAATTTTGGCGTAATAATAGTTGGTCATTTAACGTACATTTTAGACGGTCTAGGCTTGTTAAAATCATCTTCAGTAACGTCAGACTATAATGACGAGCACATTTCTACTTGCGCAGCTAAAATACATACTTAATTATTAAATAATAATTCTAAAACAACATTAAACTAACTCAATGACTGTTTTTTTTTGCTTTTGCTGGTGGACGGCGTGAAGCCTATTTACTTTTGTCAAGCGGGTACCTATAACAAGTTATGTAAAATTTATGATTACTTTGTACTTACTATTTTATTGTATCCATGTGATTGGTTGCGTTTTCCTTGTAGTTAACGTTGCTGTTGGTGTTTGTATTTCCCTTTCAAGTTCATTGATGTGTTCATGCGTTGAACGGCTGTTTTTATGAAAGAATCGTACTGTATCTTCTCTAATCTGGTCTTTTATTGTCGTGGTATTTGCTGATTATCGGATGGTATGATTTGACACGAACATCGGAGATTTTGTAATGTATCGGAGGTTGATGTTTTGTGTTGCTTCAATCCTCTTCCAATTTGTACTTGTTACGTTTGATGCCCATGCTGGACCGGCGTAAGTTATTATTGGCTTGATGTACATTTTGTAAATGTTGATTTTTGTTTTCATCGGAAGCGGGCTGTGTTTGATCAGTACAGGGAAGAGTGCCCCTCTGCAGCGATTGGCTTTTTGTAATACTTCTAATACGTGTTTGTTGAATTTGAGTTTATGGTCGAGAGTGACACCGAGGTATTTTGCTTGGTTATTCCTTTGTATTTGGATGTCGTCAATATTGATTTTTATACGTACATTGTTTGGTTTTCTGTTGAATATGACCGCCATTGTTTTCAATGGGTTTACTTTAAGTTTCCAAGTCTTGAACCATTCTATTGTTACGTTGAGATGTTTTTGTAACTTGATTATTGCCCGGTTGTGGTTGATGTCTGATGCGTATAACATTGTGTCGTTGACAAATAGTAAAGTGGCGACTTGGTCGCTTGACGGGATATCGTTAGTGTACACCAGGTATAGAAGTAGAGATAGACAGCTACCTTGCGGTACTCCAGCGATGATCGGTCTTGCTGACGAGACAATGTTTTCTATTCTGACTCTGAAGGTTCTATTGCTAATGAATGATTTTATTATTTGGATTAACTTTATCGGATTGTTCAATTTGAATAATTTGCGGAGTAGACCTTCGTGCCAGACACAGTCGAACGCTTTTTCGACATCAAGGAAGACGGCTGCAGTTTTCTTGCGGTTGTTCGCATTACAACACAGTTTATCCACTAATTTAACTAGTTGATGAGTTGTCGAGTTATTGTGTCTGAATGCATACTGTTTGTCGCGAATTTTCGGTACTATAACTTCTTTTAAAAATCCTAGTATTATTCTTTCATAGATTTTCGATAGTAACGACAGCAGCGATATCGGTCTATAGTTGACTGCAACGTTGTGGTCTTCTCCTGGTTTTGGTATTGTAATTATAGTGGTGGATTTCCATGCGAGCGGAAAGTAACTGTGTCGTAAACAGCTGTTAAAGATTTTTATTAGCAATAGAATGGCTTTTGCGGGAGGCGATTAATAATTATGTCCAGAACGTCCGGTCTATGTACGGGGATCCTCGGGTAGAACATTGGCGTGGTTGGTGCGGTAATATTGTAATCCGAGTTGTTCATGTGGTTGTAGATTTTGTTGCCGGCCGGATTACTACAGCGACTGTTCCAACGTGGGTGTTTCGCATTGAAGTCTCATGTAACAATAAACCAGTCAGATGATGTCAAAATATTCAGGTCGTTTATGCTAATCTGTGTATTCGGTTTCTTGTAAACTGCGGTGATCATAACTTTTCTGTTGGTGAATGAAACTTCGATGCTAGTTGAAGCGATTTCGGTGTTCAATTTTATTTCTCGGTGGATTAATCTGCGGTGTACAAAAATCGCGGTTCCTCCGTGCGCTTTGCAGTTCTTGTCGTTAACGTTGTCCGTTCGGTATAGGTGATAATTTGGTATTTTGACACGAATTTTTGGATTATGTTTTATTTCGCAAATTAGAGCTACATTTGGTTTGGTTTTGATGAAGAGCGTATGGAGTTCGTTGATTTTGTGTTGCAATCCGTTAGCGTTCCATATTATAATTTTCATTTCAACGTTATTCATTTTGGTGAGATAGTATTTTTATAAATGAATTGATAATAGCTGGTATTTGAGTTTTCGGGTCGTCTGAATTTAAAATTGTTGTCATTAATTCTGTCAATAATTGGATAAGCATGTTGATATTGTTGAGTGGAGTTGATTTTGCGTTTGATCCTGCTGCTTTTGCATATAAAACGTGTTGTTGGTTATTGGTGGATTTTGTATTTGGTTTGTAGTTTGCGATGGTGCAGAACGTAGTACACTTTTCGGTGTTATGCTCGCTACATGAGTGTAAAACGGGCAACCTCAGTAGTTTGCCGTGTGTTGATCCCCACAGCATGGCGTATTACCACAGTTTCTTGACCCGTGGCCGAAGCGTTGACAGGAAAACCACTGTGAGTGACCAGTTTTTATGTAGGTTTCTACGGTGGTTTTGACAAAAAATAGTGACGTCATTTCGAAAATTTTTTTGGCCTTTAAGTTGTGTTTTAAAATAACCAGGCAGATCGGCATGGGTTTGCCCGGGTGGCCGAAACGTTTGACTAAAATCGGTTCGAAATTCTGGTTTTGTAATTCGTCGATAATTTCTTCGTTTGTAATTTCTGTTGGTATTCCTTTAACTACAACCTTCAGTTTGCGGTTTTCTGAAAGATAGAACGTATGAAATTTGATCGAATATTCGGTGAGTACGTGTTGTATGAGTCGGAATTAATCTATTGTAGCTGTCCATATATTTATTTGGTTGTCCGATGTAGATTTAGCAGAAGTTATGGAGCTGTCGAATTTTGGATTTTTGTTGAGGATGTGAGCGATTTTGCGGCAGTCTGAGAATGTTGATATAAAGATGGGTGGAATTTTTCTGATGTATAGATTTTTGTTTGCTGTTTGATAGTCTGAATTTGATGAGGTAGGTTTGGTTGGAAAAATAACTTGATGTTCTGACGCCACGTCGGAGTCGTACGACAAGTACATTGAATCGGAGTACGAAGTATTTGAGGGTGAATTTTTATTGGGTTTTTCTTTTTTGGTGATGGTTGTTTCCTTAGTTTCGGTTGAGCAGGATGAGGGGGTGTTGGGTCTCTTACGGCCCTTTTTGGATCTAGTCATGGGACTAGACGTTTAAAACTAATACTTATATTAAACTAAAACACTAACTTATAAACTAACTTAATCTAATTATAAAATAAACTAACCAGTGCTAGAAGCCTGGGTCGTTATTATCTGGTTTGATCCTGCGGTTGAAGTGGCAGCGATGAACGGGCTAGCCCGTAAAACGGTACTGGCGGTTCACTAGCACTTGACACTTGCACTTAGGAATTTATGTTAATTTTAATATTTATTAACTGAACTTACTACACTAAACTGAAGTTAATTAATAACAGTTTTGATGCTAAGTAGCGATTTACGTGAGCACGGTACTAAGGTACAAAACGGAATGATGGAGATAGCAATGACTGTATCTCGTCATAACTTATTTTACGACTTTTTTCGGACATCTTTAACTTTTCAATGGCTATTTTTTTTTTTTGTGCAATATTCAAATCAACTCCTAACATATTACCCGGACTTCCTTTTTGTCTTTGCATTAATAAAAAATCTCTATTTTCTTGTAATGACATTGAATTAAGAGCATCAACTTAAACAATGTCAAACAAATCATTTAGTTTTGAAATAAATTCTTCATATATTTTTTTTTTTTTGCTTGAGTGTCAGATTTTCTGTATTGCAGTTTTTGTAAATTTCCCATTCGTCGTAATATTTTTGAAGTTTTTTTATACAATACTGTTCAGCACTGATAGGTATACGCGCTTTTTGCCAAAAAATGCTTATATCTTTTATTGTCAGTTTAGAGCATTCAAGTGTGCTCAGGTTAACATGACGAATATTAAAAAAAAAACCGATATTACTTGTCTTATTGACGGTAATTCACTACCAATAATTTGGTTTGACGGGAAACTAATCAAAAATATAAATGTATCTTTTCGTAAAGTTTTTCATGAAGCCATTTTTATATGTATTGTTGGGGGGTGAGCGGGAATATTATTAACTCAATAAAAATTATTCGTACGCTCAAATTTATGTTTATTATATTTTTTTTATATTTCTCGTAACGCACCGAACAATGTCTCGCGGTGTACTGGCTTTAGATAAAAATACAATATAAGATAAGCGTCATGAAGTTTAGCGCCCGTTCGATATAACATAGGCCAGAACATGTATTAAAAAAATGTTAAAATATCACAATTATTGTAAAACATTAAAATGTATACGATCTAAAAATGATCATACGGACGCTGTAGAACTAATGAAAACAATAACCTGAAAAATGTATAGTTAGGACAAATATTAGTAATTTTGATTAAGGATTTGATAAAGACTTTATCGTCTTTTTAGTCATTCTTGTAATAAATTGTCACTTGATGGTTTGATAAAAGTTCATTGAAGATTAAACATTGCTGTTATGATAAAATACAAAAACCCAGCACTGGAGGGTCACGGCACAGTGGTGACGTAGCATAGTTGGATCAAGTATAATGATATCTGATAGTGATTAAAATCACTATCAAAAATAACGCTTCGAAACAAATCTTTAGATAGTGTTTAATTTTAAAAAATTGGAGGATTCTTCCAAAAGCTCATCACCTACTATTTCCTTATTAATATCCTGATTAAGATAAAGTATGTCGAATGAAAAAAGGATATAAATATTATTTCTCATAAAAAAATTGTGTTGATCCATACACTTTTTAATAAGTTATAGCATTATAAAGTTAAAAATGTAAAAAATAAATTCGAGAATTTTCACAGTAATTCACACTTTCAAAAGTTACGTTGAAAAAGTTGTCATTTCAAATTCCCCCTGTGGGCAGATAAAGGGTCAGATTTATAAAAAAAATATATCAAATGACATCGTACATCCTTAAAAAAAATCATATTGATTTGGTCATTTTTAAAAAAGTTATGGCAGTTTTAAGTAAAAAAAATTGAAACAATTTCGAAAATTAGAAATTTTAAAATTTGTAATTTTTTTGGAGGTTTCCCCCATTTACGGGGAACGAAGGAAATTTTTTCAATTTTTAAGGGTAATGTCTTCGACTAGATACGATTTGTGATCTTTTGACGTATCGTTAAAAGCAATCTGTTTGGTGAGACCTGAGAATAAGTGGTAATAGACACAAAAAAAAAAAAACACATCATAGTAAAATCAATACCTTTTCAGCTTCGCATCGAAGCTAAAATTACCAAGAGTTAAAAACTATAACTAACATTCACTTTATTTTGTGGGTTTTTAACAACAAAATTATATATATATTGTCTTTTTATACATCAATAATAAGTAAATCAAAAAATTTTTCAGAATATAATTTGTGTAAAATATTATTTTAAACAACTGTTATTCTTACAATTTTGTTGTGAATCCATTATTTCACGCGCTAAACTAAAAAAACTTTGAAAAATGTACGATTATCCTACATTTTTGAATTTTGAAACTTTAGGCCTTTTGTGGTATGGGTTAATTTTTTCTGATTTACCTGAAACATTGCGTAACTCATTTTTATAAGTATTGAAACTAAGTGAGATTGTATAATTTTTAAATTTTACATTAATTTTAAGAACCACCTGACTGTACTGCGAGTACAATAAGCATATATGATAAAAGTAAAAATAAATTACATGAATACATTTTGATGGAAGAAACCACTCATTTGTGACACTTCCCAATATTTTTAAATGTCATTAATATATAACCCCATCATATTCCAAGTAACTTATTTATTATTATTATTTTGAAAAAAAGGAATATCAAAGAATGAATTAACAGTTTTTTACTAGAACATTTAAATATATTATTTAAAGACAAATAAAACAATATTTTTATACTAAATAAAAATGTAATATTGTAAAGAATTATTAATTTGTTTATTTTAAGTAAAATTTTACTTTCTGAATTAACGTATTAATTTAAATATTGTAAATATTAAATTATATGTTTTATAAATCATATCGATATGCACAACGAATAAGGCAATAACTAACTTTTTTTATTTTTCAGGTGATTAAAAGTAAAATTTATTCTCTGATTACAGTCTATATGTTTAGTAATTAGTTCTAAGCAGTGTTGGGAAAGTTCCTTTTTAAATGGAATTCGTTCCGGTCCCCGTTCATTTTCTAAAATATGAACTCGTTCCAGATCCTAATTCTTTATATTAAGAAGGAACTTGTTCCAGATCCAGTTCCTCCAAAATAAGAACTCGTTCCACTCTTCGTTCCTTTTATAAGTTATTTAAAAAATTGTGGCAATGAGATCATGATAACGGTCATCAATGATTTTCATCAGCAGTCGAATACAAAACAAATTTGTAGTATTCCTTATCTAAAAGTATTCGAAAATTATATTTATAAGCAGGTAGTAAATGCTAACGACTTGTGTCAACGCGACCAATGTCTATTGTCTACATATAAGTTAGAAATAATAAATCAGAAAACCCAAAACTTTAACATAAATTAGTTAACAAGAAACGACGATAATATTCGGTGCATTATTTAATATATGTACACATATATTAAATATTTACTGTATACCTACATGTGATAATAACTCTATCTATAATCAATTGATTCATTTAAACAGCCTACGATCTCGGCTGGGTATATAGGGGACTTCCATTGTCAAAAGTCAACTAAAAATACCATAATATTTTAATGTCTAGATACGAAGAAAACTACACTAAAACATGTTTATAAAAAATTTTAGGAACTGTAATTTCCGTTCACGTTCCTTAAAAAATGGAATTTGTTCATTTTCCTCGTTCCTTTATTTTAAAAGGAAGCAGTTCCTAGCATCGTTCCTTCAAAAAGAACTCGTTCCAGGAATCCGTTCCTTTTGGAACTAGTTCCTTCTCAACACTGGTTCTAAGTAGGTTAATTTCGATTCAACCTGAGCATCGAAGCTAAAACATAAGATGACCAATCAAGAATTGTAAGTAAGAATAAAGTTTTCATTTCATGATAACATAGTGCACTATGTTCATTTAAATTATAAATATATATTTTTAATTTTACCATAATTTTATTTAAAAATGTTATATTTTATTTATACCTTATATTATAATTGATAAAATGAGTCCAGATATGAGCACATTAGATTATTGCAATTAAGGTTGTAAGTGGACAAATCTAAAGATCACAATTTTAATTTACTTTTAGTTAATTAGCATTTAATAAACACAACTTAAGCATTGAAACTTAAAATTAAAACTATTTTTTATTAAATTTATTTATTTAACTATTAAACAAGATAAACACAACAAACAATAAAAACTATGCCATAGTAACTAGCCAAAGTTATAAATATTTTTCAAATTTAAGATTAAATTGTGGCCGTCGAAATTTCTAGAATTAATTGACAGTCTTAGTGAATATTTTACTCACATGATATTTGCGTCGGTATAAATAAATTATGTGTTATTTTATTTAAAAATTAAAAACAATAATGATATACATTATTATTTATTATGAGATACAAAACTAGCAATTTGTATAAAGATCATTGCTAGTTATATATATATATATATATAACAAAAGCAAACTACATATTGAAAATAACCTCTAAGTGTGTAACCGCCCGTATTAAGACAACGCCCTACTTATTTTAATGTTATGTTTTAAATATAGACTGGTATTTAATTAAAATAGAAATCTGAGAACATTGTTTAATATATATAAATAGACGTGTTTTTTTTTTTTGGATAAAAAAATATCAATTACTTTTTCCTTATGCTCTCAAATAGATTTCTTTAGAATGACTTAATCAAAAGCATATAAATTTGCACTAACAAATACAACTGTTACAAGTATTGAACAATATTTTATTAGCTCGATTAAAAAACTCTTTAGAAATATTTTGATATTAAAATTGACTAATGTAATATTTGTGTTAATAAATTCACTAACCTTCTTCGTTTATGTTAAAAAGAATCCAAATAATACACAAAATAAATAGTATTCACTAGTTTATATAGTAGAGCCAATATCAGTTTAATACTTTATTCAACTTGATTTCTTAATTTTTCACTAAAACAAATTCAATGTTATGTGTACAATAAATTACATTTAGAAAAAATATATTTATACTTTAATTAAAAACTTACAACTCGTCCAAATATTAACAATATATTATTGTAACCTAGGAGACGTATAATTCTTAATTAAATTACTATAATAAAATATTTAGCCCACTTATTTTAAAATCTATGACACATGAATAATTTAAAAAAAATTGAATTGGTTTTTAAGTTTAATAATAAGATGTCTATTTTATTTTTAGTCTACTATTTTTAAATTGCATTTTTTTTTTCCAATACGAAGACTGGTTAAATGATTAATGATGTTTCTCTCCACTTGTCTATGTCGCTTATAATCCTCTTTATCTCCCAGTATGTTCCTATTCCGGTATCTTCCATCACTTACTTCAGAAATGGAGTTCTGAGCCTTTCTCTTCCAGGTTTTCCTTCGATTTTTCCCTCCGATTATTATTGTGGTTATCCAAGGACTATTCCTTATTACGTGTCCGATCCACGCTTTCCTCCTCAGTTTTAACCTATTCCATATTGATTTTTAGATATTCATTCCCCTGAAAACCTCATCATTTTTTATCTTTTCCGTCCATGAAATTTTTAACACTCTTCTCCAACACCATACTTCAAAGGCTTCTATTTTGGCTTTTTCAGCCTTCATTATTGTCCAAGTCTCTGCTCCATAGAGAGCTACACTCCACACAAAGCTTTTTATAAGTGCTTTCCTGGTGTCCAGACTTATTCTGTTTGAAATAAAAAGATTTCTCTTTTTATAATAGGCTTGTTTGGCCTGCGCAATTCTACACACTATACCTGTATGGCTTTTCCTATCGCTTGTAATTTTGTTCCCCATGTATGTGAATCTTTGAACTGTCTCCAGCAATATTCCATCTAAAGTTATATTTGCATAAATGTACTGTTTGCTACATATAAGGATCTTGTTTTTCGTTGGTTTATTTTCATGTAGTGTTCTTTAAGCGTGTCGTTAATTTTTTCGAGTATGTTAGTTATGTCTTTTTCACTTTCTCCGATTACAGCAATATCGTCCACAAAACGTAACATTTGCACATTCCTCCTATCTTTACTCCTCCAATATTTTCTTTCCTTACTTCTTTTAAGGCTTCTTCTGTATATAGATTAAATAAGATAGGTGATAGATTGCGCCCTTGTCATACCCCCTTGGCAATTTTATCCTCCATCACGTTGTTACCTTTTTTAGCTTTTATAACTGCGATTTCATTGATATACAGATTATGTATAATTTTTATATCGTTATAGTCTATTTCAATGTTTTCCATAATCTTAAATAGTTTTGTCCATTTAACATTATCGAAGGACTTCTCCAGATCTAAGAAGGCAATAAACAGTGATTTGTTGATTCTAAACATTTTCTCTATGATTATTCTTAAGCATATTATCGTCTCTCTAATGCCTCTATTTTTCCTGAAACCAAAATGGTCTTCAGCTAAAGTGGTCTAATAATTTAATATAATATATTTATTTATTTAAAAATATTGAATTATAAAAGATGTACTTATAAATAATTTTCTGGCTGGGATCCGGATTTAAACCATAGTTTTCGAATACATATTCGCTGTTTTTTAATTTTTTTTGATATGTGGGTTCAATTATGTATTTTTGTTACATATTGTTGTATTAATTGAAATATATATTTTTGAAATTATCGAATTTAATTATAAAACATGATTTTACACAATCTACTTAGATTTTATTAATATAGCAATGTAATTCATTATAAATGAAATTATATTGAATATAATCAGCTATGGTACATCACCAATATTCAATAACAAAGGCCAATATTAACTTTACTACGCAGTTGTTAATTTATGTAAACTGTGTGATTTGCTTATATCATTGAAAAATGTTATGACAGCATTATTTTTTTAAATCAATATAAAAATTAGCATGAAATTAATGAAAAAAAAATGGTTAGCTGTTTATTATTAATTTAATATGTCTACTACCTTTTTTAGGAATAAATTTAATTTATAACGTTGAAAAATATTGTTTCAAAAATCTCTAAATACGTCAAATCGGAATCAATATTACTCGTCATGCTCTTCGCTAAGACCATTATTAAAATTTAAAATAGTTTGAGATCACTTGTAAAATACAAATTAAGGTAAACATTTAGTTATTCGAATTTTTGTTAGCATTGAAATCTACTCCTAAGTTGGTCTATTATTGAAACAAAAATTTATATTAATATTAATTAAAATGGAATTAGCTATTTATTTATTTGAAAGTTTATCTGTGTAATTTAATACGTTATGACACTGGGATCTGAATTATACAATAATATATAAAAATAATACTTTATAAAAACATAATTTAATACAAATAAGTTCAATATGGTACTGAAAAACAGTGAAATACGATATTTTGTATGTTTACTAGTCGGTACGGTCGCTAGTATATATTGAGTCAACTGTTGTATACATGCATATACGTCGAGTATTTATTGCGTTCTTTATTTATTTCCAAGCTTTTCGTTGTTTGAACATCGTTATGGTACGAACAGCTTCTCAAATAGTGGTCAAATTTTCTCAAAAAAATATGGCACCTTCGAAAGCGAAAAAAGTTACGGCTTCTCATCCAACTACAGCCACGATGGTTCTAGAAGCTTTGAAAGAATTGAAAGAAAAAAAAGGATCTTCGATTATAACCATTAAGAAATTTTTAAATGCCAACTATAAGGTAGATACTACTAAATTGGGGCCGTTCATTAAAAAATTCCTTGTGACTGCAGTTGCCGATGGTCAAATATTACAAACCAAAGGTAAAGGTGCAAATGGTCATTTCAAGTTACCAAGCCAAGTTATAAAAAAGGTAAACAGTAAAAAAATTAATGAAAAGAAAATTCCCGTTGTTAAAAAATTATCCACAACCAAGAAGTCCAAATTGATTAAACATCCTGCCAAAATAATAAAGATTCCATCTGTGAAAGAGCCATCATCTAAGATTAAGAAGACTACTACTAAAGCGAAGAATTCATTGGCTACTATTGTTAAGCTTCCCAAATCCAAGAGAGTTGTATCAATTTCTAAATGAATAATTTAAATACCTCTCCCTTTTCTACTTAAAACGGTCCTTTTCAGGACCACCATTAACATTACTAATTAATTGAAAGTCGAAGATTTTCCATTAATTTATGTTAAATTTACACTAAAAAAAAATTATACAAAGTTTAAATTATATAAATAAATTAAAAATAAGTTAAACATAGCAATCCAAAAATAGAAGTTAATAACTATTTGAAAAAATATACTATTTCATTGAATATTGTTAAATAACTCATGTTATTTTAACTAATAAACAACATATTAGTCATGCAAAAAAATTACTGATTACATAAATTATATTATTATTATTAGCATTTATTTTTAACTGATTTGATCTAGTTTTTCAAGATAATTATTAACCAGGTTAAAAAAATATATATTATTATTATTTTTATAATTTTCAAGAAAACAGGCACCACCATCAATGACTTGGTGTTTACTAATTGGTACGTTTACTAAACCTAATTCATTTCAAAATGCATTTACTAGTTAGTACGTTAGCTAAAAAGATTCTATTAGCGTATCATTAATTAGTAATGTTAATGGTGGTCCTGAAAAGGACCGTTTTAAGTAGAAAAGGGAGAGGTATTTAAATTATTCATTTAGAAATTGATACAACTCTCTTGGATTTGGGAAGCTTAACAATAGTAGCCAATGAATTCTTCGCTTTAGTAGTAGTCTTCTTAATCTTAGATGATGGCTCTTTCACAGATGGAATCTTTATTATTTTGGCAGGATGTTTAATCAATTTGGACTTCTTGGTTGTGGATAATTTTTTAACAACGGGAATTTTCTTTTCATTAATTTTTTTACTGTTTACCTTTTTTATAACTTGGCTTGGTAACTTGAAATGACCATTTGCACCTTTACCTTTGGTTTGTAATATTTGACCATCGGCAACTGCAGTCACAAGGAATTTTTTAATGAACGGCCCCAATTTAGTAGTATCTACCTTATAGTTGGCATTTAAAAATTTCTTAATGGTTATAATCGAAGATCCTTTTTTTTCTTTCAATTCTTTCAAAGCTTCTAGAACCATCGTGGCTGTAGTTGGATGAGAAGCCGTAACTTTTTTCGCTTTCGAAGGTGCCATATTTTTTTGAGAAAATTTGACCACTATTTGAGAAGCTGTTCGTACCATAACGATGTTCAAACAACGAAAAGCTTGGAAATAAATAAAGAACGCAATAAATACTCGACGTATAAGCATGTATACAACAGTTGACTCAATATATACTAGCGACCGTACCGACTAGTAAACATACAAAATATCGTATTTCACTGTTTTTCAGTACCATATTGAACTTATTTGTATTAAATTATGTTTTTATAAAGTATTATTTTTATATATTATTGTATAATTCAGATCCCAGTGTCATAACGTATTAAATTACACAGATAAACTTTCAAATAAATAAATAGCTAATTCCATTTTAATTAATATTAATATAAATTTTTGTTTCAATAATAGACCAACTTAGGAGTAGATTTCAATGCTAACAAAAATTCGAATAACTAAATGTTTACCTTAATTTGTATTTTACAAGTGATCTCAAACTATTTTAAATTTTAATAATGGTCTTAGCGAAGAGCATGACGAGTAATATTGATTCCGATTTGACGTATTTAGAGATTTTTGAAACAATATTTTTCAACGTTATAAATTAAATTTATTCCTAAAAAAGGTAGTAGACATATTAAATTAATAATAAACAGCTAACCATTTTTTTTTCATTAATTTCATGCTAATTTTTATATTGATTTAAAAAAATAATGCTGTCATAACATTTTTCAATGATATAAGCAAATCACACAGTTTACATAAATTAACAACTGCGTAGTAAAGTTAATATTGGCCTTTGTTATTGAATATTGGTGATGTACCATAGCTGATTATATTCAATATAATTTCATTTATAATGAATTACATTGCTATATTAATAAAATCTAAGTAGATTGTGTAAAATCATGTTTTATAATTAAATTCGATAATTTCAAAAATATATATTTCAATTAATACAACAATCAGTGGGTAGAAATTATGTCTTTAGATTTTTAATATTTTTTTTAATGTAGTGTAAAATATTAATAAAAATATATACAACTACACATGAAAAGTACTTTTCGTAAATATAATTATAATTTATTAATACGACAATTAAAAAAAAACAACATTCTTTAAACAGACAAAAATGACCGATCACTCAACGCTCCGGGGCCCAGCACGGCGGAGGGTCAAGCACACACTGACTTTATCTAGCGATGGGCCTTATCGCCTTTATGACAATATACAGAATACTACATTTATGAGTATGTTTTTTTTTGGCTATCCAATATTTATAAAGTTATAGTAGTTAAATTTCGTATTACTAAAAAATAGCTTAGATCTAAATATGTAATGATGCATTGGGTTTCGCTTAATTAAAATAATTAACCCTTTGTTTACAAACATTTTTGAAAAAAACATTGTAATTTAACTTGAAATAGAGTAGCCAATAGTTTATAAGAACTGTTCATTAGGTTAATAGTTAAATTACCTTAACGGAATATCAAAAAAATGTATTAATCATAAAATAAATTATACTGTAATTAATTTTTACTTTAAAAATCATGAGTTATTGATTAAAATAACTTTTGAAGTTTTCAATCTGTTTTATAAAAATATTATCAAAAAATACTTTTTACAGTTGAAGATATTTTCACCAGGATTATGTTATTTGTTGAAAATTATTCAGTTTTACAAATCAAACACGTTAAAGGACTGGGGGGATAATACGCATTAGGTAATACCACGCAGCTCTGTATCTAATAAACACAGACTTAGACGATTAATAATTCAAAGGCCTTGTTTAAAATTTAACCATAATAACATATTTTAACCCTCGTATATTATTATTAAATTTCAGCCCTTGAAGAAACTGAGTAAAAAAAAAATGTATTTGCTTTTATCAATAATCAGATTCATTTGAAAAATATTCGCATTATTACTTAAAACTTTGGGTAATAATGATTGGATTTTTTTTTTTTTAATGAGTTAATATTTAAAAGCTGTGTCATAAAATATTGAAAAATCAATATACATATATGGATTTTCCAATATGTTATGAGAAAACTAATAACTAAATATTTTGCGTTACTTATTTCTTTTTATATTTATATTTTACAATTTGTTATGTTGCGGTGTTCCGATGACGTCATACCAAAATGAGAATGGAATAAACGCTCCAGAGATGGCATTGCGTTCGGTATCGGCGGTGGCAGTTAACCACGCCTCGTTTCCTATAAATGGAGGAAATCCCCTCAAAAATTATTATATTTAAAAACGATAAATTTTAAAAATTAAAAATTTTTTTTTTTTTTTTACTAATTTTTAATGAATATTAAAATAATTTTTAGAATAAAAATTAAATATATTCATGTACTCAACATTAATTGCCCAGTAAAATAAAATAAAAAGTAGACCTATATTAAATTTATAAGAATTTTTATAATAATGTCGGAACACACATCTTATGACAAATTATATTTTTAGATCATGTTGATAATTATAAAACGATTGATAGTAACCTGTTTAAAACAAAATAGTTTTTAAGCACTATATATTTTTTGGAATTTATATCGGCGCTATTTCAAAGTGTGTATACCTCGTTGAACTCAAAAAATGTATTTTTGATATCAAAATGACAGAAAAAATAACGGCATGGTTATATTATTTTCATACGTCCTTCTAAGAAATAAGAAAATCTATGTTTAATATTTACAAAGAAATAAACCACTAAATATGTTAGTGACCAAAATTTCATAAAGCCAATGCAAAGATTTTTATAATATTATTCCAAAGAATAATGTATTAATAAACAGTTTTTCGTAACAAACATTTTGTAATTTTTTTTTTTTTTAACCTCATTATTATATTATGTTTTAATTGACTCCCGAATAAAAGGAAAATTTATTTGTCTTCCGTCCATTTTGCACGACAGCGTTGATATATATTATATAATTATTAAGAATTTTTGAGCTTGGTCACGCAAAAATGATAAACAACTAAAAATTTGAAATCTTCATTTTTCATGAATATATCATAGCTTTCTTGGATTGCTGTATTGTTTGAAACGTTTACAGATGTATCGACGTTTTCAGTTATGAGCTGACAATTCGGACTCGTTGCAGGGTCAATCTTTAAAGTGATAATTAGAGGTCTTGGTTTTAACTATACAGTAGTCGGGCTTAGCTTGTTGCGGTTTGTGTATATATTAGTTGATAACTGATATCGTCGATGTTGTTTTTATCGTGTTGTTGATACCAGCTGTCACTATGTTATTTACGGCATTTTTGTTATTTAGATCTTTTCTACACTGGCAATTTTTGTTACGTTAATTGTAGTCTTTTCACTCGTGAAGTTATTTTCCTTGTTTGTTGGTTTTCTTTTTGCTTGGTGTATAATAGGTCATAATTTTTCCATATCAATTATGCTCAATAATTTGAGTTGAATTATTATAAATAAAATTTCAAAAATGTCAAATAATGAAAATATCAAAAAGGATTAGTCAATGGAGGGAATCTATTTCTCTAATCACTTTCCATTTGAATGCCACTGGTATACTTGATCAATATCAACGAAAAGCTAAATATAAATTTCCTCTATTCACCTATCGTTTGATCGTCACTTAAAGAACTCATTTTTTAAATTTCAGAAAATACGTTACATTTTACAAAGTAACCATTTTTTATAAAAACTCAACAAAAAATATTGAGTAGTTATTTAATTTATGTTGATACAATAAAAAATTTTAGTGATTTTTTTACTATAACCCACGAAATTATTCACAGATACACAGCGTTTCTTAAAAATTACGACTTAATTGAGAAATATGCTTTTTGATTTGCCAGTTAATGTATTTAATTTAAAAAACAAAGTTGACAACATTACAAAGTATAAGGGAGAAACAAAAGTAACAAAAAATTATTATTGTAGGTTATGATAAAAAAATCACACTACACGTATGATTTAAATATTATGTTTGAAAAAAAAACAGCAAAACAAAATAAATTTGTTAATGACAAATCGGTAATACTTTATGACAAATTATCACTTATAGTGTTTCACATTTCCTAAAATAGTTATCATTTATCAATTATCAATGGTATAAACTTTTAACATTTTAACCATAGAGTAGATAAAATCTTATCTATTCTGTATTTTAACGTTACATTTCTTTGGCATATTTTTAGGTTATGGTACATATAGGTTTATTTTTTCAATTCATCATTTCTAATGTGTAAAAACTTCTAAGTGATTATTAGTTAAAAAAATTTTAGTTATTACTTGAATTTTGGTTGTTTGAATTTCTCGCTTATTTGAAAATGGATACTATAATTGATCGCGGAGCACCAAAAACTCAAAATTTTGAACCATACGCAAGCAATGGAGGGTAAAAAAAATAAAATACTACTTTTATAACCTACATTGATAAATATGAATTATCTACCATTAGTTCTCTTGTTGCCATCAGTGGCAAGAACTTTGCGATTGTTGCATCAGATACTCGTCTTAGTGAAGGATATATGATATTTTCTCGAAAACAGCCAAAACTTTTTCAACTTTCTGATAAGTCTGTGCTGGGGTGTACAGGATGTTGGTGTGATACATTATCTTTGACCAACATTGTACATACTCAAATGAAGGTAATATATATATAAATTATTTATTTTTCCTTAATCATCAACAAATTTTATCTAACCAAAGTTATTACTACCAAATTTATCATTCTACATCACTTGCAATTATTAGTTCTTAGTTATTAGTAATTAATTCAACCAATTGTTTGAAAAACAACTTATTTTACTATTAGTAAATATTTTATCTATTAATTCATAACATTCATATATTTAATTGGTATATTATAAAAAAAATTATTTTAGTCGTACTTGTATGATCATAATACTGTAATGCAACCTGGATCAATTGCTCAGTTATTGTCTACATTATTGTACAGTCGGCGTTTCTTTCCATACTACGTCTACAATGTTCTTGCAGGCCTTGATGAGAATGGTGAAGGCTGTCTTTATAGTTATGATCCCGTTGGCCATTGTGAAAAAGTATCATACACTGCAGGCGGTAGTTCTGGTGTTCTTATGCAACCATTCTTAGATAGTTGGGTAAGTACTAGTTTTTTTTATAAAAATATATGTTACTGTTATATGGTTTATTTTAAATTTTATTATTCAAATTAACATTTATAAATGAAAACTCATTAATTTATATATTTTAGACCTCAGTGTTTATTTTTCCTAAAAAATTATCTAACTTAATACTGATAGATTGAAGAATACTGATGAATCATAAATCAAGACCATCAAAATAGTTTTATTCTTTTATAAATAATAATCATTACTTATTTTATTTTTCCCAACATTATGTAATATACAAAATTATTCTAAGAATTATGATTAATAATTTAATAAAAATGTATTAATTCATTTTTGCTGCAAGAATACAAAATTTTAATATAAAGAATTTTAAGTAGTGCAATTAATACATTTTAGTAGGATAATACAATATTTCATTGATAAAATAAGTATTACACTAGTTAAATCCTAATAGAATTTGTTTTATTATAAATAATTTTCAAGCTAATTACTTATTTTAGTTTGAATATATTTAGTAAATTACTTTTTTTATAGTTGGGGAATCGCTCAGTAGAAAATCCTGTATCTGAAGAAGAAGCATTAAAATTAGTTAAAGATGCATTCACAGCTGCTGGAGAACGTGATATTTACACTGGAGATGAAGTTGTTTACAATATTATTAAAAAAGATGGTATCCAAACTGGTTTAATGCAACTTCGTAAAGATTAGAAAAATTTTCTGTGATTATATTAATACTATATTTAAATTTATTTAATAAAATCATTTACTAATGGTGGTATAAAAAAAATCTGGTAATACACTTATATTTCAAATTATAATTGATAATTTTTGTTTTATGTCCATTCTGTGTGACTAAAGAATAAACATTTTTTTTATTAAAAATACATTTTAAAATTAAAATTTTATAAAATCAATTTTTTGGTTTAGAATTAATGGTCTTTAAAAAACTATTTAAGCTTTTTAACTCTAACAATCTCCTCATAACACATTTTAATGAGAAAAACTAACAAAATGTTTTTTTAATTTAAATAAGTTGTATGTTTTGTTTTAATATCTTGACAACTGAAGTAAATTTATCAATGTGAAAAAAAATTAAATTATTAAAATTATTTTACAGGGAGACTTAACTTATAACTCAACTGAATTATCTTAAAAAGTTTACAATATATATAGAGTTGTGTCCTATTTTTATGATTTCAGCAAATTTTTTCTTTATCTACCCCCTCAAAATAGAATTTTATTAAATGGAAACATATGTTCAATCAGATTTAGAGTAAGAAAATGCTGGTCAACTTAACATTAACAACTTTTAAACCAGTATTGTGAAAGTTATTAACAATAATATAATGACTAGAAGTGATGTGTGGGTCTGTTTATTTTCATTTCTAAACAATTATGAAACTGCAAGGGTATAAAAATGCTGATCTCTTAAAGTGCTGGACAAAAGTTGTTTTTCAGTCATTTTTTAGTTATTAAGTTGATTAAACAAATGTTCCATTTAAAAAAACTAAAGTAAATAAAAATTAAAGGAGGAATAGGATCAAATTGTTTTCTGGAAATTGTAGAACGTAGAATACTATTAATTTCCAAAAAGAAAAAACCTTATTCGTTTAATATTTTTTAAAATTTTGCATGAGTCATAGTTAAATATATAACTAAAAAATATAATTTCTATAAGTAGACATTTTCTTTTGTGTTAAAAAAGGAACAATTAAATATTAAGTAGATTTATACAATTTAATTAACTAAATTTATTAATTTCTAATTAATAACTTTTTTATATTAATACATATTAATCATAAATCCATAAGCTTTAGCACTTCAATAGCTTCAGTGAGCCTATCAATTTCATCTTTTGACTGCTTTAATTTTTCTTGGTTAGATTTAATCACATCTTCTGGAACTTTTGTTTCATAATCAACAACATTCATTGCTTTAATTAATTTTTCAATAGTTTGATGCAACTGATCACTTTTCTTTTTTAATTTTTCTATTTCTTTAGAAATTTCAATTAAACCCTGAAAAAATAATAGTTTTTTTAAGAATGTTTTTAAGCACGAAAATTTGTTACTGCTTAAGATAGAATGTTATTTTGTACCTTATATTTTACCTGTAAGTTACTAAAATTAAACTAAATTATTATATTTACTTAAGTGTAAATATTAAACAATATAATAGTTAACTAAAAAATGAAAAGAATTACAAAAAAATTTACTATAGAAAAATTTATTTTAAAAAAATTGTTCACAATTTATATTACCGACTTTTTACATAATGTATTTATAAATTTTTACAATCTTTACAAAGTGGTTACAATACAGCTGAAAAAATTAACTGGTAAATCAATTTGCCCTATTTACACCATTCAGGTAAGTGAAACATTTTGAATTTTATCAGGTCTTAAGTTTAAATCCAATTAAATAGTGACCACACAAAAATTTCAAACATTTAGTTAAATAAAGACTATAATTTTTCTATTAGCTTTTATTTATTAAAATTATTTTTATTCTAACAAATTTATTTTATAAGTAAGGATATAAATTAGATAATCATTTATCCAAATTTTAATTGCTGTTAAAAAAAATAATTAAAATTTTGAGTGAATTTAAATAAAATAAAATAATATATTTAGAAAAATTGATAGTTGATTTATAGTTGTTTTTGTTGTTACAGTTTCTGTAACAAAAACAGCAGTACTCTACTATTTTTAATTATACATATTTTTACCTTCAATAAAATATGAACTTGACATTTATTAGATATAGATAGAATTGCACATCCAGTAGGTATATTGGTAACATTTGTTTCAACCTTACTACAATTTGCAAATGAAGCAATGACTGACTTATACTTATTAACAATAACTAAAGAATTTTCATTGTTGCATTTAATATAAGTCTCAGTTTTTGAACTTTTTGGAACATTATAATCTGATAAAGCAGATCGAATGCTATGTACAATTAATTGAATAAATTCAACCTCGGCTTCTGCGCTTAAATTTCGCCATTGATAATTTTCCTACAAAAAGATTTTTAAATTTATTTTATGCTAAGACTTTAAAACAAACTTACTATCTCTGGATATTGAGCAATAGTTATACTAGGATATTTCATATTTTCTGAATATGGTAATCTTTGATAAAGTTCTTCAGTTATGAAAGGCATAAAAGGGGATAGTAAAACTAAACCAGTATCCAAACATTTGAATAAAACATTTTGAACTACTTTGATTTTATCTTGATCATTTGATGCAAATACAGGCTTAAGGCATTCCTAAAAATAATTTTTAAATTATCAATGTTATTTTTAAAAATATTAGTATTTAGTTCTTGTACCAAATAGATATCACATAAATCATACAACCAAAAATTATAACATGCTGTTGTAGCATTACTGAGTTCATAATTCTCAAAAGCTGTGTTGCATAATTCAACAGCCAGAGATAAACGACTCAAAATCCATATATCCATACTATTTAATTGTTCATCCTATTTAAAACATTAATTAACAGTAATCAGGCTAAGCTTTGCATAACTATTAATATAACAAAAAAATGTTCAATTACTCAAAAAAAAAAAAATTGTATACAATACAGTTTTTTATTATTATTATTATAACCCACTCCATTGTTTACAGAATAAAAATAATTTAATTTTTTTTTTTTTTGGTTATCTTTAGTTTCAAATTGATCTTGAATAATTAGATTTACTATGTAAATTTTAATTTCATACCTTATGCCTTGTATTTTAAATTTAATAAAATATTTGAATTTTTATCAATGGTAGTAAGGCACATTGTTGTGAGTTTATAAATACATCAACTAGCAATACAAAAAGCATATCAATTGATAGTCATAATTGACAATAAACACTCCATGACTATGATAGTGACATTATAAAAAACCAATTAGCTATCTGTATTTGTAAACCTTCATGTATATTAATTCAAAAATTTGAAACTTTAAAGTTTTATATCTAATATACAAATAAAGTTTTATTAAAAATGTCATTTACTATTAAATTAAAAACTTAAACAATTTATTAAATTCAAATTATATGTTCCCATATGAAAAAACAAAGTTGACACCCTTACAAGGGATGAACTTAAAAATTTTACATAGCTAATAATTTAAAAATGTGTAACTAATGATAAAAAAAAAAAAAATTTAATTACTTTTATTCTGAAAGTAATTGAGTGGGTTATTATAAAAAATCACTCTATAATAGTATTATGAATATATATAGATATAAATATTTTTTAACATTAAAAATATTAATATATTATTTTCAAAATATTTACTTACTTTGGATAAAGGTGTAGGTTTAAATCCTTCTTTAAAATACATAAGTGCAAATTTTATAGCATTCCAGAGTTTATTGCAGAAAAATCGATAGCCTTGCACACGTAAAATATTTAAATTTATATCATGTCCTATGAATAAAAATAAATTTAATAATAAAATATCATTTAATTTTGTAAAGTAATACCGTGCGACATGTAAGAACATAATGCAAATCTTAATGCATCTGTTCCACATTCAGGGATTCCATTTGGGTAATCTTGTTTCTGGCCAGCTTTAGCTTTGTCAATTTCTTTTGGATCAAGATTGCTATTTAAAAGTTGTTTGTTAAGATCATCAAGTGATATACCCATAATAACATCTATTGGGTCAACAACGTTACCCAAAGATTTACTCATTTTACGACCATGAGCATCACGTACTATTGAGTGTAAAAAAATTGTCCTAATAGATATAAATTAATTAATAAAAAAAATTCTAAAAGCGTATAAACAGTCATAGGTTAAAAGGTTTTAAGTTAAAAATAATTATTTTAAGGTATTAATAGATATTTATAAAGATTAATTAATGAATGATAATTTATTCATTTTATTATGAAAAGAAAATATAATTAAGGGGCTAGATGCAAGTAAAACATTTCCTAAAAAACGAGTTTTGTTATAATCAATTTAAAAATTTTCAATAATTATTATTGTATTATCTTTATTCTAACTCTAGTTATGAGAAAATTTTGTTCTATTTTTATTTTAATTATGCATTTAACAAACATATTTTTCTTGGAAATGTCCTTGCATCAAGCTCAATTTAAGGTTTAAGTCCTTTTATCCTGCAACCATTAATACATTGGATGTGATTCATATATATTAGTATATACTCACTTAAATGGTAAACATTTTAGTAAACGTTGAGATAAAAAGACCATTCTAGCAACCCAGAAAAATAGAATATCATAACCCGTTTCAAGCAAAGTACCCGGGAAAAAAACTTCCAAGTCTTTTGTCTAAATTTAAGAAATAATTTAGGTTAAAAATTTTAAGTAAAATATATAATAAGGAATTTAACGATTTGAAGTGATATTTAATAATAAAATAGTTTTAAAGTATATAAAACTTAAATTTCTTTAAAATAAAAACTAACTCTTATTTTTGAAAAAAAAAAAATTTAGAATCAATAATATCCAATAATTTATTTTTTAATATTAATTAATGACAAGTATCCATGAAAATCAATTGAATAAATACTATGATAATTATAGAATTTTTTTAATTGACTTTAAATTCTTATTAATTAAAAATTTATAAGATATTAGTAATAAATTATTAGTGCTTAGCTAATAAAAGAAGAAAGGTCAAATTTCCTTCATTTTTTCAAATTGAACACTTCATAATTTATATATTATTTATTCAATCTTATGTTAAAAATATTATATACTTATACTGTGTATCCCCAAAGTTTTTATATTTTTACATGTTCGTTTTTTTTTTTAATAAACAGCTATTACTTTATCAGGCCATCCAAAAATTGAAAATGGAAACAATCCTGATGAAAACCATGTATCCAATACATCTTCATCTTGTTTCAAAGTAATATTTTCTTTTGGCACATTAAACTTCTTTATTGCTTTATTTAACGCTTCTTCTTCATTATGAGCACTTATCCAGTATTCATTTTCATCTTTCTGTTAAATATTGTTTATTAAATCTTTGTGTAAAATTAATTCATTAATTTTATAAAATTATTTTCAATTATTACAAAAATAGATCAATGTATAAGACTAAAAAATATTCAAGGTATTGTTTTTGTTATCAAAATTTGATTACTGTTTATTTATTAAAACATGTTATTTTAATTTTTCAAAAAATATTTAGAGAAATTCAGTTGTTTTAAAATTAAAATAAAAGGTTATTTAATATTTTTTTGACAACCTTTATAAAAGAGCTATATATAGCAATTATTTATTATATTTCAATATTGAAATAGAAAAAACTTACTAATTTTTGTTGTTCATTTATTATTGTAATAAAATAAGCAGGTATACGATGACCCCACCAAAGTTGTCTTGATATACACCAATCACTATAAATAATAGATTACTGTAGTTAAAAAATTAATATAAAAGTTTATAAGAGCAAATAGATTTTAGTATTTAAAGGTTACCGAATATTATCCATCCAATAAAACCATGTTTTGTTATGCTGTGTTGGTATAATTTTTAGCTCACCACTTTTAACAACATCAGACGCATGTTTAGCCATTTGATCACATCTTATATACCACTGTGGTTTGATGAGTGGTTCTACAATATCTTTAGAACGACTACACATCGGTACAACCATAGGATTATCAATAGTTTCTCGATACAGATTTTTTTGTTTCAGAGCTTCTAAAACAGCTTTTCTTGCTTCAAATCGTTTCATTCCCTGATGGATTGTTTTATTAGAACTTGCATACGAGTAAAGATTTATACTTTGAAGACTTACATTAAATTGTGTGCAATCACCAATAATTAATCCTTCATCATTAAATATTGTTATAAATGGTAAATTGAGGCGTTTTCCAACTTCATAATCATTAGGATCATGAGCTGGAGTAATTTTTACAGCTCCTAAAATTAATTTACAACATTTTTTTTATAACTACAAAATTTTGACTGATTATCACCTTATAGTATATATAAATTTTTTTTTTTATTTTATCAATAATTTAATGATTAAATAATGGCTCAATGTAAAAGTCATCTAAAATAATGTATATTTAAAAAAAGTCTAGTTTTTATTTATTTAAAAATTAGTCCTATAAAATTTTGAAATATCAATTAAGAATACTTTATATTATGTGTACTGACCAGTGCCAAATTCTGAATCAACAAAATTATCACAAATTATTGGTAATTGGCGATCAGAAAATGGATGTTGAACAAATTTTCCATGTAAATGAAAATACCTAGAGTCAGAAGGATGAATAGCAATAGCTGTATCTCCTAACATAGTTTCAATCCTGGTAGTAGCTACTACTATTGTTTCATCTTCTCCAACAATTTTGTATGCAAATGAAACAAGTACACCAAACTCTACTTTATCTAAATACCCTGGTATAGAGAGGAATGTACGTCCAGGTAATTCAATTTTATCCACCTATCATATAATATATTTAATTAACAAAATTATACTAATTGTAATCATAATAAATAAAACCTCTATGTCAGATATAGCACTCTTTAGAGCACATGACCAATTAACTAGTCTATTACATCTATATATATCACCATCTTCATGTAAGCGAATAAATGCTTCAGTAACAGAACGACATAATTTAGGGTCCATTGTAAAACAAGCACGATCCCAATCAAAAGAGGAACCTAATAATTTCAATTGAGTATAGATACGGTCACCTTTTCTAAAAAGAAAAGAAAATCTAAATAGACCTTTAATTCTTAACATTATATAATTATATAATGCACAGTAAGTAAGAAAAAAGGTTTATTAATAATTATCATTATTTGACCTGTTTTTTACTTTTTGAACACTGTATATTATACCACTAACTCTTTTTTCCACTCCCAAATTTTTTCTATGAATTTTTCACGACCCAAATCATGTCTAGTTTTTTTTTCTGTACGCCACAATTGTTTTTCCACAACTACCTGAGTGGCAATTCCAGCGTGATCACAACCCGGATTCCAAAGTGTTATTTTACCTTTCATTCGATTCCTGCATCAAACACATTCTATCATTGCTCTATTAGTTTATATATATTACACAAAGTATAAAATTAGAAATAAAATTTTTTTTAAATAATTATTGTTATATTACATACAGAAGATGTTCAGTAAGTAAGGAAACAGGTCAATTGTTATAAACAATGAGAACAATAAAAACCCTTTTCCATATTTACTTAACACCTAATATAATGATCATATGTTGTAACTTGTACTATTCATATTGATAATAAAGTTAGTCAGTCAGTGACTATTCACCAATATAGTTGTGTTATTTATTTCTAACCAATTAATAATCTAACGATAATGTGATAGCTTTCTTACCTACAAACAATTTTATAGATATCTTTACTTAATTTATACATTTGTAAGGTTCTAATACATATTTTTTTAATTTTAATTACATAAATAAATTTAATTTTTACCAGCGAATTAATGCATCTTGAACTGCATTAGTAAGAGCATGACCTAAATGTAGCGATCCAGTAACATTTGGAGGAGGAATGATCATAATAAATTTTCCTTTTGGATCTTCTTCAGACAAATTTTTTCTCTAAAATTTAATTGAAAAAAAGATACTATAGACAAAAACTAGTTCTATTATACATATTTATAAATTAAATATAATTTTTTTTACAAATAAATAACATTTTGAGAAGATGAAAAAGAATAAAAAAATTATCAAAATAAATATGCTAATATTTCAATGATATTTTAAATTTTATTACTATAAATGCATATTAATAATCTTGTTTATAGTGACAATATGATATTAAATAAAAAATATTATTTTACATATTTCATTAATTCTTACCAATTCTGCATATATTAGATTTTTAAGATATATTGTTGAATTTTTGACAAAATGGTTACGTTTGTAAATGAAAAATAAATAAAAATTCTTGTTGTTTTTTCAAAATATTTTCATAAGATATAAGATACCAATACAATTTTACTGTTACAGTACTAAAAAATTATGATGATGTGAAAAAAAGGTGAAAAGAGCATTTGAAAAAATACTAAATGAGGAGTATCTAAAAGAGACATTAGAGGACATTTCGTAAAACAAGAAATTGATTAATTAGACTGGTAGATATAGTTACTGAGAAAGAGGTAGGTGTAACTGTGGCATCAATGATAGGAATAAAGCAGTAGGACCAGATGAAGTGGTTTAAAGATGGCAAGAAAGAGGATGTGTGGAATGTCGAAGGAGGCATAAATGATGTGTGGAATAGATTTGCTAGTGGTATAAAGAATATTGCAAAGGAGATTATTGGTGAGAGTATGAGTAAAATGTCAGGAAACAAGGAAATCTGATCGTGGGATGAGAATGTTAAAAAAATCATAGAGAGTAAGAAAAAGCAGTTCAGGTGTAGAGATCAGTTCTTGAAGGAAAGAGTTTAAGAATATGTAGAAGTTTGACAGAGTATATATACTATGAGTTTGACAAAGGAGAAAAGAAGGTAGATGAAAAGAGAAGATCAGTGACAATAAGTGAGAACGTTATAGAAAAAGTGGAAAGTTTTATGTATTTAGGATCAGTTGTGCAAAAGAATAGTGTATTTACGAGGATGTAAGGCCGACATAAGTAGTTGGGATAAATGTGAGAAATAGAATAAGCTATAAGATACCATTAGAATTTTACAAATAATATATTATTATTATTTAAGATATTAAACTATTATAACTTTTTGAGATATTAGCTTTTAAAAATTTAGAAAAGGTGAAATGTGGAGTATAATTTAGTCAAAAGGGATAGCATCTATTATAAATGATAAATTACATTTTTTGTAATACAAAAATATTTAAATATTATTTTTATGTGAGGGTTAAGTAAATTTAGCTTCCCCAAATTTTATTTTAGCAGTTGTTATCAACCACTTAAGAGTCTCCAAGAATGGGGATTAAGATAGTCACGGAATAGCTTAGTGAGAAAGTGATAGCCTAAATAAGGAAACATTTCAATTCAATTTCCAGTTCACTTACATATTTTTCTCAATTTGTAATATTGTGTTATATCAATTTTAGACTATATTTGACTAATTTTTGTTTAATTTTTATATGCATAAATCAGTTTTTTTAGTTCTTAGTTATGAGCCTTGATTACTTATGTATTATTTATTTTAAGTGCTATCATAAAGTAACTCATTTTTTATTCATTGTTTAAAACTTCACCATTGGAAGAATACTTGTACATTAGGGTGGTCCTTATTTTACAAGTTCGAAAATTTGATGTCAAGTGATCGGAATTTTGTTCTATACATCAAATAAAAATATTAGTTAATTTTGAGCATCCTAGGTCAACCCCTTCACGTGCCACAAAGGGGATGAAAATTGACAAAAAGATTTAGGAATTTAGTGTTTTGTATAAATATTTTTAATAATATTATAAATAGAAAAAATTCCACAGAATTAATTATGCAGTAAACAATAATGTAAAGAAAAATGGTCTTTATGAATTTTTTGTAACATGATTTTTCAACTTCTAACTAATAAAAACAGTTTAATTTTATTTGTCGTGAAAACATAGCATTTTTTGGTCTTTAACATTTATCTCTATAAATATTGCATACGAAAATATTGCATTTACAAAAATATTTTTAATAACTTATAAATAAATAAAGGTAATAACGTAATTTTCTTTGGAACTACAATTTCAGTGTAAAAATTGAACAAAATATGAATATTTCTATATATTTTGTTATAATCTGATATTAAAACTAAAATTTATTGCGGTGAAACATTTTTTACTAAACTAGTTTTAGAGAACTCTTGATATCTTTTTCTGTACTCTCAAATAACCTTTATAATAAATAAATTATTAATTGATGAACAATAATAGAGAGTATAACGATAATTGAATTCTAAATAATTATGTGTAAAGTGTATTGTTTTCAATTTTCATTTTTAGTAAATTTTGTATTAAATTACTCCTCGTTTTTCTGCATCGTTTACTACAAAAAACTAGTAACTAGTAATTAGTACTACAAAAAATTGCGTTATTACCTTTATTTATGCATAAGTTATTAAAAATATTTTTGTAAATGCAATATTTTTGTATTTGCAATATTTATAGAATTAAATGTTAAAGGACAAAAAATGCAATGTTTTCACAAAAAATAAAATTAAACAGTTTTTATTAGTTAGATGTTGAACAATCAATGTTACAAAAAATTCGTAAAGACCTTTTTTCTTTACATTATTGTTTACTGCATAATTAATTCTGTGGAATTTTTCTATTTATAATATAATTAAAAATATTTATACAAAAAATAAATTCCTAAATCTTTTTGTTAATTTTCATCCCCATTGCGGCACGTGAAGGGGTTGACCTAGAACGCTCAAAATTCACTAATGTTTTTGTATGCTGTATAGAACAAAATTCCAATCACTTGGCATCAAATTTGTTTAAAAAAAAATCACTAAGTATAAATAAGGACCACCCTAATGTATATTATTAAAAATAGACATTATATATTTTAGAAATGTGATAAATTACCCCATATTCAGGTTTAAAAAATCCTTCTTTTTCCCACCAACTATACCAAGCAGCTTCAACATATCTTGGACTATATGAGTCTGGCATAGGACAATCAATATCTTTTTTCATACCGGGATCAGTATTCTTCATGTATAATATTAACTCTTTTTCTTTCTTAATTAGATCTTTTTTTTTTTCTTTTTTCTGCAAAAATTAATTATTTAGAAATAATTATAGATTCACAATACTTTTTAAAATTCTACATATATAAAAATTGTTTTTTTTTGTTTATATAAATTCACATTATTGGTCTATTGTAACATATTATTTGTATTTCATCAACTATAATTATGTCAAGAAAAAATTTGTTTTTATACCTCCAAGTATTTTACCAGTATTTATTCACTTCATATAATTATCACAGTTATTTGTTTTTCTTAAAAGATGTTTTATTTTATGAGCAATGTTACAATAATATATTAAGAATGTAATTACACAAAATATAGCGTATACATACTTCATCTTTAGATGTATTTTGCTTTTGATCCTGTTTTTGTTTAAATTTTTCTAATTTAGCCAACTTCTTTGCTTCTTTTTCTAGTTGTTTGGCAGTTTTAGGTGGTGCTTCCTCCATAATAAATTTATTTAAAGTAAAAATAAATATATTAAATACTATTACTAGTAACAGAATATATATTTGGAAAAAATCGTACCAAAAACTTTAATAATTTCAAACCAAATGAAAAATCTAAGTAACACGTTATGGTGGTGCTTATTATCTCTTATCTATAGCCACCAAATGACAGTGAACCGTACATAACTTAAACGTGGATTTTTATGTGATAACTGTAGCTAACATAAAAATCATAGAATAAACAGATTGGACACTGATAAAAATTTACATGGTCAATATAAGGAGGTGATTAGAATCAGTCTACCATTTTTATTTAGGTAAATCAATGTGACCACTTTTCAACACTAGAATTGTGTATACCTTTTTCAAAATGTAAAGTAACAATTTTAATTACGGTATTTATGTTTTAACTTCGATGAGAAGCTGAGAAGGTATTAATTTTACTATATTTTTTTTTGTGTCTGTGAACGCTCAATCTCAGCTCTCTCTGGACCGATTTCTTTCAACAATGTGTCAAAAGATCACAAATCGTATCTAGTCGAAGACATTACCCTCAAAAATTGAAAAAAATTCCATCGTTCCCCATAAATGGGGGAAATCTTCAAAAAAATTACAAATTTTCGAAATTTTTTCAAATTTTTTACTTAAAACTGCCATAATTTTTCAAAATTGAAAAAATTGATATAATTTTCTTTTAATAGATGCATAATGTACTTATCTAACATTTGATATATTTTTTTTATAAATTTGACTCTTTACCTGCCTACAGAGAGGGATTTAAAATGACAACTTTTTCATAAAAAATTAACTTTTTTAAAGTGTTCCGGAAATAGTGAAACTTTTATATATACCTTAAATTAAAGCTTATGTAATATACTTTATTATGGAAAAAGAAAATTTCGGACTTTATTTTGTTTTCATGATGAAAACAGTCATCAAAGTAATAAAAAAAATACGATTTTTTTACAAAAATTTCTTTTTATATTTTTAACTTTATAACGCTATAACTTTTTGAAAAATGTATGGATCATTATATTTTTTTTAAGATAAGTACTATTTATATTTATATATTATACTTCTAAATCATAAAACTTGTAATCAGAATATAAATAATGATATAGGAGATCCTATAGCTTTTGGAATAATCCATTAATTTTTTTTAATTAAACACTATTTACAGATTTGCATAGAAGCGTTTTTTATGATAGTGATTTTAATCTATGCTGGACCCAACTATGCCACGACCCCACTGTGTTGGGTTTTTTTTTTATATTTTTCAACGTGTACAACACTACATAAATATTTAAGTATTTAATATATTTAAATTATATAATAATACGATAATCCAAACATATTAAATAAAAACACCAAAAATAATGATTTGTATTCCATTGAATTATACATTTTTTAGATATTTCATACAAAATTTTTCATTAATTTTGAATAAATTATTTTATAAAATACATTATAGTAAAATGAATATATTCTTAGTTTTGCATCAAAGCTAAAAACAAAAAAGAATTAATTAACATAATAATACTGTTTCAAAATCATTATACACATTCACCACATAAATTATACAATTAATAAATTGAAACATAATAAAAACTTCCTCAAATAACCTAAATCATGTAAATGTATTTTATTAATGTGTTAGTATATCAAGTTTCCTATGTTTTCTTAATTTTGATAAAATATGTTTGTTTAAAAATTTTAAAGAACTAAATATTCTCAGTTTTATGTAAAGGTTTTTTAAAAACTCATAATCAAAGTTTGGACATGTATGTTTAAAAAGAATATTCTTCTTCCTCGCCTTAATCCCAACTACTTGGGGTCGGCCACTCTAATCCTAAACTTCCATTTAACACATCCTCTACGCTCACATCAGATGTACTTATTAAACTTCTCATTTCTTTTCCTACATTATCGTTTACAGAAATTATTGGAAATTCTTCTATAAAAATATTATCTAATTCATAAAATAATTCACTAATATAATTTATAAACACATCGGGTGGAGTATTTAAGTTTCCATAAGTGGATAAATTTTCATTATGGTAAACCTTAAAACATGTAAAAAAAAAAGATTCATCTAACTGTTTTTGAGATTTAACATCATTTATACATATACCACAATTATGTTTTCTAGTGTTTTTTTAACTAGATAGCCACTTACATAAATAAGGGCATTTATAGCAGGAAAACTTAAATCGAGGTAATCAACCATACCAACTTTAAAGTTTTCAAAATTATAAGTTTTCTCAGGATTGAATGCAATAAGACTGTTTAATGGAGGAGCAACATCGCTTAAATTAGTTAAAATCTCATCTAAGTCATTCAGACAATTTAAGCCCTCAGACTGTTTGAAAAAATTTTCTGGGTTAAAAAACATATTAGGTTTGAAATGAACATTACAAACAATGTAATACTTATTTAATGTATCAATTGATTTGTCTAACAAATCATTTCTGTTGCAATTTGGTAACCATCTTTTATAACTATTGAATAAATTTAAGATTTTTTTAAGATATAAATATTATTTTTATTAATTTATAATAAAAAAAACTAACCGAGGAAAATATTTTGGTATTTTAAACATTTTACAATCATCATTTTTGATAACAATTCTTGAGTTAATGCAGTTTTTTACAATGCAAACATAAACCATTCTATAAATTATTATATAAAAGATGGAATATTAATGAAATAAAATGATTAAAAGTAAAATTCTTATAATATATATTTTCACTCAACCGGTATTAGTTCTTATCATGACAACAAAATGAAAATACCAATACCTATAATAAAATGGCTGCTACTTTTTGATTACATAGCACAAAATCTCATATATTTATACCTACCTCTGGTGTCCCATAAGGTGGACATCTATCTCCACTTCTTTTCTCTCTGTTTGTCAATAGCGCTTATTCCTCCCTCAAGCATAGTCAACTTCTCTGTTTTGCGGATGACATGAAAATTTTTTTAAAAATTTGCTCTGTTGATAATTGTCACAAACTCCAGAACGATCTTAATTGCTTCTCTATCTGGTCTGATACTCTCGATCTTACATTAAATATTAATAAATGCCGGTCAATGGTATTTTTTAGAAGTCACTCTCCTATAACTTATACCTATACATTGAATGGCTCCAAATTAATTACTGTTGATTCTAGCATTTGTTTTACTTTTACTCCCTCCCAAAGTTCACGAGTTCATATCGATAGCATTACATGTAAAGTTCTTAAGGTACTGGGTTTTGTCAAAAGGATATCTAGTGAATTTAAGCTCACCAGGTCTCTACATCCATTTACTGTGCGCTTGTACGACCAATTCTGGAATATGGCTCAGTTGTTTGGGATCCTCAAACAGCTGATGCCTGTTTACAATTTGAAAGGGTTCAACGTAAAATTCCTTTCCTTTATGAAACATACCTTGAACGTAAACTGTGTCCCTCATGATTATTCTCGCCTTCTTTTTCTTCTTAACTTATCCTCCCTAGCTGACCGCCGCCGTTCTTATAATCTTACTTTCCTTAATAAGCTCTTATCAAGCTCTATTGATTCCCCTTCTCTTCTTGCTAAAATCAACTTTAAAGTTCCTGTAAGGTACACTCGCAACTCACATACTTTCTTTATTCCACATTGCCCTACTAATTATTTAATAAACGAGCCAATCAAGCATATGATGAAGTTAGCCAATGAGGATCCGTCATTTCTTCAATAAAATTATATACTTCTTAACCTATTTTAGCTTCGATGCGAAGCTGAGAAGGTATTAATTTTACTATGATGTGTTTTTTCTTTTTTTTTTTTTGTGTCTGTATACGCTCAATCTCAGCTCTCACTGAACTGATTTTGATGAAAAATATGTCAAAAGATCACAAATCGTATCTAGTTGAAGACATTACCCTCAAAAATTGAAAAAAAATCCCTCGTTCCTCGTAAACGGGGGAAATCCCCCAAAAAATTACAAATTTAAAAATCGCTAATTTTCGATATTTTTTCATTTTTTTTTACTTAAAATTGCCATAACTTTTTTAAAAATGACCGAATCAATATAATTTTTTTTTATATAGATACCTTAGATAATTACCTATCATTTTATATATTTTTGTGAACATTTGACCCTTTAACAGCCCAAAGGATGGGGTTTCAAAATGGTAACTTTTTTACAAAAAATTAACTTTTTCAACTTAACTTTTGAAAATGTTCCGGAAAGACTGACAATTTTATATATACCTTAAATTAAAGCTAATGTAATATACTTTAATTTGAAAAAAAAAAATTTGACCTCTGGACTTGTCTTCATGGTGAAAATGACTACCGTATGCAAAAATATGCTATTTTTGTGAAAAAATTCTTGATATTATATTTTACATTTTTTAACATTATGTTGCTATAACTTTTTAAAAAATGCATGAATCAACTTTATTCTTTAATGATAAATACTTTATATATACTTCTTTCATTCGACATACTTTTTTTTAAAATCGGACCATTTCCCTTTATACAGGGGGGGTGCAAACCTTTTAAAATGCGTATAGAAAGTAGAACTTTTTCAACTTAACTTTTGAAAATGTTCCGGAAAGACTGACACTTTTATATATATCTTAAATTAAAGCTTATGTAATATACTTTAATTTGAAAAAAAAAAATTTGACCTCTGGACTTGTCTTCGTGGTGAAAACGGACATCAAAGTTAAAGAAAAACGTACGATTTCCGTGAAAAAAATCTCGATTTTATATGTTATATTATTTAATTTATATTTTATATAACTTTTGGAAAAATGTATGGATCAATATTATTATTTTTTTATAATATATATTTATATACTCCTTTCATCTACACGCTTTTTTTGTAAATCGGATCATACCCCTTTAACAAAGGGGGTAAAAACTTTAATCATGCGTATTGTTACTATGATATTTTCAATTTAATTTTTGAAAGTATTCCGGAAATACTGACACTTTTATATATATCTTAAATTAA